GTTGCCGATGATGAAATCCGCTTTCACCTGATCAACCTGATTGAAAAGCAACCGATTTCAACCACCTTGTTAGGACGGACCTTCACTTTCATTGAGCCACTGGTGTATAACTGCTGGAGTTCCATTGGCAAGATCATTGTTGAACAGTGGTGTGCGAAGAATAAGGAGGTATCCTCCCAAGGGGTCAATGTTATTACTGCCTTCTCTGTTGATGAGCATTGGGTACCTGTTTGGTTCTCCCCTCGCAGTACAGTGCTGCAGGTTCACATGATCCACACGGAAGGTATTGATTTCTCTTGTGTTGAAGCGATTGTTGAGCACATTTCCAACACCCTAGGGTTCATGTCCTTCGCTGTCCATAGGATCCCTGATTCTTTGCCTGAACACCGAATGTGTGGAGCATTTGCCATGTGTTTCCTTGCGCATGCTGTCATGGGAATGCCACTCCCTACAGACCTTGCCTCTTTGCGCACTTTGCATACCAACATGCGTGCAGCATTTGTTGCCCATTTGTATGCCAATGACTCCACCCCACGACCGGTGGTTTGGGGACTTGGCAAGAAAGCCAAAGACGCTGATGACAACCCTTTTGTAGCATTTGCAGCCACAGACAATGAAACCAACCGTTGGCAGTTGGCACAGCCATCTGAATCACCACTGCCTCCTGGGCTGATTGACAACCAGAGAAGTTCTAGCTGTGAGCAGTGGCATACTGGGATGGTCAATCAAAGTGAAGCTGAGGCGTCATTTTGGCCGGCTGACAAGGGTCATCGAAGCACATATCCTACCGCAGAGGATGCTTTGTTGCAGGACGCCAATGTCGCCAGGTCAAGGGGCTCAGTTGAGCAGCCATCCAGTAGCTCCTCTTCCCGGGAATCCAGGCCACTCCCTAGAATGCCTGAGGAATTGAGACATGTGAATGATGCACCCTTGGCATCTGAGACTTCTGTGAGGGGTCCTCATGCTGACAGTCAGTCTGGCCCATTGCCCAGAGTTGCAGTGAACTTGCAAAAGGACCAACCATTGAGGGAATCCGGGCGACTCCCTATAATGCCCGAGAATCACCAAACAGAAGGTACTGGGAACATACAGTGTTTCACTAACCCCAGTAGCGGTTGTCTTGACGAACCCCAGGCCGAGAGTGCACATCTGCCTGTGCATGACCATGATCATGATGAGCATCGTCAAACCCGACTTAGACAGGTCACATCACACAGTTATGCCATGGCTGATGACGAAATGCACTTCCAACTGCACCATCTGTTGCAGTGCCACAATCCAGATGATGTCAGAAAGTTTATGGTTGCGCCGTGCCTTGCCACTTTCCAATGGACCATTGGTGAACCGTGTGCACTTGAGGACTGGATTCGGGAACAATGGATGCAAAGGGATGACCCCAACACACATCTGTTTGTTGCCCTCCTTGTTGAGCACCACTGGATACCCATATGGTTTGCCCCTGGCCCTGTAGGGTTACATGCACACACACTGGCCAACTTCGCTAGTGATGAGCCACTGATTGACAGCATTTTGCACCTGTTTGCATCCAAGCTGGGGATGACGCTCCACTTAATTCATCGGGCCCCTCATGGAATCGATATTGACCGTTTGTGTGGAACCATGACCGTCAGTTTCTTTGCCCATGTCATGTTGAACTCGGCCCTTCCGAGAACCATGGAGGATTTGTATGCCAGGTGTTGGAAGATGAAGGAAGTGTTTGCGAAGTCCCTGCAGACTGGACCAATCACACAGCCGACTGTTTGGGGATGGGGTCTTGGATGGGAATGCAGGCCACTCCCCATAATGCGTGCTTGGGAAGATGTCTTCAACATTCTCAATGACATGTTTGATCTTGACAATGCAACCAGAAGATCGGCAGTCCTTGAGGCGACTCTGCCGCAGTTGCCCATCATGGTAGGTATGACATATGATGAAATGGATCTCCATGTTGCCGCTCTTGCAATGAATTGCCCACTTGGGCTTTGGCGAACCATGGTAGGAAGATCGCAGCTTGAAACGCTCCTGCGAACCTTCTGGAGCAGCAATCATTCCCTGATGTGTGGTGCCTTGCTTTGTAGGTTTCACTGGTCGCCTGTGATTGCGTTTAAGCACCACGGAACACTTGTTTTGCTCCTGGAGAGTGGAGTTGATTTTCACACCACACTCCCGATGGTTTTGATTCATCATGTCAGTGCAGATATGGTCTCACAATCTGCCTGTGGCGTTGCGACCTGGAAAGTGCTGGCACAAATTTGGAGTTTTGGTGAGATCTTGGGAGACGTCCATGACATTAGAGCCATGCTGCTGAGCCAGTTTCCGTCCACCAAATTTGTCTCACCACTCATTGGTTTTGCTCCTCATGGACAGTTGATCAAAAACCTGTGTGCTGAACTTGCAAAGCATGGAGTGCCCGAAAGCCAATTGGAGGAGAGAGCCCAAGCTGCCATTAAGGCTTTGGGCAGTGAGCAATTGCTCACTGCCTTGAACCACCGCCAACCATGGCGCCAGCTGAAGGCCTTAGGAAATAACTCACGGTTTCAGTTCGTCTTACCCAGTGAGCTTGCCAAGGTGGTAGATTCCCAGAAAGGCCGATCAGTCGTGAAGGGGAAAGGCAAAGGTAAGTCAAAGAACATCCCACAGCCTGTGGACATTGACCCTGCCAAGCTTCAAGTTCTTGAAGGCACTTTCAGTTTTCAAAACACCGCCCTGCCGCAATTGACCATGAAGCAAATCGGCCCCTTAAGCAGTGGGGTTATATTGATGAACATGCAAGATGCTGAGCCGTACCTGAAATCGGGAAAACTTGTTTCACAAGAGCCTTTGGCCCTGCTTGTGTTGCACCGTGCAGGAATAAATGTCGAAACAGCACTGCCCCATGCCCTGGTATCAGTCCCCTGCCGATGTATGGTTGATAGTGAACCAGTTCTGGTGGATGCTGTTCTCGTCCAGGTTGGAACAGGCTTGGTTGAGAAAACCGCAGGTACTGCAGTGCTGGCAGTGGATACGCCAGAGGTTGCCACCCTGAAGATTCTGGTCTATAAAGATGAACTCCTTGGGGACTGGGATGAGTTTTGCCAATCACCCATCAAATGCCTGGTAGGCCTCATGCCCATGCTCAAAAGATGTTTCACCGACAATTGCCAATGCGAAGGGTGGCACAACCCAGAGAAATTGCCAATCCGCGACCCAATCATTGACGTTTGGAGAAGACAATATCTCCGACAAGGGTTTAAGCCATGCCCGCCGGCACAAGCGGAAATGTTCTCAGTTTGCATCCGCATTCCGCTCTGCCTGCTTGAGACCATGCTTAGCTCCAGTGGGGTTTCGGGTGCATACTCTGAGCCGCGTACAGCTGACGGAAGGGATGTTTTGCCTGCATACACTGTCATATGGACGCCCAAGCACTCACTCCAAGAGATGAAGCACCTCATGCAGACCAACCCCGCAGTCATCGGGTTGGCCAGATTGGCTGACAGAAGAGGACTTAGAGTCCATAGTGCCCAAGCCAAAACCATACACCAGCTCGTCAAGCCTGACACAGTCTACCTGCCCAGTGGCCCAAAGACAGTGTACACGGTTGGCCCCTTCCCCTATGGAGTGGACCGCCAAGCAGTGGGACGCATTCTCCAAAAAGCAGGATGGGAAAGCCGACCACTCCAGCCTGCAATGCCATGCCCAGGTAAAGGTGTGATGTGGATGGTTCAATCAGCAGAAGAGCCAGGCCAAACCATCATCCCGACCACTACGGGAGAAATCATGATTGCGAAAGTGAAGCAAGAAGCTGTTTCACAGACTGTTCAACCGACGACGGTAGGTTCCGCTGCCACTTTGGCGCTTTGCGGTAAGCCTGCCGATGGCAAGATTGAGAGTGACCCTTGGGCCACCAATGACCCTTGGAAGAAGTATCACCCCTTGGGATCTGCTGCCTCCGGCCCAAGTGAAGGGCTACAGCAAATTGAGGACAGAATCCAGACTGCGGTTTTAGCCAAACTTCAGCCGCCCATGGAGCAAGATGACATGCCTGACCGAGTGCAGACACTTGAGGGTCAGGTACAACACCTGCTTGCCAAACAACAAGGCTTGGAAACACAATTCCAAGAACACAGCAACCACCATACCCAGCAGATCAATGCCCTGCAGGGACAGGTGACGGCGCAAGCGCAGCAGCTTCATGGACATTTGGAGAACCAGAACCAGACCATGCAGTCCCTCTTTGAACAGCAGATGCAGCAGATTAGAGGTTTGCTTGCCAAGCGTCCGAGGGATGAAGGGATGGAATGACAAAGAGGCCTTGGACTCTGCCTTGTGTTGCTCATTGGTTTGTTTGTCGCTTGCAGTGGGCTCCACACCCGAGTCCTGGAGGATTGCCTGCTGTGTACGCCGGGACGTTGGACGTGGACGTCGGGGACGTGGGGGACGTTGGGGACGTAGGGGACGCAGGGGACGCAGGGGACGTAGGGGACGTATGGGACGTAGGGGACGGGGGACGTGGGGGACGTTGGGGACGTATAGGGGACGTAGGGGACGTAGGGACGGGGGACGTAGGGGACGTAGGGGACGTAGGGGACGTAGGGGACGTAGGGGACGTAGGGGACGGGGGACGTGGGGGGACGTGGGGGCCGTGCGTGGGTGTCTGTCGGGGGGCAGGGAATGGGGATGTTGTGGACGTCTATGCGTGGAGGTTGTGAATGTTGTCCGTGTCTCGAAACACTGTATTCATACGGTGGTGCAAGACTGCACGTTCGATTCAGATCTTGATTGTTGATTTGCGTGTCCCTGTAAAGGAAACAGGCCCAAATGAGACATCCTGATTTGGATGTTGCAAGGCAGATTCATATTGCTCCAGTACTGCAAGATTATATATTTGATGTTGATCTTGATTCTTGATCTGCCTGTCCCTGCAAAAAACATGACACATTCTTCCTGGCACACATGCAACTACATGCAGCTGGATGCTTTTTGCATTTGCGAAACGCAGCAACCAAGGTTGGCATGCAGCTCTAAACTGTCTTCGAGGTATTTGACACAGCAGCTGCGCAGTGGCTTCTGCAAGCTGTCTTCACCCATGCTAGTGTGGAAACACCGGAATTTCGCAAGGAACTAATCCTCGTCCCCGGGCTTCTCTGTTGTTTCGCCCTGCTTCCGTTTCCGACTGGCAACTCGATCAGTTTCTTTTTGTAAGCTGTCGCACCACTGGCGCACTGAGACTTGGCAGGAATCCACGAGCATGTTGTGGAAGGCCACTCGCTTCGCATTCTGCGTAGGAACTTGAGAGAAGACAAGCTTGGACTTGGAGGTTCCTGCAGCTTCAAGCTTTCCAATGGGGTAAAGGGCCAAGGCAGCTTTGACGACTTGCTCCCATGTGTCCTTGGACACTGCCACTTTTTCTTCTTCCCATCATCCAGGGTCTCAGTTTTTCGGAGGGACAAATCTCCATACGTGACTTCCATCTTGCCTCTGAGCACGGTTCTGCGGAAGATGTCCCTGTCAGACATCCAAGAGGCCGGCAGCTGGACGGAAAGGCCAGCATCGTTGTAGCCCTTTGCCATAGCAGCGTCAAAGGCCTTGCCGGTGAGGCACTCCTTGGGTGTGGGCGTGGCTTCGTCTTCCGACGGGATCTCAGGCTTGGGTTCAAATCTTTGAGTTGCTGGAAAATGGTCAAGCCCCTGTGACTGTGGGCATTTGATGTGTTCCGGCACACGGCTCTGCAAATCAGCAGAAGCAGGAGGTAGAACGATTCCTTTGGCGCCATCCTCTTCAGTGTTGCTCCAATAGTCTCGCATAATGTGCAGAATCTGCAGAAGCTTCCAAGCCCGCAATACATGGTCGCGGTGGACTTGCACCTGACCAGGGAAAAAAACATCGAAGGAGGCACGGCAATTGTGTCCAATCAGCACTAGCTATAGTTGAAACAGAGGATGTACAGGTAAAATTTGTTACCATTAGTAAATTTGTATAAATTGGAAGCCAGAAATGTGATTATAAAGGACTTATAACTTTATAATTAACATCTTATAACTAATAAAGCGCTAAAAGTGAAAGCCGCTTGGAAACACATGCCACTTGATTTCAAAGCCAGAACCTTGTCCTCTCCAAAAGGATCTTCCGTGTGAACAAAAAGGTCAAAAAAACGCATGAGCGCAATTCCCAAATGCCAAGGACCAATGCTTAGCCGCGTGGCCAAATCATGGCTTCCCACCTACATGCTGTGCGGGGAAGCGCAAGGTAATTCAACAGAAAAGGGACAAACACTGGCTTCTAGCTTCTAGCTGAAAGATTTGTTTGTTTGGTGACTAAGGCCTTCACGGCCAGAAAAGGGAGAACCAAGTGCAACTAGCTCAAAGATTAATTTGTTGGTTTGGTGACGAGGGCCTTGACGGCCGCATTTGAACGCACATTGAGCAATGTCTGGTAGCCAAGGAATGCAGCCTTCCCTTCATCCGTAAACTCAATGACAGCATGCGGAGCGGCAAAACGAGAAGCAACCCGCAGAGCGCAAGCTGTCAAAGCAAAGTCATCGTTGGCTTCAACCGTGCGGTTGGGCACGCGGAATCGGAGAAGAGGCTGGCCCTCATGGTACTCATAGCGAAAGCGACTGGGGACGCCATCTGGCAGGTTGAAGGCGTACTCAATCGTATGTTCATCGTCAGGATCTGCGGCGACTTCCAAGCCTGCAGGGCAAAAACAAAGAGGAATAACAGGTAACATGGCATGGCTGCACCGTGAATCGGCGTGCGCGCACATAGCGCCAGGAGGTGCGATGCTGCTGTTTTCAATCGGTCTCTGCACGGCTGGTCTGATTGCAATGCCAGTCGTTTCTCTGCAGCAAAATTTCAGAAACAAAAAAATGACCTGTCAGTCGACCCATATGCCTAAAAGAAGCCTTGAAGCCGGAAAACCAGGCAAACAGTATTTCGCAAGCACTGGAATTCACTTTGTCTAATCTAGGCCGGTTCGTTTCGGTATTGGGACTGCAATTTGTCTGACGCCATTTATCTGTATGTGTGCGTGCATGGAAGCGGTCAAGGACGTAGTGGGTTTGTGGACAACACAGACGAGGAATGGATGAGAACCAGCGGTCCATGAACCTTCTCAGGTGGCAGCTATCGTCATGACATATCGTGGTAATAGAATCATATTTGTGCACCAATGTGCTGACAAAGGCAGCTCTCTGCGTCAGGCTCTCACCGCCAAAGAATTCCTGAAAGCCGATAACGCCCCCCGTCTCGTTGCATGCCACCAGCCAGCCGCCTGATCGACGACGGGCTCTCTTGGACATCTTCGCAGTGTTACAGGTGACAAAATCACAGGCTTCTGCTATGTCAAGATCTTCGGTTGTTTCCTTGGTCTGGCTAGGCTTGGACTGGATATGAATCTGGGCACGAATCCAATCGTGAAGCGGCCATGCCAAGTCGACCATACCAGCAGGTTTGGACCGCAGCAAATCCTGTGGACCCCTGGCTACGCAATGCTTCTTGAAGATGCGGACCCCGCAGTCGACAGAGGCAGGCCTGTCATGGGTGTGACAAAAAGAGCGCTTACGCCCTGGTGTCTTGTCCTTAGATGTTCAAAGTCCAGGGCCGAAGAAATTTCAACATGGGCCCTTCCACTGCCAGTGTATGTGCTAAATATCTGTATTCCCCATGCGGGCGCACCACCCCAGACAGTTTTGTGGCAGCTGGCTTCTGATGGCGTGGGGCGCAGATGGCTGGTTGCCATTTTACTCAGTTCGCGGCAATCTCTGGATCCCGGTGATGGCTACGGCTGGGTTTACTCTTTGGCAGCTTTTGCCACGAATTTGGTGCATTTGTTGTTCATCACAGAGCTGGCGGGCCAATGACAGGCACTCTTGCTTGTCTCTTTTGGCTTTGGTGGGTTGGCGGTAGGTGAATGCCATGCTTCGTATGGCTCTTTTGGCCTCGTTAGTTGCTGAGTTCGTGAAAGGCTAGGTCAATCTCCAGCTCGGCTTGACTCTTTTGACCTTCTTGCCGGGGCTCATGAACGTGGCAGCCTACCCTCTGAACGGAGATTCTCAAGCATGCTGAGACTTTATGTACAGGAAGGTGGCCTCTTTTTGAGGCTATGTATTCACAGGATGACCACGATGCTAGAAAGAGCATTATAAGTTTCCTGTAGTAAGTTGGAAAAAGTTTGAAAAAGTTAACTATTGAACATGTAAGCGTCACATTCTTGAACATACAAAAGATCACCACCAGCGATGGAGCGGAGGTCTGCCATCTGCTCGCAGCAGGTTCGTCTTGTCATCTTTTGGTTACCGTCAATGATTGCAACAAGGGGTGTTCCAGCAGATCTGAGCAAGAGGTCAGAGACGAGGGCATTGTACTTTGCCAAATGTTGGTGCAAAATTGCTGCGAAAGGGTCACTGAGAGGGAATGGCTGATCACTAATATCTGGCCATCTCTTCAATAGCTGCAGCTTCATCCACGCATTGGCAATCTTTTCGTGACCATGTTGAACCCCATGATTGGCAAAGTTGTGTGCCCGGCACTCGCCAAGGAAAGAAGCATGCTGATGTACTATGCGTCTGGTAAATTGAGCGTGCCATTCCCAAGTGACCCCAAACCTGGTCGTCAACATAGCTACATCTTGCCGGGCCGTGGCAGCACTCCAAGTATGACGGCCTTTTTCATGAGCTACAAAGTTAGACCAAACATATTTGTTTCGCATGGGACACTTGCGGCGACTGCACACCATGGCAGCATGTGTAGCCTCTGCCAAGCCACTACATGTGAGCACATGGCACGGTACTGCGGTGTATTTGGCCATAGCCTTGCCGCAAGATAAACATGCAGTGGTATGCGTGATTTCTATTCGGCCGGGGGCAGCAATTGCGTCTGCGAGACTTCCAAGGAGTTGTTCTGGAATCTGGGCTGCAGGGTCGGCATTTTGCAAAATCTTCCTCACTTCACGAGGGGAAGGTGGCAACATTCGTTTTGCGCCAGTTGACTACACTAGCTGTCTCTTATACATACATAGGAAAAAACACATCACACATATCATCTTGAGTTTTGGCAGAAGTCTTTGAAGCAGCTTTTGAAAAGATGATTTTTGCTCCTGTGTTATTCACAACATCGTTCCATGTTCAGCCTGAGTGCGGAGCCGAAACGTGTTTGGTGACCTGTGCGTTTTTGGTGAAGTTGTATCCACATCCCCGCTTGGATGGCTAAAATGCTTCAGCACATGTGCGCGTGTGTGTGTGTGTCTGCATCAAAGTTCATATGATATTATGGGTAATGTCATGGTTGCGCAAAAACCTCAAGTAGAGTGGTCTTATCGTGGCAAAGACATCACGCGCATGTCTTCTGAGAATTGCTGCCTCTTGCTTATTATACATCCATGCGTGGATCATGTTGGCCGTGCTGAGTCCGCAGGTCGCGAGTAAGGTTTGCCCGATGGGCTCCCTACACTCCACCAGGTCTACGTGGGGTTCTCCCTCCGCAGCTTCGTGCCGGTCATCTCTCAGATTGATGTTGGGTGCAGCAAGAGCAAGTCACACAGCAGTCTATAAAGCTTAAAGAAGGTATCCCAGTCGTTCGCACGGTCGGCCGGATTGTTATGTCGGGCTTTTCATCTCACACTTCATCTTGCACGCACCTGTAAAGATTTGCAAATAGTACATACTTGAAAATTATATTATATATAAATATATATATATTATATCTATATCTACAAGTAAAGATTTATTTAAGGTAGAAATATTGTGTATATATATATACATAGAAATAATAATTGTTTAGCATAGATACAGTAAAATGTAAAATAAAGATCTCGTTTTTATGTCAAGTTTAAATACTATATATATATATACACTTATAATATATATATATATAGTATATATATATAGATACATATATCGAGAGAGAGAGAGAGATAGATAGATAGATAGAAAGATAGATAGATAGATAGACAGATAGATAGATAGATAGGTAGGTAGGTAGGTAGATCGATAGATAGATAGATATATATATATATACATCACTCAATGCCAAGCATTCTGTGAGATGGGCTTGGTCAGGTCGCAGAGAAAATGTGTATGCTTCCCGGTCCCCGCCTTGAAGCATCGGGCGGTCATAGTCCGGTCGCACTGCTGCCACCGCCCGTTCTGGATCCCGGAGCAATTCTGTCAAGCCTGCCAATTCCGCAAGCTCCTCTGGCATGTCGGTCCAGATGTAGCGCGGCCCGCTGACGCGGACAGCATCAGGCACAGGTGAATGTGGTTGGATTCTGGGGCAAGTGTAGAAAAGAATGCGCTCATGCGCGGCTGCAACGTGGCAGCCACTTGTGCCGGCAAGCATTGCTAAAGCAGTAGTTGGATGAGCATTTCCGACCAATGCGAAAGACACACTGCACGCAGCAGCGCCTCCGTAGGCTCCAGCCGTGCGTGTCAATCTGCTACTTCCTCCGGTCTGGAAAAACCGATTCAAAAGGCTTGTGGCTGAATTGATACCAGCAGGAGATTTTCCATGCGAGGACTTGTTGGCATCATTCCCAGTCAGTAGGCCGAATGCAAGGAAACTGGGGTAAACCTCATCCACGTTTGCCAAGCGGCCGTATCCACCAGGTCCCCAAACTCGGCCACTCTTTTTCTTCACAGAGTAATCACCACTGACTGCTTCGAAAAAAGCCTGTCAGGGAGGCAGATGCTGCTGTCCAGGGGAGATGTCCGCGAGGAATGTGTGCCCAAGACCATGCACCAATGATGTAGTGCAATGTGGGAAGAATGCATGTAGCGTGTGAGAAGGATCTGTATTTCCGAAAGTGTACAACACATGAGGTTTGGGAGTAATGTGGGATAAAGGAAAATAAACCATTCATTTGGGAATGGTTTATACCATCTATTTATGGTGAAATTGTGGATTGTTTATTGTTATTTCGGGAACATTATTTGGAAATCTGCGGGTTCATATATGTATAGTTATGTATCTGCATCAATTAAGGATTGCGTGAGATGCCCGCTCGCCTCTGGCGTGAAGCCTTCTAAGACATTCGACGGAAGGGTCTCGGTCCGAATATCTTCTTCTGCGGCAGGATGACGCTGAAGCACGCGTGCCCGCTCCCGCTCATGACAAGTCTGGTCGATCACCGTGCCAAGTTCCCGGAGCAAGCTGGTGGTTTGACTTTTTCGGCTCTGCGGAGGGTTGATGAGAACTGTGGCTAGGACCAATGGCGTTGGTTCTGTCCATATTCTCACCTGCGCTCCGTTCGCTAATGGGGCTAGGCCAGCTAAAACAGACATAGAAATCGCCATCGTGTGCAAACACTTCTTGGCAGCTTGCTCTTCCAAGAAGAGCCTTCCGACCTCTCCGAAAAGTTCTTGGAGGTCAAAGTGGTTTTCCACCAAGGCCCACGCCTGCTCAACGACCATGTTGTCCGACATGGTTCGGCAAGATCTAAAAGGCAGTGCCGAGAAAATGGTCGAGACGTTTCTCTGCTGGAAAACGATCTGAAGGGTAGATTCAATGGAAATGTGAAATTTTGTAAATATTGTGACAGGTTGGCAGGGGCCCATGTAACGATATTGTCTGGTATGGCTTGAGGTCAATGGGAATAAATTTCTTGGGAACATCATGGTAAAGGAGGAAGAGGATGTCATGTATGCCATGGCAGGACCACTACTGACCATAAGTCTCCTGCATTTGTGTTGCGGCACGGGCATTGCCGAGCAGCACCCCTGCAGTGGCGCTGCTGTCCCATTGATAAACAAAGCAGAGCGGCGGAACGGATGGCCAGAGTCATGTGAAGTAAAGGATGTAGCCGCAAAGATGTGGAGGAGCTGGATGACATATACAGAGAACGCAGGGGACATGGAGGACGTAGAGGACGGCACGTCAAGGACGCGAAGCACCCACAGGACGTAGAAGAGACAGGACGGGAGAGACATAACGTAGAGGAGCAGATAGCAAGGACTTAGAGTACACACAGCACGGACGGGACGTGAAGGACGCAGAGGACAAAGAGTCCGTAGAGGACGTAGCGGACGCCAAGGACATAGAGGACGGGACGTCAAGGACGTAGAGGACGTCAAGGACGTAGCGGACGTCAAGGACATAGAGGACGGGACGTCAAGGACGTCAAGGACGTAGAGGACGTCAAGGACGTAGAGGACGTAGAGGACGCGGAGGACGTGGAGGACGTGGAGGACGGGATGTCGAAGACGGAGCATGGGAGGAGGAGACGTCAAGGACGTAGAGGACGTGAAGGACGTAGCGGACGTCAAGGACATAGAGGACGGGACGGGAAGGACGTAGAGGACGTAGAGGACGGGATGTCGAAGACGGAGCATGGAGAAGGAGACGTCAAGGACGTAGAGGACGTCAAGGACGTAGCGGACGTCAAGGACATAGAGGACGGGACGTCAAGGACGTAGAGGACGTAGAGGACGTGGAGGACGTCAATGTCCAATGTCCTGGTCGATGTCCTGAAGTGCAAGGCGGGCAATTATGGAGTCCTGGGCCTTATGTTTGGGGGTTTTTGTTGGGGAGCGGCTGTGTGCCGTGTTACATCGGTAAGATGTAGATCTGGTTTGTGGCCTTATGTTGCCGCCTTTGCACTCCTCTGTCGCATTGGTGAAGCGGCTAACCCTGGCCCCAGACCTGAATCAAGTTTTGTCTTAGGCGCTTTCAACCCGTCAGGTCTTCCTGGCAAAGCACCTTACCTTGTTTCACAATTTGCCCAAGGGGATGTTTGGGCTGTTTCCGAAACCCATTTGAGTGAAAATGCCATGAGTCAGTTCCGGGCCAGTATGCATTTTGCTAGAGGACCCTACAAGTACATGATTGGAGGGCACCCAGTCCCTGCACAGAATGACAGGACCTTCCATGCTTCGTGGAGAGGTGTTGCCGTGCTTTCTAAACACCCTACACGAGCCGTGCCCACTCATTTGCCAGATGATGTCCTTGGTTCTTCACGAGCCTTGGTCACCACGTCACTCATACAGGACACTTGGGTCACAGGGGGAGTGGTCTATGGAGAACCAGAAAGTGGTACGTACCCACAGCATAGGATCAACAATGAGAGACTCCTTCAGGAGGTGGCCAATCATGTTTGCTGTCTCACCAAAGGTCCGAGGTACGTTGCCGGCGACTGGAATATGTCACAGTATGAGCTTCCAGTTTTCTCACAACTTGAAGCGGCAGGTTTTTTGGACATACAAGATGTAGCCAATCGTTTCTGGGGGATCCCTATTCAGCCCACTTGTAAAGGGGTCACACGTAAGGATTATCTTTACATTTCCCCTGAACTCCAGCAGCTGCTGCATTCAGTCGAAGTTCAACAGGATGTGTTTCCTGACCATGCCGTACTTCTTGGTGTGTTTCACCCCATGAAAGCCTCTGTTCCCAAACAAATTTGGTTTTCACCTGTTCAGTTTCCGTGGCCAGTGACCTGGGAGGTTGATGAGCAGTTCTGGCGATCCACGCCTGGAACATGTGAACAGCGGTATGTAGCTCTCTGGCAACATATTGAGTCAAATGCGGCCCGAGCGGTGCCATTTCCTGTCCCAAAAAAGGCCAGGGGTAGGGCGAAGACAATGACTACCTCACCTGTAGTGGCTGGTAAAACGCCAGCACCTCGCCTTGCCAGAAAGGGTGACATACAACCACAATTTGTCTGCTCCTCGTTCAGGCACACCCAGTGGTTGCGCCAGGCGCGAAGACTCCAAGCATACTGTAGGTATGTCAAGTGCAATGATGCAGTTTCCAATCATGCCTGCTTAGTCTGCGGGGCAATCGTAAGGGCTAGAGGGTTCAACCCAACGTTTTCCCAATGGTGGACTCATGCCACTACACACACGCATGGAGCACCAGCACAAGTGCCACTCATTCCACCAGCGTGGGGGATTGCCACGAGCATCTATGAGTCCATGTTGCTTGCGTTACGACAGTTTGAACTTGAACTGCAAAAGTCGTCCCGGCTCTATGCCAGACTGAAACGTGACAGCAACCCAAACGCCATTTTCCATGATTTGAAAACACACTCAGACCATGGAGTTCATGTTCTGTTACAACCCAAACCTGCCAGGGTGCTTGAGGTGCGTCCTGAGGAAATGGCTATTGTCCTTGATCGTCCAATGCAATTTGACCCCCTGCAGCCGGTGGTATGTAATGCAGCACGATTGCCTGTCATCCATGCTGAACATGATTGTGTGTGGGTTGAGTCCCTTGCTGGGGTTGAAGTTGGTGGCACAGTTACGCAGACCCAACAGATTGGCACGGATGAAGACCTGTTTCACACTTTCCTGTCGGCATGGAAAGAAATGTGGGAACGCCATACACATGTCCCGCCCCAGAGGTGGACGTTGATTCTTGAGTTTGCAAGACAGCACTTACCCAGAGTGCAGTTTTCGATGCCGCAGATGACTATGGAAGCATTGAGCCACTGCCTTTCCCACAAAAAGGCGGCCACAGCCAGTGGCCTGGATGGTGTTTCCCTGGCAGACTTGCGGGCCATGCCACCAGCGGCCCTGTGCAATTTTGTAGACATCTTTACACATGCGGAAGAGACGGGCCTTTGGCCGTCACAATTAGTTTCAGGGAGAGTTGCCTGTATTGCCAAGAAACCGGAGCCACAACGAGCGTTAGATTTTCGCCCCATTACTGTGCTTGGGCTCTTGTACCGTTGCTGGGGTACATTCCAAGCCAGACACATCATCCAGCGTTTAGATGTGCACCTGCCCACCGGGCTCTTTGGCAGCAGACCGAAGAGATTTGCAGGTCAGGTCTGGTCCCAGCTGCTTTGGTCCATAGAGCAGGCATACGAACAGGAGATCCAATTGAGTGGCATCATAGCTGACATTCAAAGAGCGTTCAACTTTTTACCACGCCTTGTGGTTTTTGAGTGTTGTGCATTGGTTGGCATCCCATTTCATGTGCTGCGTGCATGGGCAGGAGCCCTGACCATCATGCCACGGCGGTTTCAAATCAATGGGGCCCTCAGCCCCCCCGCTTACAGTAATTGTGGACTGCCAGAGGGTTGTGCTCTTTCATGTGTGGGAATGATGGTCATTGACATGGTTTATCATGCATGGATGTCTCACTTTTTCCCTATGTGCCAGCCCCTTTCGTATGTTGATGATTGGCAGGTTTTGATGACAAACCCGGATCTCATTCGGCCTACCTTGCAATGCCTTGAACGTTTCACACAGGCGATGGACTTGCTACTGGATCGTAACAAAACTCACACCTGGTCTGTTTGTGCTCAAGGTCGTCAGCTTATACGTGAGCAAGGACTGGATTTGGTTGCTTGTGAGCGAAACCTGGGCGCGCATGTCCAATTCACTAGGATGCACACTAACAGCACCCTGGTTGCCCGTATTCAGGGAGCTCAACATTTGTGGGTAAAACTGAGACTTTCGGCCTGTAACTACTTTGCAAGGTGCGAGCAATTCGAGTAGCTGCTTGGCCTAAGTTTTTGCATGGTATCCCTGCTACTTCCCTCAGTTTGACGATGTTCAAGTCCCTGCGGTCTGGTGCAATGCGTGGGCTCCGAGCTGATGCCGCGGGAGCAAATCCAATGGTACAGTTGGGCCTAATTGAGAAATCTGCCACGGACCCGCACAACTGGGCCATACAGCAAACCATACGTCTCACACGTGATTGTGGAAGTCGAGAGAGGGTTGAACAGGTTTTGGCTGATATTGTTGCAGGCTCCAATGCTTTCCCCAGGAACAGTATCACCCACACCCTGTGTACCAGGCTACAGTTCCTGGGCTGGCACATCAATGACCAAGGTATGATTGTGGATCAGTATGGAACCTTTTCCCTTTTTGAAACTTCGATGGCGGAGCTTCAATATCGGCTCGACCTGCAGTGGCCCAGGGTGGTTGCAGCTTCCACAGCTCACCGCCGATGTTTTGATGGTTTGGAGAACTGTGACGTGACTGCAACTAAACACTGGCTTCAATCATTGGATGCGGCCGACCAAGCCTTGTTTCGCAAGGTGCTGAATGGCACCCATTTCACCCAGGATGGGAAGATGTATTGCCAGGAAGCCTCTTCTGATGAGTGCCTTTTTTGCGAATGTAGTGACAGCAGATATCATAGGTTTTGGGAATGCCCCAGATTTGAGACTCTGCGTGATGGGCTCACTCCAGCCCTGCGCCGCTGCATTAGTGAACTCCCTGAGGCACTCACATGTGCTGGCTGGTCATTGCAGCCCACCACGATGTTTGAGTGGAACTGTTATTTTGCTGGATTGCGGGCCCTTCCCACGCCTAGTTTCACTTTTCACGGTGACATCTACATTTTCACTGATGGAAGTTGTTTCAACCAACAATTTGGCAACCAACGGTTTGCTGGGTACGCAGTTGTTTTAGCCTCAAGCACCAGTGTGTATGACTGCCAGGATAGTAGGATTCTGGACTCAGGACACCTCCCAGGCATTCTGCAGAGTGCAATCCGGGCTGAACTTTTTGCTGTGCTCAGGGCCCTACGTATTACTCAGGGGTCCGACAACAGATTGTTTCTTTGGTCTGATTGTGACAGTGTGATTAAGAAACTCAAGCGCATCATATCTGGCCATGATGTACGGGTTAATAGTTCGCACTCTGATTTATGGCTGGAGATTCAAACATTAGTCCGTGAGCGTGTTTCCCCATTGTTTGTTGCAAGAGTGGCGGCGCACCAGTGCACTGATGATGTTGGAGACATTTATACAGATTGGTGTTTTCGTCACAATGGCATAGCAGATAAACAAGCAGTCCGCGCGAACCTGTCGCGCAGTCAGGATTTTTGGGCTCTTTGGCAACGACATACCACTGCATGTGATGGCATTGCATGGTTCAACCGAACTGTGCAGCAGGTTCAGCTGGCAATCAGCAAAGAAGTGACCCGTGAGGAAGCTCCCCCAAGTGAAATGCCGATAACCCATGTGCTGATGCAGGAGAAACCCCGGATTCACTGGGCGCCTCTGCCTACGCTGTTTCTTTCACCTGCGGCAATGCGATGGTATGGAGAAAAGTTGGTCAGACATATCACTAGTTGGTTTTGGGCCGCAGTTTCAACCAGTTGTCATGAAGTTCAGTGGGTGTCTCACTTTCAACTGTACATAGACTTCATGCTCACAACAGGAATGCCCGGGCCCATTAAGAAAGACCGATGGTATGATGGTGCTGATTTTCCTTTTCTTAGCCTCCACAATTACAGCTTCCGCCAACGAGCCAGATGGTTCACGAAAGTTTTGAAGGAAACATTAAGGCACATGCAAATAAAGCTCTCCTTTGACTACAAAAGGCCGGCTTCTCAGATGGTCCTAATGTATCCTAATGTTCACTGGGGTTGTTGCTGTGCCGTGGTGTCCACAGCGGCTTCAATGGATCGACGATTGGATGTTGCGTCACGGTGGCCACACTTTCAGACGCCAGACTGCCGCGATTGACAATCTGCCTTTGGCTAGTAGGTCACCGCTGTTTCCACCCCATATTGTTACCACTATTGGTACATGAACCACCCAATACGGGTCACGTTCGGAACCAACGTGACGCGATGGTCAAAATGGGAGTCAAAATGGTGGTTTGGAACATGGCTTTTATTTTTCCATATACTGGGAATGTCATCATCCCAACTGACTATGACTAATATTTTTCAGAGGGGTGGCTCAACCACCAACCAGATATACAATGGAAAGCCATTACCCTCTGGTAAACAAACAGTTTGCGAACTTGAACATTGCCATAGAAATAGTTGATTTCCCCATAAAAAATGGTGATTTTCCATAGTTTTTTGTATGTTTACCAGGCCGGGTAACAATCAATTTCAGTCGGAGACTTTGAGTGGGTTGGAAGCCAATGGATTAAACATACGACACACGTGCCGCCAATGTTTTTCAGCAAAGAACACGGTTCTAATTTTGCAGGGTATGAGTCATTTTTTTTGGGAAATGCTTACTTCAAACTTGGGATATCTGATATCTTTCAAGATCTTTGGCTAGCGAAGACACTTTGCTGACCAAAATCTGGGTCCAATCAGTCTCACCCCTCATCAAAGCCCACCAAATGGCTAGTTGATGAGTTTCCTCCAAATGGCTGAACTGTTGAACCTTCCTTTGTCCGTATCTAGAACAGAGCTACTGTAGCTAATACAATGCAAGGGATATTCAAAGCCAGGCTGTAGAATTTATCAACATAAATCAACATCATTTAACCATCATTTGTCATCATTTATCAGTGACATTCCCCCAATTTTACTTGTTGACACCATATTATAAACCACAATTTTATATCAATAATACTCCCATATCCTTATTACCATCCAACATTTCCCATCACCAATACCAAACGACCACCAGCATTGAAGCCAAAAAATATTATCATCCAATTCTTATTCAGATCATATATGTATATATATATATAATATTAATAATCATAATACAACAACAACAATAATATTCCCAGTATCCCAATTGTTGAGTGTTAAGTTCCATTAAATCCCATGACATCACATGTTTTTCATGAAAAATCACCATGTTTCTTGGTTTTTCACCAGCCTTCCACCAGCTGAGACCACCAGCCACGCGTCCGCAGGTGGTGGCGGTGCTGACCTTGGCGGCCACCTGTCCGACCTTCGTGGGCTCCCCCTATCGCCTCAAGTTGCAGGCGGCCAAGGTCGGCTGCGGATGGTACCATCGAAATCCGACACCTTTGAGGTTGGTGTTTCGCCCAGAAATCCAAAACTTACTGGTGCTAAACGTAGGGAGTTTTTGGGAATGATCCACTGGCTAACTATCAATAATAATCCTAATAAACCTCATTCGTAATGATTAGTACTGAAGTACTCGATTCATGAAAACTACGTATATGAATCATATTGAATCATATAGAATCATATAGTCGCATGGGAATGAGGGAATGATCCATCTTCATCCATATATTAACTATTCATAATAATCCCATTCCCATCCATTCCCTACTAAGCACCAGTAAGAAAAATACCATCAACATCTCTCTCGAAATTTGTTCGTTTTTTTGGGGTTTTGTGAGATTCACCATGTTCATGATTCCCATGTCCCATATGAAAAAACATCCCCATCGGTGTCCCAGGACCTGTGGACGTTACCAAACCATGGGTTGAAAAATTCGGGTGTTTAAGATGCCATACCTGGGAACGACTCATTAGATACGAACTAGTAACTAGTACAACATCCATCTTTTGTGATGTCAATGGTTAAAAAACAGTTTCCAGCTTTTTTTTTTTCGACAGGTTTTATCAGATTCACCATGTGAAAAAGACCTTGGTTGATTGGTGATATTAGTGGTTATAACATGGAACTACACATCATTTACACATGAGGACATAGTTGATAAGCTGATGGTGTGATGCCATACCTGGGAACGACTCATTAGATACGAACTAGTGTGATGGGTTACAGTTTCCAGCTTTTGACTACAGGTTTTATCAGATTCACCATGTGAAAAAGACCTTGGATTGGTGATATTAGTGGTTATAACATGGAACTACACATCATTTACACATGCTGATGGTTGATTGGTTGATTTGTTGGGACTTATTACTACCAAACTTATTGGGCATGATACCGCATAGTAGGGAAATGGTTTTCAAATTGTCCCTATTAATAGGGACATGTCGGACATGCAAGTCAACTAACAAAATAGTAGACATGATTTAGCTCCAGTAATCAGCCCGCTTGCTCAAAGCACGAGTGTGCAGCCAACAGTTAAAATGCACTGACTCTACCTATCATTTGGCTCTGCATCAAAAAAAATGGTGGCAAAACAGCGTGTAGCGTGCAGTTTCCCTACGTTTTTTCCTCCGATAAACGTGGCTGGGAAAATCATCGAACTACTTTCCAGGGGGATTCATGGTTTGGAGGTGGGATTTGACCCTGCTAGGTGGTTTCTCCTGTGATCCCCATTCAAAACACACTGTTTCATAGGAATTCCAATAGTTACCCTGCCTGGTGCAGCATTTCGCAGCCATTCAGAATAGCTAAACCAACTTTTTGAAGCAAAGGGAGCGATATTCTAGAGCTATGTGAAAAATGATGTCAAAACCTATTACTATCAATTTTAGTGGGATGAACAGCTATTTACCAGCTATTTTGATGTGAACTACAGGGCTACATGGTTTTGACCCATTCCCATGTGAAAAATGACGTCAAAGTTAGAGGCGAATGGGCTTTGGTCGGCCCACCCGGCTCTCACGCGGGTTTTTCGCGTTTCCAGGACACCTCCCTCTCCGAGCAATTCGCTGACTTCGCGGACCAGTTCAAGACGGCCAGTGTGGCTGGTGCGGTGCCATGGTCCCAATGCAATGGCACGACTTGGGGGAATCTCACTGGGATCCTGGGAATCCTGGGACCTCCAAGATGAAGCCGGCTTGGTTGGGGTTGATTCTTAATTACTTGGGAAAAGCTGTGCAAAGTGGGAAAAGAATGGAAAAGAATGAAGGGCGAGGGATGAAGGCTAGACATGATGACGGTCTGCATGACCTGGGAGGTGGGTGATGGTTGGTGGTTTTGGCTCATGAATTCAGAAATCGCGGCATACAAGTATCGACGGAGCCTCAAACTTGCTGTTTCGTATCAAACACAGATTCACAGTTTTCAGCTAAAAATCCATGTGCGTATGTTTACAGGATTTTTCACTTGTATCAAGGTGCTAGACAAGTAGGGGCTCAATATTGCTGAAGCGATTTTTTTCTCCAGCAACAATCCAACCTGCGAGGGCAATGAGACATCCCAATTTTCAACGTAAAATCATCAATGGGTGATGTTCCAGTGCTACGTTTCTCTGGTGCACTTGGCCCAGGTTGCCTTCTTCATGAACTGCGGAATTCAGGGTGTGAATGCGGATCCCTCCACGTTGTCCAATGCCTACGCCACCAGCCCTGGTGGGGTAGCAGCACCCATGGAACAACGAATCAGCCACTGGGACTGCCTGAGACACCTGTGGTATAAGCCCCCGTCATGATGGCCCCCTTGTCATACTGGTTTGATACCTGAATATGGGGATCTACCCTCTGGTAATTTAACATAGCTATTGAAAATGGCCATAGAAATAGTGGATTTACCCATTGCAAATGGTGATTTTCCATAGTTTTTTGTATGTTTACCAGAGGGTAGCCCAAATTTGTGGCACTTTTTCGATGAAGATCCATAGATCCTAGCGATGTTGGGGTTCACGAAGGTACACGGCTTTGACCCATAGCCATATCTTGCAACTGGAAAACCACGAAAAAATCAGCTGTTACCCTCTAGTAAACATACAAAAAACTATGGAAAATCACAATTTTTAACGGGTAAATCCACTATTTCTATGGCCATTTTCAATAGCTATTTTGACATAACCAGAGGGTACCAATACCAACGTGGAGATCATCAGAATGCCTGTTTTTCGGCGAACAAAAACTGTGATGCCCAAGTTTCAGTCGCGACAAAAAGCTTCTGAATCCCCACCTACATCCAACTATTGATGTGACAAAGCCATGAATCCCCAAGATAATATCCAACTATATAATTATTGATCATTGATCCATGAATCACTATATCCAACTATTGATGATCCATTTTTACCAATATTTTTTTGGGGGTTGGTGGTTCCAAGTTCCAATCCATCCCTGACGTGGCCTGATTCTGGGCGAGGTGGGAAACTCCACCAGCATTTCAAGGTGTCCAATTTCCAAACGGGAAACAATTAACGGGGTGAAACCCACATCTTTCTCGATGAAAAGCCCCAGGCCAGAACTTGGAATAAGTTTTGGAAAAAGTTGAATTGGTTCGTTGTTCTCTTCACTTTGGTGAAGAGGAACCGCCAGAAAAGGCGAAGTTTTCAGCTTTGTAAAAGAATGCAGTCTGCTCAGACAAGTGGTTTATAGCCTTAGTTAACATATGTCCACTGATTAACAACATTAGATATAACATTAGTGGTCTATAGCCTCTGTAAGATATGTCAACGTTAGATATAGATATATAGGATTAGATATGACACTTAACACCTGGGTATAGTCTGGTTATACAAAACGCCTTTGGGTCTGGCTAGACCTAGGCCACGCGCCGGCGCACGCGCCCCTGAACTACCAGGGAGTGCAGCAACAGCTGGTGATGAAAGACTTTGATGCGCAATCGGGATATGTTCATCAGGTGTCAGCCCCTGCGACTCAGCCGCAATGATGATAGTGCGACATAGTGGCCCAACAAAAATGATGGCCATCATCATGTCTAGTGAAATAAGGATAGGTGCATCATCAATGTCGATAGTATCAACGGAGTTGCCCAGAGGCATGACTGGATAGGTTCATCATCAATGTCCCACCCCTGGTCTCCCAGTGAACAAGCCACAAATGAGCAGAATCAACTATATTGGCATGGTTACAAAATCTAGAGAATATAGCTATCTATATATATATATATATTATATATATATATATCCATCTATCTCTATCTCTATCTCTATCTCTATCTCTATCTATATCTCTATCTCTATCTCTATCTATCTATCTATCTATCTACCTATATATATATTATTCTACATTATCTATACATAATATCATGTAGTATTCCAAACAACTTCTTGACCTCCCAGGCGGATGTTCGCGTAAGGGAGGCTGATGCCAATGCACTTCAGGCGGATCTATGGACTAGGATTGGGTTGTGGACTATGATTCTCCAGGGATTTTCGTGAGATAAAATGGGTTATTTTATGGGATTTTCCATGGGATTTAATGGAATTTAAATACAAGGACCATTAATGATGACCATATGGAATTGCACTCATATAATTTAGTTATAATGAGATTTAATGGCAAATAGTAAGATTTATCGGGATTTAATGTTTTTTTTTCTTCCAGCAATAATGGATGATTGCCCTCTGGTAATTGAACAGGTTGCTAAACTCGCTTCCATGCAAAGCGAGTTTTTGGATGTTTCAACTGGGGTATTAGTTGATTTTTACGCATCTAGAAGCCTGGAACCACCATTGCGTGGACTACCCTCTGGTAATTTAACGTAGCTATTGAAAATGGCCATTTATAGTGAGTTGTCCCATTAAAAATGGTGATTTTCCATAGCTATGTTAGTTTACCAGAGGGTATACTACTCAAATTAGCCTCTGGTAAACAAAAAGCAATGGAAAATGGCCCATTTATAGAAATAGGAGTTGATTTACCCATGAAAAATGATGATGATTTTCCATAGTTATGCAAACGTTTACCAGAGAATAATGAATGCTATTGGGGTTTATTGTATCACAATCATTCACAATCGGGGAATCCCATCAACCAGGATCATTTAGACGTTGCGACACGTTGCGGGTCACGCGATTATCGGGTGAACTTGGTGAAAACCGTCCATTGGGTGTTGCAAATCCCAGATTCAAACACGACATTTACACGAGTATGTGACGCAGTATGTGGATATATTATAATACGTTGTATTGATTTGAAACTAGTCTGTATCTTGTATATGTATATGAACATATATTGTATATATATATATATGTATATGTATATATATGTATATATGTATATGTATATATGTATATGTATATATATATGTATATATGTATATATATATACCACATGGTATTTATTCATACCAACCCAGTCCACAGCACTTCTGAAACCACTCGTCAGGCAGCGAATGACCAGACCGCAGGCGACGCTGCGAAGGTTGAGGTACAACGGGGTTGCTGGAGCAACTGGTGGCATACTATGCATGGAGATTGAATGGTTTAACCTGGTTTTAATGTACTAATTATAGTACTCACCTGGTTTAATGGTAGTTTTAATGTACAAACCAGGTAGTTTTATTGGTTTAATGGTAGTTTAACCTGGTTTCACCTGGTTTTGTCATGTTTTATATGGTTTTTACGGTGGATATTCGGGATATTTTTTTTGGATAGTAATGGTTCCATTCGCCTCCGGTGTGTGGAGGATCATCCCACAACTCGTGTCATAACTTCATAACCATAGGTAAACCATCTATTTATAGACGGGATACCCTCTGCTAAACCTACAAAAAACTATGGAAAATCACCATTTTTAATGGGAAAACTCACTATAAATGGCAATTTTCAATAGCTATTTTGACACAACCAGAGGGTAAACGACGAAATGGGGACGGATCGCTGTTAGGAAAACCACAGACATTTTAGCGATCCGTGGGATGATCCTCCAAGTATCCACCTAATTACAAGATACCCTCTGGTAAACTAACATAACTATAGAAAATCACCATGTTTAATGGGTCAATCCACTATAAATGGGGTATTTTCTGCAGCTATGTTAGTTTACCAGAGGGTACGGATGTTGTATGGTGAGGGTGCGGATGTTGTTTTTGGGGTCTATGCGGATGTTTGTCGAAGATGTTGCGTGTTCCATAAAAAGGAAACCACCTTCCCCATCTTTGAAGGCCAGGCCTTCAAAGCGCAGTGAAGGCCATGCTATGCAACACCATGGAGCGACCAAATAACGCAAACCATGTTTCATACCCTCTGGTAAACTAACATAGCTATGGAAAATCACAATTTTTAATGGGAAAATCCACTATTTCTATGGCCATTTTCAATAGCTATGTTAGTTCACCAGAGGGTAACGATAAAGGGATGATGAACTTGGATAAGAACAAGTTTCTCGGAATGCCATGGATGATGTGAACCCCTCATGGCCTACCATTCGTGTTCAACTTTTAGATATTTTTTTCGTGTTGCTGGGTGGCATCCAAAAGGATGCAGAAAAGGTTGGATTTGCAACTGAATCAACTGAATTTTATGATGGGAAATGTACTAATTCATTGACTTTTTCCATATCATATTCATATATATATATTATATATATATATATTCATATGTTCATATTAATTGACTTTTCCAACTTACTAAGTATTTCATATTTTACTTCTCCATTTATCTTGACATGGGTTGACCCAGTCGCTTTGAAAAGATACGCAGGCGAGCGCGGTGAAGCAAGTGGAGACGGAAGAAGAGGCCCGGCCGTAGATGGCCTGGTAGATGATTGAGTTCAAACCTGTGCCATTTTCAAACCATGTCATGTATGATTGTCATGGATATTTATGGATATTTGAATGGCATTTTTTGGGATAAAAACCTCCCATCAATGGATTGGTTTTAAGGAAAATCTTACAGGACGCCTCCACATGAAATGTCTGAAAAAATCCATGGTTTCCGGTGAAGATTTTCCCAACAAAACCAATCCACCAATCCTTTTTTCTTCGGACTCCAGACAATTTTGCGGAACTTCCCACCATGTTTCCGGATGTTTCTTTTCCTACCTTCATGGTGTACCCTCTGGTAATTTAACATAACTATGGAAAATCACCAGTTTTAATGGGAAAATCCACTATAAATGGCCATTTTCAATAGCTATGTAACAAATTACCAGAGGGTACCTTCATGGTGTAGCGGTTTTGGAAAAACTTCCGGCTTGGAGGTGCAGCTGGAAGCGCTGGAGGGTCGCATCAAAGAGGAGAAGTTGCGGCTCTCTGAGGCGGCGGAGCAGCTGAAGACCCTGGAGGAGACGTGTCCGGCGGTATGAGGTCACCGAAATTTTCATGGGTTCATAGATGTTCATAGTGATATGACTTGGTTCTATGGGGAGACTGGGATACGGAGATACTGGAAAATGGATGAATCTGGAGGTTTTACCCTCTGGTTATGTCAAAATAGCTATTGAAAATGGTGATTTATAGTGGATTTTCCCACTAAAAATTGTGATTTTCCATAGTTATGTTAGTTTACCAGAGGGTAATGGAATTTACTTGGATATTGAAATCAGATTGGAATGCGGTTGGATTCTAGGTTAGTTGACCCTCCACTAACCTGACAAAGATATGGCAATCCACCTTGAGTTTTCTGATAATTGTCTGAGCGAGATAGCGTGGATTTTCCATATCCACGTTGGTATACTGGAGGGCAGCTGATATAACCGACAAACATTGGATATTGAGTAAACAGTGTCGTTCACAGGTTGGAATCCAACAAACAACACCTCGGGCTCAAGTGGCATTTCTTGAAACAATGAGGATAGAATCAGCAATGACAAAATAGGATTTACCCTCTGGTAATTTAACGTAGCTATTGAAAATGGTGATTTATAGTGGATTTTCCCATTATATAAAAATGGTGATTTTCCATAGCTATGTTAGTTTACCAGAGGGTAACTGCATGAAAAATACCCTTTGTTGGACAACCCTCCACAACATGTGGACTTAAATGGGATGAAAAACCCATGAAATTCCAGGGTATTGGGGGATTTGAAGCACCAAGACGAGTCCCATAAAGGGTATGTGAATGGGGTTACATATCTGGGTAAATTATAACGACCTCACTGCGACCTCACTGGAATCATAGTTAATAAGGGAAATCATCCCCAAATGGCCGCAAGATTCAGGTTAGTGAAATATTATAATTTACCCAGATGTATGTTTTACAAAAGTTGATGGGGATGGAGATTTCGGATAAATTTCTGGATGGCATGCTGATCACCTGGTCTTTCCCATCTCCTCATCTCTGGAAGGTATACCGAGCCGGTGTTTTCGATGGTTCATAGATGATATAGAAATATACCTGCCATGATCATACCTCACAAAGACATACCCAAATCCTGCCATGGTTTCTCTTTGAGGTACGTCTGCTGGGATTTGTAGCGGTTCTAGCACCACTTCTCAGCCTCTCCGCCCCAGGAGGATCTTCAGGCCGCAAAGGTTAAGCGAGCCATGCAGGACGGAAATTGGGGCGGGCCCTGGACTTCAACCAAAAAATCCAAGGCCTTGGTGACCTTGGCCGCCACTGAGTTGATTGAAGGCTTACTAAACATCTGGCAGTGTGTCAAAACCTTGTACCCCTGTAGTTCACATCAAAATAGCTGGTAAATGGATGTTCATCCCCTAATAAACTGTATCTATAGGTATTGATCCATACCCATCTATGTTGGGGCTGGGACTAACCGATGTTGGCTATTCTCATGGCAAAGCCGATGGCATTTGTGAAGGGATTCTTGTCGTTCATACCTCTGACTTCACACACAATGAAGTGTCTCCTACTGACCACCAATCGGGTTGCAGCATATTATGAGCCCCTTCAACTCCTACCCACCCCAAAGATCGTGAACAATCAACATCTCTGGTATATCATCATATTTCTCACTTTTTCCTCTGGTAATTTGATCTTCATTCAATCCACAGCCATGGAACATGACCATTTTCAACAGGTAAATCATCCAGGTGGGGCCCCCACAAAGTTGGGAAATGGCCCACCCCCCATGACCATGGATTTCCATCCACAGGATACGAAATCCAAATCGCCAGTTGGTAGATGATTTCTCCCGAAAAAAGTCCAATTGTTTACAACGTTTCATAGGGATCCCACTAGTTACCAGCTGGTGCAGGTGAACCACAGTAGGTAAATCAACTATAAGTCCATGGGCTTCCATAGCTATGTGAAAAATGATGTCAAATCATCCAATCATTATATTCCATAGCCATGTGAAAAATTATGCTAGATTATTCCATAGCTATGGCCTATATTCCATACAAGGTGGTGCCCCATAGTTAGCTAAGTTGGTTTATAACTCCAATAACTATGGTTTATGGTAGATATATCTATAGTTAATGGGGTTTATAAACCAACTTATAACTGGGGGAGCACCACCTTGTAGCTATAAACCATGAACCATTTACCAACTGGTGGACCCCGGCTTGCCCCAGGAGGCCGCTGGCATGGACCTTTCCACCGAAGCCGGGGAGGGCTGGGGCGGCTTTCGAGATCTGCTACTCTTGGGCTTTGGCGCCGTCCTGGGAGCTGCACCTGGGAACGATGGGAACGTTGGGCTTGGAATGGAAGAAAAATGCAAGGCGCTTGAAGGCAGTTGATGGTTATATTATCTGAGATATCACTATTAATTTAATGCCATTGTTATTAATTATTATTATTATTACTATTACTATTATTGTTGTTATCAATTATTTCTAACTTATGAATTTATGCTTGTCATTAGATAATTTTGGTCTTCCGGGACTGAAATCCGAGGAAATAGGTGGAACATGGACCCAGATGATTTACCCTCTGGTAAACTAACAGTTTGCGAACTTGAACATGGCCATAGAAATAGTGAGTTTTCCCATTAAAGATGCTGATTTTCCATAGTTCTGTAAAGGTTTACCAGAGGGTAAGCATGGTCGAAACACCGAGAAATGTCTTGATTATATGTTCCATGGTGAAGGTCCACAGGTCGTTTTCCCCCATCCACCTACTGAGAGGATCCATCAACAAAAACCAGGGCTGACCCAAAGGGAAAAAAAACATCCATCCCTAGATTCTAACAACCATCAAACAAAGCAGAGCTGTTTTTTTTCCCCAAAAAACATGGGAACACTGGCCACTTCCCCAAAAAACCAAAAAAAACCACGGCTTCCGGCTCCCAGGTAGGCCATGGCCTGGCAAAGCTGAAGGAGGAGTGGTCACCTAAGATGCCCATGACGATGCCTTCGCCCTCCATGCAGCCCTCCACGGTGGCCACTTCTGGAGCACTGGGCTTGGCCTTTGCGGCTTCGGTGCCGCAGCAAGAGAGAGAGACGGGCCTCGGGAATTTCATGAGATTTCATAGGGGGTTCATATGAGCTATGGTCAATACTCATGGTTAATAACCATTAAAAACGGGGCTAGTCATCCAATGGTGATTTAATGGGATTTATAATAACCATTATATATAAGGATCCTTATTATGGATGGGATGACCATCAACCATATAGTGAGTATTGACCATGGCTCATATGATTTACCCTCTGGTAAACTAACAGTTTGCGAACTTGAACATGGCCATAGAAATAGTTGATTTACCCATCAGAAATGGTGATTTCCAATAGTTATGTTAAATTACCAGAGGGTAAAAGGGATTTAACTAACCTCACAAAAAGGGGGGACATGTCAATTCAAAGAGATAAAGATTGATCAAGTCAACCTTTTCTACATCTTTTTGGGTTGCTATAGCTATACTTTTCAATGGTTTCTTGGAGGATCTCATCCCACGAATCGCGGTTCAGTACCATATTTATCACCTGGCTATGGGATCACCCATGATAAGCCCACTTTTTTTGTGGGGGACTTAGCGTTGAACCGGGTGATTCACCACTGATCTCTGGGATGGTCCTCCCAGCGCCTAACGGCGCCCCAGGTCCACAGCACCGCGCCCGCTTTGACGCTGCCCACCCCCGTCTACCCGGCTGCGCTGCCGCTGCTGACGATGCGAAAGGCGGTCTCCGTGCCGGAGAGCGAGGCTGGTGCCAGGGAGGGCGGGGATGGAATCGACATATGAATCTGATATATCACTATGAATATGATGTTTCTTAATATATAACTATTAATATCACATATTAATCTGATATATCACTATATGAATATGATGATTATTTCTGATTTATGAATATGTATGATGGTTATATTATCTGAGATATCACTATTAATTTAATGCTATTGTTAAAATTATTACTACTATGATTGTTGTTACCAAATATTTCTAACTTATGAATTTATGCTTGTCATTAGATAATTTTGGTCTTCCGGGACTAAAATCCGAGGAAATAGGTGGAACATGGACCCAGATCATTTACCCTCTGGTAAACTAACAGTTGCTATTGAATATGGCCATAGAAATAGTGGACTTACCCATATTAAAAATGGTGATTTTCCAAAGTTATGTTAGTTTACCAGAGGGTAACATAAAGCTTGTGGTTTGGGGGTTTGAAAACCATTATATAGTCATGGAAAAAAAGACATCGATCTAGCGGACTTGTAATTATTTACACCAATCAAGCCATTTAAGAATCCATTTGAGATACCCTCTGGTAAACAAACATAACTATGGAAAATCACCATTTTAATAGAGAAATCAACTATGAATGGGCCATGTTCAATAGCTATGTTAAATAACCAGAGGGTATTTGAGAATCCTGATTCTCATCCGAATCCTTTGCCGCCAGGTCAGCTCTCCCAGTTCATCGCCGATGTGGGGCGAACGGCCCTTCGTGTTGCAGTGACGCCTGGGACAATTTCGGTGACCCAGCGGTGGAAGACATGGAGGAAACGGTGCATTTTTCAATTCTTTATTGTTTTGTGAGGGAAGTCTAGGGTGAAACATGATGAAACATGCTGAAACGATGCGAAACATGTCAGTTTCTTTCATTTGTGGCGTAGACAGTTTCCTGGTCGTTTCCTGTCACTGCTGGGGTCGCAATATGCAGTGGTGTCGACGACGGCGCACTTCGGTTCCAATGGATGGATGACCCGAAAAAAATGTGGGTACAACCAGAGTCGCGGCAGACTTTTTTGGGTGATATGGAGATGAATCGCTTTTCTGGTGGAAGACATGTTCAGCTCGCCAGCTATTTATGATGTGAACTATTATAGACTATAAGGTAGATCAGAATTTTTCATCCTAACGAACCGGAATCGACTAATAGTTGGGCCACATCTTTGAGAAAGGAGAAACCTTGGGCGTAGATTGTTCGTTTTGAAGAAGAGACCCGATATGGAATCGATCCTTGCCTGATTGGGTGTATTGGATATCTCATGTTCACGTATGACATATTCAGAGAAGATACCTTGGAAACCAGACATGGTTGCCTTAGCAGTTTGGTCGTACCGGTCTTCGGTCTCCCCTTCCACACTTAGCGCATCGTGGGCTGCTAGTCCTATCGAAGCGCCCCGTTGAGCTTGGGCAAACGTGGACCAAAGATTGACGCTCTCCAGCAATGACATGCAATCAAATGCTGATTTAACCATGAATTATGCTGATACAACTATCTATATCTATTTTAGGGGTACTTATTTTCAGAACCCAAATAGGACCCCAGAATGTAAATGTTTGGTAAAACTCTATAGTAAATCACTCAAGACAACCACACAACCACACATTGACATATATAGTTATAGCAATGTATTGTTTTTGTCTAGAACCCTAGTTCTTCGTGTTCAACGGAGGAGAGTATCGAGTATGGAGAGAGCAAGCAACAATCAGTTTCTGGTAAGTCTCTAGGAGTCAACATCCCCTCCTGTGAAGCATTGCACACAGTTTAGGCGTCCACTTTTGGTCCCCTCCCTTCCCCTGGTGATGAGGGAACAAAGAACCCTTCACTCATCATCAGGTTGGCGATTGTTCTCAGGCCAATTGACTTAAAATCCTTGAGACAATTGTGCTGTCACGGCGCCAACTGTCAATAGTGTTGATTCGTTCGACCCGAGCGAACCCGAGCTTTTGCTCCGTCACCAAGCTGGGAACTGCTGAACGGAAGCCTCAAAACGGACATGGCTAGTTTCAAGTGCAGTTCCAGTTGCAATTAAGTGGATACATGACTATAGTTAAAGGGATTATATCCCAACTTATGGATACTTATGGGGTTTATAACCATGGTATACCATGGTTATACCGGTTATACCCATAAAAGTCACCTCAACTGCACGTCCAAGTATGACTACAACTGATTATATCTGGTGGTTTGGGTCTACTGGTGTTTCCTGTAGATCTTACTTTCAACCAAACCATCTTTTGGCCAATTTTCCTGGCAAACAATCCATTTCTTGGACATTTTAGAACAGGCCTCCTTCTCGATATCCCGACCGGCCGAAAAAACCGGCTGAATTACTGTATAGATTGGAGAGTGAATTCCAGGCACCCATTCATTGTGGTGTCCATCCTGATTAGATTCTCGGTTTCATACCAGCATCTGAAGATATCAATCCCCTGAGATGCCCGGAGCCCCCAGTGTACTAAGCACTCCTGGAGATTGCACTTTGTCACATATGTCACATCCCTATTTTGATGCAGGAAAAATCCGTATCGTTGATGAACCCATCAAAACATATATATATATATATATATATTAAAACCAGCATGTTTGATGCTAAATCCCCTGTTCAGCCATTCCATTTGATGGCTGCATCATCTTTCCACAGCTTGGTGTTCACCCAGATCGGTTGCTGCGAGCTGCACCCCATGCGGCAAGGCCAATGTGCCGTGGCTACGTCGTTACTGCGTCAGCCGCTACGTCACGCGTGGTCACGATGTGTTTCAGGCGTATCATTCTTCAGGGCTGGTGAAATGGCTACAAGAACTCACTTAGAAACCAGTCACTCACTTACTTAGTGTAAATCAATAGAGCTACTTAGAAACTACCAGTCATTCTTCCTGTCTTTTTTTTGTCTTTTTCTCCGCACCTGCCACGGTCTCGGGTCTCGAGATTTTAACACAAAGGTGCAACGAATCTCACCTTCGCCGCCAGCTCGGCACCGGCACGGCACGCCCCCCTTTTTTTTCTACCGGAGCTGGGCACGCATGGACCCGAACACACGCCACATATAGAATGGCAGATAGGATGTCAGAAAATATGTCAAATAGAAATAGATAGAATGCCATAAAGAATGGCAGATTGAGATAGAATGCCAGTTGGTGGGGATAACTCGGTAATTTGTGAAAGAACACGTGATAACTTGTCATAAGAAAGCGTCACAATAAACTGTCATAAGATGTCGTAAAATGTCCCAAGCGACCCTCGACTGAACATTGACTTACCTTCAAGAATCACTTAGAAAGTAGCGAGTTTCGCAACAGCACCTGAAAGAATTAGGTTAATCATTGAGTCGTCTCCAAGAATTGTGCAGGTGATGGCACTAAAATCACCATTTCGTCCGGACATTTACCAACCCCTGTTATTATATGCCTCGGAGTCTTCTGATAGGCCGTTGAGTGTCTTCGTTGAATTTGAAGATAGCGGCGGGATGTTGGTCAACGAAGTGTTTTTGCGCTCTTTGAACGCAGCAAGGTATGTTATTGGAGGAAATGACACATGATATATGGGGGTTTCCATAAATGGGGGTACCCAAAAATAGGTAGTTTAGAATGTAAATCTTATAAACATGGATGATTTCGGGGTACCCCTGTTTCAGGAAACCTCCCTATACATATGTATATATATATATACATGTATATATATTCGTGGCAAAAGATGCTTATAGCTGGAAGAAGCTGCAAGCATGTAGATGAATGATCTATGTGTGCATTTCTGTGCCACCTCCAATTCCACAGTCATGTCGTTTGTGAAGCTTTCGATGATTTTTGTTCTGTATAATAAGTATCTGAGTTCACGAATCCAAATCAGTCCCCAATCGGATCATCGAATAAACTTCGCTTTTTTGGTGACACTTTCACTTGGTTGACTTCGCCGCTTGACGACGAAACGGCAGATACCTTCCTCCAGCGGAACAGGAGGAGGAGAGGACCCTGTCGTAGTTGCAGTAGTCCCATCGTTTCGGCTTTCTGGGATGCTGCGCAGGCTGGAGATTCCTAACGGCTCATCCGATCTTCCTTGGGAGAATGGCAGGGTGTGATGACGACAGTTGAATTATCATCATCGCATGTACTGTATCGTATATAGATATAGATACACAACTGTGTATGGTCAAACATCTATCACGATTAAGATACCGTGGAACAAATCATCAATCAAAAGTGACCTCAGGCTTTCCGAACAAAATCTATGAGGTCGAAAGGATCTCCCATGAATAGACACCTGTCGGCCCATCAGATGAGTGTGGCAAGTTTCAGAATCAGGCAAGCTTATGTACCTGTGCGATCGAGAAAAGTTGATCATGATGCTTGATTTTGTTGCCCCGAGTTCATTGCTATTGGGAGAGCTTGCGGATGGATCAGCATTCCTTGTTAGGAGCTACATGGATGATTGCCAACCATCGGGTCGCCGATGCTCAGCCTTTTTTTCTTGTGTGGTGAATTCCATTGCCATTGGCCCATGGTCGTTTTCTTGGTGATACTCACTACTCGTCGACTCACTCTAATTTCCTTGGTGATGGTCGAACTTTTCTTGGTATAGCTCCATTTTTGTTGGTTCTATCCACCTTTTTCCCAGGCTATGTCCAAATCTTTGAAGGAAGGACATCCCATTTTTAGTCGCTTGAGTACCAATTAGTTAGATGAATCTTCTGATCGGAGATTTTGTTGTTGATGTGGCTTAGTGCCCTCTGGTAATTCAAATTGGCTGGCTAGAATATCCTCAATTTATGGATGGTTTTGCCAGCAAAAAACTTCCATTGAGTTCGGAAAATTGCCAGTATCCTCCAAACATGATTTGCTATATTTTATAGTTTAAACCACCAAGAATTTTTCCCTATCATTACCCCAACTATCATCGCAATGATATCCGTATGGTGAGTGGAATGTGGCTGGCAGCGCAAGTGCGTCTGGCAAGAGGCCACCCTGAGTGGTCCTCGGCCATTTTGGGACAGCTGAAAATCATATCTACTCATAGGTACAAATCCCCATAAAGTTGGTGGTTAACTGGTTAACCCCATGATTATCTCATTCTTATCCGTCTTGAACCATAAAACATAGATTAAAACCATGATAAAACCCATTCTTAAGCTAGCATTCATATAGAACCTACCATTAAACCTCCATTAAAACCCATGCTTAACCTACCATTCATATAGAACCTACCATTAAAGCTACCATTCATATAGAACCTATGACCCTACAAGGTGGTGCCCCATAGTTAGCTAAGTTGGTTTATAACTCCAATTTCACTATGGTTTATGGTAGATATATCTATAGTTAATGGGGCTTATAAACCAGCTAACATCACTGGGGGCACCACCTTGTAGCATTTTTCCTCCATTTTTCCGCCATTTTCCTCCATCGTTGGTCAGGTCGCCCTGGCTGCTGTGCAGCGAGATCCCTCCACGCTGCCCCTGCTGTCCACCGAGCTGCGGTGCCCCAGCGCAGCATCGCCAAGTTCGGCTGTTTTTTAATGGGGTTTATAACTCAGATAACTATGGTTTATGGTACGCAAATAACATCTTATAACTAGAGTATTCATGGGGTTTATAAACCAACTAACATCACTGGAGGGCCCCACATTGTACCATAAAAAAGTCTCAGAAATGACTCTTGGAGGGAATGACCCCCTAATTCATGGTTACCATGGTTTAGCAAAATCCGGGACCTCTGCCAATACTTAATGAACCCCCTTTAAAAACTCTGCGACTATCCTTGCTTTTTCATCCATCTTTAGGTGAATTGCTTGGTGATGAATCGGGTTATGAACTAGCTGGACCAGCCGGATATACATGCGTAACAGAACACTGGTTGGTGGTTTGGACCATGAATTTTATGACTTTCCATTCAGTTGGGAAAAAAATCATCCCAACTGACGAACTCCATCATTTTTCAGAGGGGTGGGTATACCAACCACCAACCAGATTATTATTAACCATCATTAACCATATAATAACCATCATATTAACAATTATTAACAATAGATTAACCACATATCAACCAGCAGCAAGCATCAGATATGGGGATGTTCCCGGATAACAAGGAAGCCACCCCGGGACGCTTGGGGATTCTCCCCATAAGGGCCTTATATATTTCAGAAGCGGCCGGCCAAGGGAAGATTGTATAGATGGTGAGCGGATTTTTTCGGGATAGTATGGTTATAAGGGATATAATAATTATGATTAGCTAACAGATTATAATAAACAATTATAATAATTGTGAGATAATTTCATAATTTACCGAGATAATTCTAGGGGTCCCATATCCCAATTGATCAAGTTTGGCATGGAAACCAACTACTGACGTATTGCGCGCCATCCGGAAATGTGCACTGAGTCCTCACCAGGCTGCAGGCATTGTTTTCACCCGAATTTGGGCGCCATTTTGGCCAAATACCAAATGTACCTACCATACCATCCCATGCCATTCCCAAGGCACATCCCTATTCTGATGGAACCTATGATTGACATCTCTTTGGAGGGTTACTATACATACCATCTGCTCACATGGCTTAGAACCTCAGTTCCTAACCACTGATGATCCTCCAGGTGCAGTACTCCCTAAGAAAAATATTTGAGCTTTCCAAAAATGGGGGTACCCCAATAGCTGGATGGGTTATAATGGAAAATGCTATTAAAACTGGGTTATACACTCCAATAATATTAATATATTATATTAATATATATATATGTATATATATACATATGGAATGCCCACACTTATACATGGGATTATATGGCTTCTATGTGGGTTATAAACCACGGATCCAAAGTAGGATGCACATCCAAGCAATCATCATATAAACCAACGAAGGTTTGGGACCCCACCTTGCAACTGTTGCCCAATGTATGTGACTGGGACCTTCCAAGTTCAATTGGGCCATCATAAGATGGCTGATCTTTTCCATATCTTGCTATTAATATGTTAAATATCATGTGGATGTTAACTATATAGATATGATATATTAACTATTAGCTATAGATATAGGATATGTTCCATATCTATTCTCACTATTAGCCGTTAAATATTCCCAAACTATAGTTAAATATATAGTTAAATACCATGGGACATCAACACATACTAACCGTTAAGTATAAGATATGGGATATTAACCATTAACTATATATATATAATGGATATTAACTCTTAACTATAGATAAACACATCTTCCACATCTTCGGCTTGTTGATGTGACCACGGTCACATCGTTAGTCCAGGCAGGACAGCGAGATCGTCTTGGCCGCCGTGCAGCAGCACGGCAGGTCCCTGCAGCATGCCCTGGGCATTGCGCGGAGGGATCCGAAGGTCCTGGAGGTGCAATTTGAGGGATCAGGTGATTCTGGAGGCTCTGGAGGTGCCGTTATATATATATGGATAGTATCTATAGTATAGTATATCTATAGTATATCTATAGTATATCTATAGTATATCTATAGTATATCTATAGTATATCTATAGTATATCTGTGGTATATCTATAGTATATCTATAGTATATCTATAGTATATCTATAGTATAGTATATCTATAGTATAGTATCTATATGGATGTGGGTAGATATCTATCGTATATCTATAGTATATCTATGATACTATTAGGATGGTTTATATGGATGTAAAAATAGTGGATATATTTAATTCCATATATGGAGATTTCCGAAGTCATGGGGGTACACTCAAATCATCTATTTTCGATTGGGATTTTCCATGAAAAGAACCATCCAGCTATTGGGGTAGCCCCATTTCAGGAAACCCCCAAATGGTGAACCATGGCGAAAACGGTAAAACAATGGTGAAACAATGCTGAAAAGATGGTGAAACACGAGTGAAGAACGGTGAAAACTTTGATTTGGGTTGACTTTGGAAGGATTACCCTCTGGTAATTTAACATAACTATGGAAAATCACCATTTTTAATGGGAAAACTCACTATACATGGCCATTTTCAATAGCTATGTTAGTCATTACCAGAGGGTAAACATGGTGAAATTGGGTCGACAAATCGATGTCAAAGCTGTGACTTTCTTTGTGAAATTGGGTGCCCCCAAAGATGAGGAGTTCATCGTCAAAGAATGGGGATGTAATCCATGAATCAATGGATTGGTTTAGTGGAAAATTTACAGGAAAACCCATTGGTTTTCATGGTAAATACGATGGTTTCCTGTAAATTTTCCATTGAACCAATCCATTGAATGAAGAATGGAACTTGGTTGGTCCATAAATGTGGGAAGCACCCCAGATCATGTACCCAGGTTTTAGACAAACTCACATTGGCGTTCTCGCCGATTTTTGGGCGAAAGCCGATTTTTGAGCTCAATGGCCAGGAGCCCGAAGCCCTCAACAATCATCATCTATGCACACGGGATTGTCCAGGATTTTATGCCTTCATGTTGGAACATGTTTTTGAACCTTTCAATAAAATCATTTCCAGAGAGGATTTTCCAATGAATTTTCCGTTCGAAGTCTCGCAGGCGGCGCTGAAACGTGATGGTTTGGCCATCCGCTTCGCTACGGAAGAGCAGAAGGGAGATCGACACCTGGGACTTATGGCAGTGAGACAGTCTCCTGGCTGGCACGGTCCGCAACTGGGGTGTCAGAAAATTGATTTGAAAAATTCTTGGAGACCTCAATTGATGTCTGGTTGGTGGTTTGGAACCATGGAATTTTATGACTTTCCATTCAGTTGGGAATTTCATCATCCCAACTGACGAACTCCCTCATTTTTCAGAGGGGTTGGTCAACCACCAACCAGAAGACCAGTGTTGCCTCAAATCGTCGGGGATTTTCCATGGGGTTTTTCTATGGTTGCCTCCGGGATTTTCATGGTTTTAATATGTTTCTATGGGGCTTCTTGGGGCGTTTTTTGGCGCCAGCTTTCGTCATTGGAAGCGTCCCGAACGACCAGCGATGTGTCATCTTGGTGAACCCGGATTTTCCTCGATGTGTTCTCTACTTCAATGTGCATCTCAGTTGGTGTGTCATAAGATGTGATAAACCATGTCATTATTTACTATAGCTGGTGGTTTCAAACATTTCTCTACATTTCTTCTTTTGCAGCCTGGGATTTTTTCATTTTTGAATCCCTGACTTCAATGGGGTTGGCTCCACCATGGCGTTCCAGGAATGGCTGGGCCCTCGAACTGCTGGGTGAGAAGCTGAAAGCGGAGCGGGAGATTGTGAAAGAAGCGATCACCCAAGAAGGTGGGGTCCACATGAGCCACGTTCTAAATCCTTGTGTGACTTTGATGTGTTCATGTTTAGGAAGGGGACCCTTGCAAGGGTGTGGCGTAAGCAAAACTCTGGTGAGCGTAAGCCAGCGTAAGCTCCGCGTAAGACAAGATATGCGCGTAAGCAACACTTGTGTGCGCATAAGCAAAACGTAAGCAATGGCGCAAGCATTTCCTTATTTGGTGCCAGGATGTAAGACATTTAGAACACGGCACAAATGGGGAAATGATCGAAGGAAGTTTAGAAGTCAAACTTCCGACAATACGGACAGATGGAAAAGCAGAGGTGAGCAGAGGCAGAGAAGAGAAAGAGTCAAAAGAGAAAGAATCAGAAGAAAGGTAGAAAAGTCGCGCAACACTGTGTTTTTCCAATGTTTTGTGCTCTGAATTTATATAGGCCACGAAGTGATAGACCAAATTGGACAAATCCCCACATCTTGGAAGGGAAATTCCCAGAAATCCTAAGCTTGGAAATCAATATATATATATGGGTATGGATCAATACCTATTAATACCATTTTTAGGGGGATGAACATCCATAAATCCCAGCTATTTTGATGTGAACTACAGGGGTAAATGGGCCTTTAGGGAACTTGGTAGAGACGGGTCAACTCGTGGACCTACGTGATAAGGCAAGATGGTCGCCACTTGCGATTCCTGGGTCACCCCAAGTAGCAGGTCTTTGGGGGCCCCGTAGTTAAGTTATAAGTTGGTTTATAAACCCCATGAACATCCATTAAGTATAGCAGTATATCATGTTATATCTACCATGACATAAACTATAGTTTTTTCAGCCACTTTTGTTAGGCAACTGAGCGCTACCGACTGGGGGTCCCAGCAGGTCAAGCTTTCAAATTTGCGGACGAGACCTTGAAACACGACCGAGAAGCTCGGCACCAGCGGTACAGCGGTACAGCTCGGACGTGCTAAGAATGCGGTAGAACTTGCTGACAGTCAAACTTAGAGATTTAAGTGATGGACGTGTCCCAAAAGTATCCAAAACTCCTGTTTTGCCATTTGGAGATTATGGGTTATATATGGCTAAACAGGGCAAACAAAGTTCACCCGTTTTGGACACTGACGAACTAGCCTTAAGCAGAACAATGGAACCTTCGCCGACCTTCTCCAGATTTTTATGTAGGAACCTGCCCTGTGAGTTTGCCATAGACAGCTGCAGGTGCTATGGTCAAAACTTGGTTTCATATCATAACATGGGTATGGCATGGTACGGTCACAATTTGCGTTGGTGGTGGTTCATATCCACAATCTTCGCGGAAAATCGGGGTTCATCTAGCCTCTAGCCAAATCTTAGGTGATGTTCATACCGTCAAAAAAAACGGTGGGTGCAAACTACAAACCGCCCGGAAAAAAAAAAACACATATTTATGGGTGGATGTCTAACCCCCGTCTTTTGTATCTCTCTCTCTCTCTCTATGTACATATATAATATATATATATATCTGGGTAAATTATACCGTAGCCATTTTGGCTCAAGCCTGGCCCGCAATGGCTCCGAAGCAGCTACGAAAACTGCATCGGGCAAGTCAAAAGGCAAAGGCAAAAGAAAAGGGTCAAGAGGAAAAGGGAAGAAAGATCCTCAGAAATGGGATCCTGACAATAGCGAGTCAGAAACCAAAGAAGAAGGCAGAGAAACCGGTCGAGGACGAAGACTGGGAGATGCTGTCAACAAAAGAGAAGGAAGAGATCATGAAAACAGAGGAGGCAAAGGCGACAGAAACCGCCGAAGAGGAAAAACCAAAGGAGGAGGACCTCGTGGTCGAGCCCGCAGAGATGGACACTCCAAGCAAGAAGTCCAAGAGCAAGAAGAAGCCAGTCAGCAAAGAAGTGGAGATCGCGTTGAAGCGGGAAAAGAACTCCTTGCTGTAGCCGGTCCGCTTGTTTTGGTGAAAATCGTGAGATGGTTGATCATAACACCATTGGCATATTCTTTGTCATGGGCACTAGAGTCAATAGTGTCGTTGAGCAAGCTTCACGATACATGCAGCTGACGGTTATGCCTCTGCCACTGCTAGTCATTGATGTGACAGCAGCTCTGCTGAGACGTATCTATCAGAACGTGGCCTTCTATTATCAAATTCCTCTACCACAAGTACTTCAGATACCGGATGTATTATGGAAGATGTTCCCTGCTGAGATCAGTGGATTCAGAGTGTTGTATCCAACGTTCTCGAGCTCAACGATCAACACCTGGGATTCTCAGGTTGCTGGTTCTTTAGAGTTTGAAGGTTTACGCTATTTGGATACTCCACTTCCGCTGTTTTACGAGGATTCACAACCTGGAACCTTGTTAACACCAGCAGGTGGAAATACGTGGTCAAGAAGATGCACTCCTTGCGGTGTGTACAATCGAGCAATTTACTTGTGCTTGTACTCGCTGCTTCCAGTAGAAGTTGCGATTGTGATGTGGGGCTATGTGCAAACTCCGCAACCTACATTTCGAGAGATTGTTGAAATGGCTATCACTTTGGTGTGGGGCTATCGTCAAAGACGCTCTCGTATTCACCGTGTTAGGTATTTCTGCCTAGCGCGATCGTACAATCTGCTTCTGACTGGGAATCAAGATCAGTTTCGGGTGCGACTGTCGAGTTATATACCCAACAATCTACTTGATCTGGTGGGTCCATTCTTGAACAGCCATCTGAACGCAGCTTTGGGTATCAATTTTTATTCAAATCTCATTGCTGTCATCATCGAACGATTTTCTGGAGAAGCAAGGAACGTAGGTGTTTCGTTTGTATCACTGGACTCGGAGCAATTGACTGCAACACCGAGCAAGTTGGTAAGCTTACAGATCAATAACCTGCAGTTTGACTTGTATTTTCTGGGACAACGGTTGCTTGATCCTGCTATGGCAAATGCTTACCTGGCACTTACACAAGAGCAGGTTGCTGAGAGCCTATCGTGGGGTATGCGTGTGATCCGTCGTTTCAGAGACCAGAATTTTCAAGAGAGGAGGTTCACTCGAAGTTTGCAGCCATTACAGATGATGGGCTTGCAGACGGCTGAGTGTATCATCGGATCTCAAGTGTCCGAACGTATAGTACAGTATCATCATCGGTTGATGTTAACATTGGCCGCGGCTCTACAGATTGCCGCTGGCTATGTTCCTATCATCCAGTAGTTTCAAGATTTCAAGATGGTGTCCATAGGTTTGGAAACAAAATAGCGCCTATTGACTAAGCCAAGACCAAATAATGTTTAGTAGTATGTACACAATCACAGACTGATTGACATGGGCACCTCTTGGCGGTCACCTGTATTTCTCGTTGAGTCAGTCCGAGAAAAGAGTGCGTCTCCGGGTGGACGTTAGGCAAAGTTTCAGCCTGTAACACACCTAAGTAAGCATGTGTTCAGAACATGTCAACAGGTGAGCGTAACGAGCTTTCTAAATTTAAGCTCTGCGGCTCAGGCTCCTCGGGCCGAGCTTGGTGTCGGCGCTCAACGCTGATTCGAATGAGCCATGGCATATCCGGAGTTGCTGCTTGAAGCTCTACAGGAGTTTGATTGCGATGGTGCCAAGGGGTCAGATCCTTTTCTCCAGAGAACCAACCTTCTGATAGATGTCACCACCAGGAATTTTGCAGATGATGAGTTGCGATTAGGATTCCAACAGATGTTTCCAGAAGGATTTGGGGTCACTGCCTTTATGCATGATTTCCTGACCGTCCCAGCAGACACCCCAGGGGATGATGACCTCATGCTGGTTTGGGATACGCAGAAAGCCTTGCCACCAACACATGTCAAGATCTGGGGGTGCCAGGTCTTTCAGAGTGATCTGGATGTGCGCACTTTTTTCTATGATGAACATTCCAGTTGGTTTTTTGCAGACAATCCAGGGAACTTGCCACGAAGCTTGCAACATGTGGATTTTTTCTGCGGAGGGGTAGGAGGTTGGTCCTCAGCCTTGAGATTCCTCACCAACGAAATCCGAATGCCATCCCGATCCATTGGGATAGAGATTGACCGTGCCATTGCCAAGACATATGCCATTAATCATTGTGCCGCCTTTGTTTGCCCCAAAGAAGATCTCCCCGAAAACATCCTGACATACTATGATGGTAACTGGGTGATTTGTGATGATGTATGCTCCAACTTTTGGACCCGGGCAATTTCCACCATCAAGGTTGATTTGGTGACCATTTCCTCACCATGTGGACCATGGTCCTCTGCTTCTACAGGATTGGGCCTTGAGAAACATGAAGGAAACCTCATGCTCCATGCCATTCTCAAGTGTAGGTTTTTGCGACCGACTTACATAGCGATTGAGAATGTTGCTGGTTTTGCTATGCACCATCAGAAGCACTTCATCGAAAAGGCCATCAGGTGGATAGGATATAGGCTCATGTGGCAGAAAACAGTGGATGTACGTAACAGCCTAGGTGTTGCCAGAGCAAGATGGCTTGCCTTAGCAATTAGAGTGCATTCCAGTTTTCCACAAGTGCCATTTCCAACATGGCGCCTTCCCACTATTGACACAGATCATGCAGTGTTCCTTCGACAATGGGATGAAGACACAAAACAGCAATTGGCAATCACTGAAGCAGTGTACAAAGTGGCATCCGATCCAATCAAAGCTGGCAGACATGGTAGGACCAAGACACCAACGGAAGTCTTGAGCAGCCGCATTTATGGACATAAAATGCACCTACCCACATTTATGGCCCAATATGGTAGTCAGCATGAATTGCCAAATGCACACTTGGATGAACACACATACCTGGGATTTTTCTTGCACGATCACACCATGCCTCAAGGAGCACGATTTTTCCATCCGGCTGAAGTCAACTTGCTTCATGGCGTCATTGATTGGATGTTCGTCTCACATGACTTGAAACATGCATGGCGCACTGCTGGAAATTCCATACTGCCCATTCATGCCATGATCCCTTTGGTTGCGATGCTCGGTCCACATTTGACACAAACAATTTCTATTCATGATGCAGTGCTTGCTTTCCTGCAGAGGCGAATCAAGGCCAATGAGATGCAAGTGTTTCAGGTTCCACAAGGTGAGCTGTATACCCGGATTGACACCGTACCTGTGCAGCCATTCCTTGAAAGCTTGAATTCGCTCCACCACATGGATGATCAACAGCCCTTGCAGGTATGGATTCCACAGGTAGGTACACGTGACATGCAACCAGTGCAGCCGACACTGGATGACCTGCCCGACACACAGTTTGATGCCAGTGCTGTTTCTGGTGCCATCTCAGTTGCATCCTCAAATGCATCCGAATGCCCGCCCAATGTGATCCTGCAAGCCAAGATCCAGGGTTTGGCCTTCCTTCAGTCATTTTGGTTTGCATCCGATTTGCCAGCCGCTGTAGTTGAAACACCGTGGAATCATGCATTTGCAAGTGAGTTTCCGGATTTGCATGCATTGGATGGTCTCACCATTTTGCGTCCCCGTCCGTGTCCGGTAGATTTTGGCAATCCGTACCGAGATGTGCTTGTACAAATTTTGGTGGATCATCAGATGACACTCATGAAGATGGAACATGCAGTTCCAATCCAAAACCATCCGGAAGTCTCTTTGATTGCTGATGAACTTTTTGACCAATTTGGGAGGCTGGAACCACATCAATGCACAGCAGATCACACAGCTATCATGACCAGACCAATTTGCAATGGTGAATTTCGTGGCCCAGTTTTGCAACTGCTTGCTGCCTTGGAACTTTGCCCTGTCCAGACACACTGGAACTCGGACAATGATGCGTTTTGCCTTTGCTATCAAGGTGATCCTATTTGCTTGCAGACCATTGCTGACTTCTGGACTGCAGTTGTGCCACTGGACATGCAGAGCTTTTTAGGTCGCACCGTCCAAAGTGTCCCTTGTCCGGATGGAGTCATGATCCAGTTTGTCCCATGTCGCACACATGGTGTCATGTCCCCGAATGCCTTTGCAGTGCAGCTTTCGGTACTGGCATTCCGATCCATAGTTTGTGCAGTCAATCAAACTCTGCCCCAAGAAGGTAGCAAGCCAGTCTTGATCAAGTGGACCACAAGACCGCTGTTTAACGCTGAGCTCTCCGGTGACTTTACCATTGCCATGATCATCAAGCTCCTTCATCATGCATTGACACCAGCCAATGGTAGTGCCCAGCATAGGATTGTCCATCAAGCCAAACAGATCATGCCTGAAGCCTACCTCCGTGACTTGGAAATGCAATCAAGACGTCAGGCAGTAGTATTGCATGTAGTGCTACAAATGCATGGAGGAGGTGGTGCGAAGAACCAACACAAGATACTGACACAAACTGCTATTGCCTCATTCCTTTTGGAGATGGGTTTTGACCTGACTTGGGTCACACAAACAGTTGAAACGCTCACCAACAAACTTAGCCTGCAAAAGCTGCAACAGTTCTCGGCCATGCCACCAGGTGGACAAAAAACCACAGCCTTGCGCACACTGTTGACGGAGGTTAACCTTGCCATGCCAGAATTGCCTAAGCCGCAGACCAAGAAATTGCCTCAAGGGTTGCCTTGGAATCAGCCCAAAAGACGGAAAGGTGAAGGAGACATTAATCCCGCAGATTTTGACATCTTGGAAACCTTTTTCCAGAATGAGGATGGGACACCATGTCCTCAAGTTTCCGCCGTCCGACCTCAGGCCACAGGTGTTTGTTTGCTTTCCAGCCTCCAGGCAGAACCTTGGCTCTCCACCTCCGACAAGATCAGCAGTGATGAGTTGGCACTCCTCGTGATTGGAAAATCTCCCAGCACCACTGTGACAGGGGAGGATGTTGTCGTCCCATGCAGAAACTTGGATGGACACATGGTTTTGTTGCATTGCCACTTGTATCAGCTTGGCACCAAGTTGGTGACTTATCAAAAGGGGGACCCAAAACAAATCAGTGCGGATCATTGCTCACTGGTAGCCATCACCTTGCACAAGGATGACTTTCAACCTGAACCATGGGCCGAAGCGCTGCATCGAACAGTCCCTTTCATCCGGCAAGTTTTGGACCAGGAAAATCTTGCGGATTGCGTTTTGAGCATTTGGGGCAGGTCATTCCGTCAGGGAAAATCCCCTTGTCCGCCACATCAGGCTGCCACGATTCAGGTCCATTGTTCGGTCCCAAAAGACAAGTTGCATAAGCTGCTGGCCAAGTCAGGGTTCAACAAGCTGTTCTGTACCCCAAAGAACTCTGCTGGTCGTCTCGACACTGGCTACCAAGTCATTTGGTTGTCTTGTGATTCTTGCCAAGCTGCAGTGTCCAGTGCAAAAGTTGCCAACCCCCTGGGACTGGTGAAAGGACGTAAGACCTTAGGTATTCGAGTCACTGAAGCTGATTTTGCAGCAGCGTGGCAGCTCCTGTGTCCACAGCAGCCGCAGCCCATCAAACAAGCAGGGGAACATGTTTACCGAGTTGATGGTTTACCGTTTGGAGTGACCATTCCCATGATGACCCAATGGCGTGCCAAGATAGGATGGACTGCACAGCCAATCAGGGCTTTGGGACCGCAATCCATGCTCATGCGATCTGACAATGCACCCCCAGAAGGTTTGCTTATGTTCAACACTCAGGCTATCTTGATCCGATGGCTTCCACCACGTGCTCAGCAGAATGGTCCATTGCTGGTTGGCCCCAAAGCCACCAAAACCAGGGAATTTGTTGACATTGGTGATCCTTAGGCCAAATGGTCAGGCACAAGACCTCAAGCATCACAAGCTGCTGCAAGTACTGGTCGCACTGTTGATGGCCCCACTGAGCTCAGACTTCAGGCGCAGGATCAAAAGCTGAAAACCATAGAGCAACAGCTCGAGAAGCTTGCAATCAACCAAGAGACCATGATCAAACAGACAGACGCACGTTTCCAAGCTGCAGAGCTTAGAGAGAAACAGCATGTTCAACAAGTCGCTCATACCATGGATGCACTCAAGATTGAAGTAGCCAAATCGCTTGATGTTTCTTTCCAAAAGAATACTCAGATGATGGATGAGAGAATGGCAGAGCTCAAACATCTGCTCATTTCTCAGAAACGGCCTGCACCGGCCGATGATGCCATGGATGATTGACATTCGACTGCTGTCGGAGCCAACCACAGCATTTTGCCGTGCGAGATATGTAGTGCTCCGCCAATTTTGAGTTTCTGTGTTTATCTTGAGACGCCAAATGCATGGCAGCACATGTCTAGGTACAACTGCTTGTATGGTTTCTCAACTGTCCAGGGGAAATATATCCATTGGATTCGTGTTCCCAAGATACATTGTCCGCAATGTAAGCCATACACTGTGCCATGCAGCCTTAAATGTATAGAGCCATTGCCTGCTAGGCATAGATCACTACCTTTTTGTACAGAATTGTCATGCAGCGGCCTAGGCATTTTGCCAACCAGATGTGCCACATATGATCCTTTCACTGCCACACGCGTAGGCGAGGCTGATAACCCAGGACCAGACCTGCAATTGAACTGGGCAATCACCAGCCCGACATCTATTGTCTCCAAAACCTTGCAATATAGGGAACTGATCCGGCAAAATGATTTGGATGTCATCACTGCAAGTGAAACAGCAGCTACCAAAGTGGTGCAACGCCAGTTCTCCTCTGCCATGCGTACGGATGGCTTCAGAGCCAAGTGGTCCATGGCATTGCCAGACCGAGTAGAGCGCACAGATATGCAACCGTCTCTCCGAGGAAAGGCTTCCGGAGTTGCAATGTTTGCCAAGTGGCCCATCCGACACCTGGATGATACCATTTCGCAACCCACGCAAGCCTCTGCCAGGTTAGTTCATGTGTTGCTTGATCTCAACCATGTCCAGGTGCAGTGTGTCGTAATATACGGACTGGCACAATCCAATACAGACAAGGCCAATCATGCCCTGCTTCTAGAAGCCCTGGCGGCTGTTGATCACTATGCCCTGCCATATCTCATCTTAGGGGACTTCAATTGTAATCCACTGGCCATCCTTGCGGAAGAAGCGGAAGGTCGCAGACTCACTGACTTAAAAATGTTGCACCTGCAGCAAACAGGTACCCCGATGCCACCAACCTGCAGGTCCACCACCTGGCCAGATAATGCGATGTGCTGCCCAACAGTAGCCAAGTGGATCCGGGATATCCGAGTATGCCCTCCTGGTGACTTTGATACTCACCAGGTTGTACTTTTCAAGACCTGTATCCCAGAAGTCGACTTGCATGCATATCATTTGCCACTGCCAAAAACAAGGATTGACTTGCGCATGGATGAAAGTTTTTTCCCTCAGGCTTATGACCTGGCTGAGACCAAGTTGGGCCAACCGAAAGACCTTCAGACGTGGGCCAAAGTAGTAGAATGTGCAGCTGATCAAGTTTATAGGCAAACTCAACTTTCCTTAGGTGTTTCTACTCATGCACTGCAACCACTTCCTAGGGCCTATAGAGGTCGACGTAAACCCAGGAAACCCGAACGAATTGACAAGGTCCTCCTGACCACAATTGCCAGGCCTGGAGATTTTGCTGCCAGCAATGAAATTGCCCGCCATTCCACCATGCGCAAGGTAAAACAGGTCAGGAGAGTTCAGTCCCTCTATGGACGTCTTGTAGCTGCCAACAAGAAAGACCACTTTGATCAATGGCATGATTTGCACCTTGAATGGCAGGCCATTTTGAGTTCATATGCCTTTAGAAAGCATTTTGTTGCATGGTGCCAGTGCCAACCAGAGTTGGGGCCGCCAGCCATGTTCCTCCCGACGGAGGACTATCTCTTCACCTTGCTTCAATTGCTCAAGCACCACACCCAAAGTGAACTTGTCAGGGATAAACAGATCCATGCAGATAGGGCCAAATATGCACGACACTTGGACAAGACCCTTGGAGGACATAGAGTGGCATATGCCAGCATCCGTGAACAGGCAATGCCACCACTCACAGAAATCCGTACGAAACTTTGTGAAGATGCAATAGTTCTTGCGAATGATGATGGAACAGTGACAGCCTTTCTTGATAATCCCAAACAGTTTGCAGTTGCCTGCCCAGTAGTGATGCATGAAGTATCCTGCCAAATCGTAAAAACAGATCCCTTTTCCATTTCCTTGAAGCCATGCCAACCCCTGCCAGACTTGCCTGAGACAGTCACTATAACCCAGGATAAGATCCAGGCAGACCCAGGACAGATGTTAGATCAACTTACTAACTACTGGTATCCTTTTTGGAACAGCGATGGAGAGAGGATGGGGGCCCAACAAGAATTTGATGACTTTTTGCAACAACTCCCACAACACATGCCTGCGCCAGCACTGAATCTAGATGATGATGCCCTTTGGAAGCGTGCAATAGCTACATTAAAAGTCCCCTCTGCCAGAGGAGTGGACGCAATTTCATCTAGTGAACTTCAACAATTGCCACCTCTTGCAGTCCAAAGCCTTAAGTGTATCCTGTTGGCAATGACAGATGGTTTTCCGGCTGATGCCATGCTTGCCATAACGGTTCCCATTGCCAAAGTCATGACAACACCTGCGGCGGGACAAATCCGACCAATCACAGTGCTACCCCAGTTGTATCGTTTGTGGGCTAAAGTATGTACACACCAAATCCTTGCACACTTTGCCATGCACATGCCCCCAGATATGACAGGTTTTCTCAAAGGCCGTGGGCCTGCTGAAGCGTATCTGCGTCAACAACTTGCCATAGAACTATGCCATTGGCGTGCCACACCATTTGCTGGGCTATCCATAGACCTGCTCAAATGCTTTAACACTATTGCCCCCTGGGCGGTGCGAAAGACCCTAGAGTGGCTTGGCATACCCCCACAACTCACCCGCCAGTGGTTTCAGTCCCTGCAAGGCCTGACTAGGATTTAGAAACTTGACCGCCAATGTTCACCTGAGATCCCCACAAACCATGGCATGCCTGAGGGCGACAGCTGGAGCGTAGTAGGAATTCTGGCCCTGGCCCATGCTTGGAGCCTGCTGGTGCGATCCCAAGCACCCCAAGCATTTGTATCGGCCTATGCTGATAACTGGTCCTGGGCCGCCACAACAGGACCTGAGCACCATCATATCCTTGATAGCACCACTAGATTTGCCACCATGACGGATATGATCATCGATTGGCGCAAGAGCTGGACATGGGCCACCTCCCCAGAAATGCATGCGATTTTGGCGCAAGCCTTAGCCACTAAGCCGTATGCCCATGAGCTCCAACGTAGATTGTCCGCAATGGATCTAGGTGCAGTCATGACGTACCAAGGTGTGCCTCACCTGGGAAAGTTTAAACAACGTCTTGACAAAGCCACGCAGCGACTTGCCAGGATAGAAGCTTTGACCTTGCCACTTGACACCAAAACCCAATTGACACGAGGCTCAGTGCTACCAGTGGCCCTTTATGGCACTGAGGTTATCCCTTTGGGAGAAGTTCACATACGCAAGCTCCGCTCAGCGATCTCCAATGCCTTGCTGGGACATTCCCAGACAAGAAATGCTGCCCTGGCACTTTTGGCCATCCCTAAGATGCAAGACCCCATGTTAGACATAGTCCTAAGGTCCCTTAGAGCCATGAGAAAACTCTTTCTTTCCTTAAGCCCCGCTTGCCAGAAGGAATTCTTGTGTGTTGCCAGCAGACACACTGGATTGCACACCCAGTGCAAAGGACCTATTGGATGCATGATCTACTACTTGTCAAAATTAGGATGGTCTTTTACTGCTGCCGGCACCATTCAAGTAGAAGCAATTTTTTTTTTGTCTCTGGCCACCACGAGTTTGCCGGTTTTTGCCAAATGGGCCAACTATACCTGGGGACATGATGTTTTGCTCCACCATGCCGATAGGAAAACCTTGAATGTTGCGACTCAACGTTTGGGATACCAAACAGGTTGTTGCGAAATTCAATGCCACAGAACAGCGTCATCTTGCTCAAGATATGACTCTTTCTTTTCAGACGGAAGTGCAAAAAAGTAGATGGGCAGCAGACGCCACAGGTTTATGCCTCTACTGTGGAGAACCTGACTCTAGAGCCCATAGAATATATGACTGCCCCGTTGCCAGTGAAGTGCGTCAACAGTTCCAGCCCACCTTGGACTGGATGATGGAAACTGGGTCGGAGTTTCACGAACTGCCCTTTTTGCTTCAGCATGAAAACCAGCAGTTACTTGAACACCTACACCACATCCAGCCTGAAGCGATGATATCGGATGAGATGCGAGATAAGCTGCAGCACCTGCCTCAGAGCTTTGTGCCAACTTTTTACACAGATGGTGCGCTCCAATATCCTGCGTCAGCCACTTGTCGATACGGATCATATGCAATCATCATGGATACATGCACTTCTGATGAGCAGCGTACTTTTCATGCCGAAGTTTGGAGACGGACTGGAATGATACCCGCCTCCCTCATGATTTGTGCCACAGCCAGACTCACAGGGAATCAGTCGATATATCGTGCAGAGTTGTCAGCGGTGGTGTGCCTCTGTGAATGGACCATCAACACATGTGTCAAGACAGACAATGCTGCAGTGGTCCATGCTTTCCAGCGTTGTGCAGAAGCTCATTTCTTGTTTCAACTTAATGATATGCCTGAACTTGACTTGATTCAGCGCCTGTGGCGAGCCCTTCGCACAGGACAGCGACATGTTTGTAAGGTAAAAGCACATCAAGAAATTGGTAGCCATCATTCCAGCTTGCAAGTGTATGATATTTTGGGGAATCGCCTTGCGGATGAAGCAGCAGGACATGCCCTTAAATACATGCAGCCACAGGTTCTTCAGCTTGCCGACCAGATGCATAGAGACATACAGATGGACAGACAGTACTTGGAGGATTTTTTTCGGTACCTTTTGGCCTTAAGGACGCGCTTTGCACTTCTCCAGGCTAACAGGAAAGAGCAGGAGGTACATGATGCCTTGCGTAAACCTGCTGACATTACCCCCAAGGACAGACTGTCCTCTTGGAGGGTGGAAAATTGTTAGCAGGGACCACAGCCAGGTGTTTGCTTTTTTCAGTTTTCACCTTGGGGGAAGGTAGCTTGTGACATCGTCCTTGCATGGATGATGCAAGTACAGTGGAACCGTGAAGAGGAGGTTCACCAGCAAGACCCGGGTATGACATGGATGGAGCTTTTTGTGTCCTTTACCATGTACACACGTTTTCTTTTACCACTAAGACGTCAACTGCAGAATGGAGATATATATCTACAAACTTTTGCTGATTGGTCTGATGTGGCGAAATTTACAGTGGGGTTGGGTGAAGCGTCAAACACTTTTACCATCCTGCTGCAACAAGTGCGAAAACTGTGCACATGGGACCCTTGGCCAGAGAAACAAAAGGGCTTCTGCAAAAGCCTGTATATCCTTGGTGCAACCACGCAGAGTTATGGGTACTTGCAAAGACCAGTCATACCGATGCAACCAGAAGTCACTGCTTACATGCAACAGTATGTCCTGAATAGCCAAACCTTTGATACGCTGCCAGTGATGCCTGAAGTTTCCTTGACAATTCCTGCAGGATTGAATTTGACAAAATGTTGGAAGAAATCGCTGAAAGAGGTGATGAAAGGATTTGCAACAGTACGAGAGTGGCGAAAACGACCGCTGCAAGGTCTGGTCTTCCACTGAGGAGTCCATGGCCAGTTTCACATTCTTCGGAGATCGGCACCAGGCCGGAGTCTCAACTTTGTTCGGGCTTCGGATCTTTTGACGGGGGGAAAAGGGTAAATTATAACGACCTCACTGCGACCTCACTGGAATCATGGGTAATAAGGGGAATCATCCCCAAATGGCCTTATTTCAGGTTTGTGAATTATTATAATTTGCCCAGATATATATACACACACACATAGATATACACCCTCAAATGCATGAACAAGGTCTTAAAAGAAACCTGAAATACACCTTTGATTGTTTTATACAGCCCCTGCAAAACAAAATCATGTGTTGCATTGGAGCATTGAAGCGGGTTTGTCTGGAAATAGGGGAACCCCAATCTGGGTTTGTTTAAGTTTCTGTTTTTTTCCCAATGGGAAATGCACTACTTGGGGAACCTTTGTTGGGAATATCTTTTCTTTTTCCGGGATTCCTTATGCAAATCCTTTTCCCCATTCACATGAAACACCCGCCAGAAACCATAGGCCCCATAGATATCTAAGTTGACGCACACAACTTGGTTAAGTATGTTTTTTTGGATGTTTTTGGGGGATATATACATATATATACATATATATGTATATATACATTATAGCTATATTATCCATGGGGTTTACAAACCAACAAACATCACTTTACTTCGTCTCACCTGGATGTCCGAAGCGGTTCGTCACCTGGATGTCCAACTTATCTGTGACGTTTTTTTTTTCCCCAGGTTTATCTAGGTTCCAATACGGATGGTTGATATCCATATCTTTTAATTTTAACCACATTTTTATCAAACATATCGCTTGGACAACTATTATCTAAGCGTAATTTTTGGGTGGGAAAAAAGTGAGTTGATCGATAAAACTCACCACCATTTTCCGATGTTTAACTATATTACAGCAACTATATCAACTATATTGATGATATTAGCTATGTTAACGATATTAGCTATCCAGTCTATTCCATGATAACTATATTAACCAACCATTTTCCCTCTCCAAATCCACCATTTGTCCTCGGGCTCCGCGCATTTTTTTAGGAGTTGATGCTGATTGCCCTGCGCAGCAACGCCGAAGCCCTGAGATATATGCCGCAGGAAGGGCGGGGACGTTGCGGAAGCTGCAGGGAATCACATTGAATAACATATATATATATATTGATATAACTAGGAGAGGTATGGACAGATGCAGAAATGATATATATATATATATGTATATATATATATATGTATATATATATATACATACATATACATACATATACATATACACATATACATATATACACTATACACATATACATATATACATATATGTTTATACGTATACACATGTACACTATATATATATATACATATGTATATTTGATTTATACATATAGTAAATATACATAGACAGAGAGATAGATGATAGCATTACCTATCAATGATGTAAATGCGTAGTTGGGCAAATAACGAGCCACAACCAGGTTTCCTGTAAGATCTTCCCTAAACTAATCCATTTATTCAATGCCATAGCGACGGTTTATGATTCCTGGTAGACACGGGGATTGGTCGCTGTTTCGTGTTGTGCTGAGGGAATGTGACCCCTCAGGAGTATGATAAACTACTGACCTACTGAATTTTGGGTAGATAAATTCAAAATCATTCAACTACCAGCAGCTACCAAACAACTAAGCCGCAATCGGCATGAAAATACATGGGATACCCTGATTGGTTGGGGACTTGCCTTAGCCAGAGTTATGAAACAGTTCGCCAGTTCCTAAGTGGGATGATCCTCCAAGTTTTTGTGGGAAAAAAGGCATCTTCTCTGAAGGATTGAAGGATCAATAAATAGATTCATTCTCTAAACAGGAGATGCTGAAGGATGAAGAAGCGCTACAGGCTGCTGCTATGGGCATTCGAATTCAATCTTGCTGATATCCAGGACTCTAAGGGGTTTATCCATTCTTTATCCATACCCTCTGATCATCAAACATGGCAATGGACAAGTCCCAGCTCAAGATGATGTTCCATGGTCTTTCCGTAACTGGTTTTTGGGGATTTTCACTGGCCATGGCCATGATTACCAGAGGCTATCCTTTCTGTTAGATCAGCCCAACATCAACCGCTTGAGATCTCCATCTCGGCGGTTTCAGTCCGGATCCTGGTTACGGTAATTGCAGATAGACTTAATTCATCTTAATTCTGTGCACTGAAAGCGGTTGCGTTCTGTTTTTTGACCGAATTTCCAAGCTATGCACGTGATATTTCAAAATCTTGTTGGTTATATGCCCCAATGTATCCAATTTGTGATGCCTTAACCAGAACTGTCCTTTCACCTCCAGATCAAGATTTCTTCCTTTTAGAGGTTTCTGAACATGGGGGGATCCCAAAGTCCTTCAAAATTACCATCTGGTTATTTAACATAGCCATGGAAAATCCCTTATAAATGGAGGTTTTAATGGGAAAATCATCTATAAATGGGCTATTTTCCATGGCTATGTTAAATAACCAGAGGGTAGTCAATATGCTTAGCATTGAAACCCATTGGGATCCCCCAGTTCAGTATGGTGCTTTGTCAGAATCCCATAACCATAAGACCAACACTTAAGCCAGTTATAACCCAACTTACCAATCGACTAGGGGCCCAAAAGCCAGTATGGTTTAGCATCTGCTTATTTAACAGTTCGCCATGGAAAGATCCACCATTTTTAAGTTCGGTAAACCATCTATTTCTATGGGCCATCTATACCATGGCTATGTTAGTCATAACCAGTTCCTGGCAGCTTGACTTACCGTTGCCACCAGGAGGTGCGAGAAGATCCTGAAGCACTGCTGGCCGCGCGCATGGGGGTGCGCATCCGTGGCGCAGGAGGCTTGCAATACTTCAAGTGACCCAGCTGAAAGGGTGGATGATCCGATCTTAGCACCAAAGTTGGGAGTTTTCATCCTGGTTTTTGGACCTTTTCAGCAACAAACCGGGAACGGGATCAAGAACTGGGAGTTTTGCTAGACGGGTTGAAGGCACCGATTTAGGGGCAACAAAAAAGCAAATTTGATGGTCGATAAGATCATTTTCCCCCATGAAATAGCCATGAATTGGAGGTATCCAGCATTTTGAGAGAATTATGGAAGTGGTAGTTTTAGCAGCCCAGGCTCCAGGATCACATCGTACAGCCCAAAAAACAAAGGTATGTAAGAATTTGGTGTTGTTTTTTTTTAGGCTAATGCCAATCCCCATTTTTAGGATTCCTATTTACTTCTTAAGAATTGTTTTGTTATCATCCCTATTTTTTCATGTTTTTGGGGGGAGGGTGGCTAAATGACCAGCAGAAACGGGGCTTTTGATGATGCCCTCTAGCAGACTAACATTGGCAATGGAAATTATGACAACTCCCCTCCTTTCAAAGGCTTTTCCAACTCTTCAACTCTTGATTCAAATGGTTTTTCTCATTTTTTCTCGCCTTTGAAAGTACATATTTGACTATCACAAGCTCAAAAAGTGATCCCCAAAAAGATACTGTCGAAAAGTGTAGCCAGGTGGTTGTTATAGATAGATGATATTTAATGCATATTTCTAGGTTTCCCACTTTTCTGCTGGTTGGTGGTTTGGATCATTTTTGATTTTCCCCCATCTATTGGGAATAATCACCCCAAGTGACTAATATTTTTCAAGATGGGTAAAGCCACCAACCAGTCTGCATTTTTTTGTTGGGCTTGCCATATAAACCCAACTTCCCAAGCAATTTCCATGGCCACCCAGCTATAGGTCGTTGCTCTCGACGGCCGCACATGAGCAGAGCGATGCCTTCCGCTTCAGCGATGCCTCAAAGATGGTGTCATCAAACATGGCTGGAAAATGATCGGACGAAACTACCCTCTGGTGATTTAATGGGATTTATAATAACCATTAATAGGGGATCCAACCATTATGGATGGGATGACCATCAACCATATAGTGAGTATTGACCATGGCTCAATACCCTCTGGTCATGAGTTTAACAGTTTGCGATTGAAAGTGGCCCATTTATAATCAGTTGATGTCCCGTTTTTAAAGATTGTGATTTTCCATAGCTTTTTGTAGGTTTACCAGAGGGTAACTGAAATGGGGTACCCCCAAATCATCCATTTGATAGTATATTTTGGTCGGAAGTTCATGGATTTTCTATTATAAACCATCCATTTTCGGGTGCCATCGTAGGTTAAAACCCCATCCATGCTGTTGAAATCGACGTTTTTTTCGGGGCAAATCATCGAACTGTTGCTGAAGCATTTTCCAGCCATGGAGCTGATTACCAGAAGGTACCCGGCCTGGTCATGACATTCACAGTTCGCCATAAGCCAATAATAATGGTTAATATTGGTTAATAATGGTAATTGATGGATGACTAATGATGATTAATGAAATTACCATCTGGTTATGACTAACAGTTAGCGAACTGGAAAGATCCACCATGCATTTTTTAGTTCGGTAAAGCATCGAACTTTCGATTAGGGCCATCGACATACCATGGCTAGCCCTGTTAGTCATAACCAGAGGGTGAAGGTTCATTTTAGCCAAGAAGGTCGTCGGTTGACCCTCATGGCCATCATAAGAAAACCGGCCGACGCTAGGGCCGCTAGGTCCAAGTTGTGTCCAACTGGCCACCATTTGGATCTATTGGGATAGTCAAAACGGGTAGATACTGGAAACGAATGGTGTCATTTTGGGTGCCTCTGAATAGGCTAAAAAAACCAGTTACATCCCCAGAAATATCCCTACTTGTATATTGGAAATCAAACATCATCAAGTCCTAATTTTTGACGCTTAAACTGCAACATGTTCACCATTTTTCACCTTTTTTTTTGACATGTATTGGGGTGCCCCACTTCCAATGCGGTGTTGCCTCAGCTTGAAAAGCCGCCTCCCTGTGCGTCAGGTGCCGCGCTGGGTCGTGGCAAGAGCGATTTGTCTCTGGTGATCGGCTCCCAGGAAGGTTTTGAAGTGGCGAAGCAGCCTCTGGGGGCTTTTTTTCTCCCAATCATTGTGGGATTTAATAGGATTTCAAAGTATTTTTAGTATGAAATCCCACTAAATCCCATTGAATCCCATTGGTATTCAATGTTTTAATGGGATTGATGGGATTTAAAGGAACATTTAATGGGATTTAATGGGATTGAATTACTCATCATGATCATTATTTTGACAGAAGCTATGGAAGCCATGGCCCATTGAAATGATGTTGCAACCTGTGGCCGACCCAGTTCGGAAGTCTGATCATTTTCCAAGATGGAACTCGGGGGTTCCGCACTAGTATCTGACGGAGCAACATTCAGAAAGTGATACAGACAATCAAGATCAATCTATAGGTGGTCAAACCATGTCAAGCCTCTATAACTGTTGCTTTGGTTGCTTCTATGATCTATTTAAGGGCGCCATAGGTTGTTGGTTTTTTTTGGCACCAGGCTGTTGTCATCAGGGTTCATGAGACTAGTGACGGAGATGATGGGTGGTGATGGTGCAATGTGGGGCCCTATCTGGGCCCCCCAGATAGATGTTAGTTGGTTTAGATTCGCCCCATGAATACTATAGTTATTTGCGTACAATAAACCATAGTGAAATTTGAGTTATGTGAACCCCAACTTAGCTATCGTTTGGGGGCCCCACATTGTGGTAATCTTGATTGTTGGGATTTGGGACGCCGTTTACCTTGAGAAACATCTCGTATAGCCATGCCATCGACTTGCCTCAAGGAATGTTGATCAAGTAGCCATGGCCAAGTCTCAAGGAATGATGATCAAGTCCAATCATCACCATTGCCACGATTGAACGACCGTAATCCAACATGCCATAAGAATTTTATTGTGAAAAATACTGGTTTCAGCATTGTTGATCGTTAAATGACTACTAGTATGTTTCATGGTTTTTCAAACCACCTGGTTTCCGCATGTTTTTTCAGGCACCAACTCACCATTTTTCCACGGTTTTCTTCCAGGTTTTCGTCACCTGCCTCTGCCTCAGGAGCTTCCAATCTCGAAAGAAGCTTCCACGTTGCCGAATCTCGAGGTTTGTCCCGGCGTTGTGGCGTCAAGTTGACATCACATGGGAAAGTCATGGATAAAGCTCTACACATGGTGTATTTTTTTCTTAATGGCAAAATCATCAACAAAAAAATTATGGATTTGAATATAGTAAAATCATCGAACTAAATGGCATGGGTTTTGAATATTTTTTGGGAATTCATCGAAGTAACTGGGAAGAAAATCAGCAAAGCATGTTTGACTACCAGAGGGTATCTTGATTATTGATTCACTGGAGTTTGATGCATCAACTGAGGGATTCCGGACTGGGGCACGCCACGCCGCTTGGGGTAGGATGTGGTGCCCGATGTGCTGAAAGCGAACAGCGTCAATGGCATTGAGGCAACTGCTGCAGCTTGAACTGAGCTTGTACTGTCATTGTATGGATGGTTACCATTAATAGCTAATACCAAAGATTGACTGTCATCTTTCAAGATCAGTTCAAGTTACATCAGTTCAACTGCTTGTGGTGTCATTCTTAGAAAGATATGACAGATTATGTTCTAATAGCATAATATGAGTTTGGAAGATGATTTTCTTTTTGAACGCAACCATTTTTATGTTCCATGTTAATTTTCAGGGGCGAATCTTAGTTTTGGCTACTGACTGATACCCCAAAACTCTCCAAGAACAACTGGCTTCCTGGTAACTTCAGTAGCTGACCGAAAAACGGATCTGTTCATCTTTGGCTCATGACTCATGTTGTGAACAGCTGCGTTGGTTGGACATGCGCAACAAACAACAAAACTGAAGAGCCTGAACAAGAAAACAAGAAAGGCAAATGGATCATCAGAATCTTCACAGAATTTCCACAGAAATCCGGATGATCCATGGAATCTTCCAATGGATCATCAGATTTCCAATGGATTTCACACTGAAAAACACCACTTGCACCGTTGCACCGTCTTCCCCGTGATCCGCCCAAATGGCATCCATGGCACCTCGAGCTGGTGGGGACGTGCCAGCGGCCAATGGGTCACAAGCGATTCGTAGATTTTTTTGGGATCACGATTTAGCCATGAAAAATGGTGATGTACCCAGCTATAAATGGTGATTTACCCATGGAAAATGGTGATTTACCCATGAAACATGGTGATTTTCCATAGTTTTTTGTATGTTTACCAGAGGGTACCAGAGATGAAATATGGGAACTAACAAGAAATGCAGAAAATCTGGACCTTTGCTGCAGCGAATATACATGGACATGGTTGAAAGTTTGGCAGGTCTGGGGGTTCTGTATGTTGGGAAGGGAGTGATTTTCGTTCCCTTTTGGGGACGGTCAAGTAACAGTGGCCACCGAAAAGATTGTGGCCACATGACTCAGCCAGGATGTTCCGCCTCTTTTCGGGACTTGCTCTCCTGGTGTGTTATTCGTTCTCGTCCTTGTTGTTGTCCTTCTTCTCTTCTGGTTTTTATGTGTTTGTTCTTTCTTGTCTTTGTTTTTGCTATTCTTATCCTTCTTCTTTTTGTTGTTGTTGCTGTTGTCGTTCTTCTTCTTCTCCTCTTTTTTCTTCTTCTTCTTCTTCTTGCTCTTGCTCTTGGCCTTGTTCTTGTTCTTCTTCTTCTTGTTGTTGTTGTTCTTCTTCTTCTTCTTATGCTTGTTTCCGTTGTTGTTGTTTTTCTTGTTACTGTTGCTGTTGCTGTTGCTGCTGCTGCTGTTGTTGTTGTTGTTGCTGTTGCAGTTGGTGTTGTTGTTGTTGTTGTTGCTGCTGCTGTTGTTGTTGTTGTTGTTGTTGTTGTGATGGTGGTGGTGGTGGTGGTCGTCGTCGCCGTCGCCGTTGTTGGGCTGTTGCTGTCGCTGTCGCTGTCGCCATTGTCAGGGTTGTCAGTTGTCAGGGGTGAGGGTATGACCCCTACCAAAGAAACTGTCACTTTCTAAACTCCACGCTTGTAGGTAATATCTCCATTTGGATCCATTTGGGTCGGGCAAGCATCAACAAACTACAGAAATATGGACCCCCGAAAAAGAGGATGTTCAACATTGTCTGGTTGGTGGTTTGGAACATTTTCTACTTTTCCATATCTTGGGAAGAATCATCCCAACTCACTTTCATATTTTTCAGAGGGCTTGAAATCACCTTCCCAGTATGGGATTTGATGGGATGTCTTGGAGATGTTATGGGATTTTCTGGGATTTGCATGGGATTTTCAACCAACATCGTTCAACATTGTTCAACCAACATCCTGATTCTTGGGCGACATGTTCACCTCGAAACTTGACGCCTCCCGTGGAGGCGTCCGATTCTTGCGCCTGGTTGCGGTGCTGCTGGGAGGTGGCTGTTTTGTGGCCCCACAGCTGTCAGGGCAGCCCAGACGACAAGATCTTCGGGATCCAACGGGAAGAGTTGAAGTCAGCAACTGCTTGGTGGTTTCAAACATGTTTTTTTTTTTATTTTCCATTTCATATCTGGGATGTCATCCTTACAAAATTGACGAACTCCTCATATTTTTCAAGATGGGCGCACCAGCAACCAGGCAAAGAATGGGATTTCAATGGATTTCAGTGATGATTTTGGGAAATTGAGGGAAAACCATAGGGGTTCGACGTGGGATTCTGATGATTCACGTCAAAGCAGTTCGTATGAGAAGCGAAGAAGGGTTTAATCGCAGCACCACATGCAGCCGCAATTTTTCGCCATCAACATCATGTCAACATCCATGAAGCAAGAAGGGTTTGAGGCATTGCTCAAATGTGTTGAAAACTGGAATTTGATCAACCAAAAGTGGATGAACGTGGGGATTTGACCCTTTTCTCACGGTGCATGCTGCATGTCAAGGAATCTGTCAACACATGTTACCCTCTGGTAAACTAACATAGCTCTCAAAATCACCATTTTTAATAGTTGGGAAATCAACTATAAATTTGCAATTTTCAATAGCTATGTTAAATTACCAGAGGGTAAGTCAATGAATATGGCAATGCACAGGTCAGTCCTTAGTACAAACAGCGATCATAGTGTCAGCATAGGTCAGCAGGCTGTGAAGGAAAACATATAGGAAAATGAAACAGAAAACCAGATGGGTATGGTTTATCCAATACCAACAACTGGATGGTATGGTTACCATTGATATTACCAGATAAGCTTGTTAGATAGGTCCCAAATGATCCGAAATTTGGTTGATCCAATACCAACACTTCCAACTTGGATGAAGTTCTGTTTCCATCATGTTCGATCCAACATGATCCGTACCCCTATTTTTTTTTCACCCACACCATATCCAAGTGAAAACATGTCTAAAAATGGGCAATACTACTGACATCCCCACAAATGAGCGATTTCAAGCGGGAAACCTCCGAACAGTTTTGATGTTTTTTGTTGGGTTCATTCAAGAATGATCCGACAGTCACCGATTTTTCATATTTTTCCATATTTTTGTGACATATGATTTCACATGATTTCACATGATTTCATGTTGCACAGAAAACCACAGCCAAAAAAAAGTCACTGAGGAAAGCCTTCCGCAGCCGCGGAGAGAACGACACGCTCATCCCAAGGTGGGGATGTCTTTTTTCAACGACGCGACGCGACGCGACGCGACGGTGGTTTCAAAGACTCCAAAAAGTGACACCCTGTATCAATGAAATTCATATCATGGATGTGTATTCATACCATAGTATATCTATAGTATATCTATGATACTATTAGGATGGTTTATATGGATGTTTATGGTGGATATATTTAATTCCATATATGGAGGTTTCCGAAGTCATGGGGGTACCCCCAGTCATCATCCATCTATAGAAACGGCATTTTCCATGATAAACCGACATAAACCTACCATTTTTGGATACCTTGATCAGTTAAAGGGGGTTGATCAGAATCCACTGCGGCAAACTGGAGGGTGCTTAAAAACTCAACGTGAAAGTCATATCCAAATATCAACTTACCCTCTGGTAATGACTAACAGTTCGCGATTGAAAATGGCCCATTGATAGTTGACTTACCTATTTAAGATGGTGATTTTCGATAGCTATGTTAGCTTACCAAAGGGTAACTTTGGTTGAACGATAAATCATGGTTCAATACTTAAACAGAATACGATTTTGCTGGGCTTGGAACTATTTGGTTGATGGTTTAACATGGTTTAAGCGTGTTAAACCCAACAAGAATCGGCATGGTTTACCAGCAATAGTGGAGATAGTAATGATAATGGGGATACCCTCCACTACCTGATTGGTGATTTCAATATATGTACATATATGTACATATTTGATGTTCAATTCCAGGATCATGATCCTAACTCAACTGACGAATCGTTTTGAGATGGATTGAAACCACCAGTGAGTTTTGCTATACATGTCAGTTCTTGGGTAGGTACCTTGGATATCCTTGGATTTCCTGAAGATGGACGCAGTTCCGCAGTTCCGGCATTGAACAAAAGTACTGTTCAGCTTCTAAGACTCCCAGAGTTCACTTTTTTTTTCCAAGTAATCGTCCCAAACCACCAAAACCATGGGTACCCGGCCTGGTAAACGTTTACAGTTCGCTATTGAAAATGGCCCAGTCGAAATCGTTGATTTACCCAGCTATACAATGGTGGATCTTTCCATAGTTATTTGTAGGTTTACCAGAGGGTAAATGACCAAAAACATAGTTCGATTTTTGTAACTATAAAAAGGGACTAGATATCAACAAAAAACGTAGTTTGATTTTTCAACAACTATTGTAGGCTTAGGTAAGATGGATCATCAACCCCCCATCAACCTGGTTGTTGATGGTTCGTTGTGGGTCCATTTTGTTGACGCCCTAAACCTGGTCCAGACCTGCGGGCACGGTGGAAGTTCCCGGTGGACTGAAGAATGGCGTGAAGATGGTGATGGATGGCCTGCAACGGGGATTGGGCCACGAGATATGACTGGGGATATGCATATGATTGTATATGTACATATATGTGTGTAGAATAATGATAATAATAATGATCATGAACATATATATATATATATCAATATATATATATATATATCAATATATATATATATCAATATATATATATCAATATATATATATATATATCAATATATATATATATATATCAATATATATATATATATCAAATATATCAATATATATATATATATATCAATATATATATATATATCAATATATATATATATTGATATCAATATCAATATATATATATATCAATATCAATATATATATATATATCAATATATATATATATATATCAATATATATATATATATCAATATCAATATATATATATATATCAATATCAATATATATATATATATCATTATATATATATATTAATGTCATCTGGTAATGGCAACGCATGAAACATTTGTAGCTGTAGTCGTAGCCAAACAATGGGCATTTGCAGTCGAAGATGCCCTTTGTCCACTTGCTGGTTGATTGAACAACAACAAAGACCGATCCACAACCCCCTTTTTTTTTGCGGCACAAAAGAAAAACCGGTTTTTGTTTCCCAATTGCCAAGTTTGGGGCTTTTACAGAATTTAGCTTCTTCAACCATGGGTCTTTCCACACTTTCGTGGCCCCGTTGATCCCGATCTCTTGTAGCGGCATGACGAACACGGCCCATCACCGGGACGGCAGAACAGCCCTTCATGCTGATGTCCCACCAATCCAAGAAACAGGCGCGCTGGGGATCTGGCCATGGGGATCCCTCAGGTTTGGATTAAGATCGTCAGTTTATAACAAAACACCCACAGCGATTAGAGGCAGATAGAAGATTCCAATGACAATTTCATTTAAGCTAGGTTGAGATACATTGGACATTTTCCATGAAACCACCATTTCCAATTCAAAAAGATATCATAATTGGTCTGACAAAAACGAGAGTTCCCATGTCTCAGAGAGGATGTTCCAGCCTGGTGGCTGAAAGGATAAACACACTAAAATCATCTAAAATCCCCAATCTTTAATTCACAATTCTCAATATCAAGTTAATCAAGTTCCCAATATTTCATACTCCCAATCTTGAAATCTCCAATTTATGTGTCATGTCCCAAATCTTGCTGAAGTTCCTACCGGGGTTATCGGGGTACCTGGGGTACGCGGTCCCGCTGGTGTCACCCCAGGGGAAAGGTGTGGCCATTACCAAAGCCAAGCTCAAGAACCTCCTCACCGGGGCGATCATCGAAAAGACGTGCCTCGATGTTAGGAACTATGCCATGGACGATCAGCAATTGGAGTGAGTAAATCATGGTAGATCATCGTTTTCCATATCTAGACATGGTGGATTTTCCATATTACTATGTGAGTTTATTTTTTGAGTTGACTGGAGGGTAGAAACATTGAAACATTGAAACATTGAAACATTTTTCTATTTTAACAACATAAATCTGAGAATCATTTTAGTAAGACATATAGGTCATGCACCTACAACTCTCCCTAACATGGGTGGGACATGGACAGCAACTATGCGAACTGCAGGGTGTCAGGGTTTCGACCCGTGCCCATATGATCATCTATAGTATCTATAGTGTGGCTGAAACATTTTTTTCCCACTTAAGAAAGTATACATCAACTCAGGGAAGTGTAATAATAATTATTGATGTATACTTTCAAAGTTTGACTCACATCCACTTATGTTGGTGGTTTTCATTCCACATAAAACATGTTTTTATCACTTGGCTGTGAGTCAAAACCCACCCTGTTGAACCCAAAGTCATTATAGGGTGTTCATGGATGGTAATAGTCCCCTCAAATGCAGTCATAGTAGGTTTTGACCCATCACCACTTTTATTACATATATAATTATATATATATATATCATTATCATTAGAGTTATTATATATCTACCATGAAATTGGAGTTCGATCAACCATTCATTAGATATCTATAATATATTCAATATATGAATTCTATCAACATCTATAGATTATTGCTATATTATATATTTACCACAAACCCTCCCAAGTGTCGAGTTCTGGAGCGATGTCCAGGTTGAGCAGCGGGGCAAGGTTCCCTGAAGTGGAGACCGTCTGGGAAGGCCTCCTGTTTTTTTTTCAGGTCTGAACATGGAGAAAAAACCTCAATCCATGGATTGGTTTAAGGGACAATTTGCAGGAAACCATGGATTTCCCAATGAAATATGGGGCTTTCCTGTAAATTTTCCCTGGAACCAATCCATTGACTCAAAATATCAAAAATAAAAACTGGGAAAGCCTGAAAAAATCAAGCCAGCCATTGGATTTGGGTTGGTTATTTTCAGACAAGCCCAAAAATCATGATCTAAAGACATAGATAATATGACCTGGGATGACCATGACGTAGTGAAAATGATTATTGAAAAAAAGTACCTTCTGGTAATTTAACATAGCTATTGAAAATAGCAATTTATAGTGGATTTTCCCATAAAAAATGGTGATGTTCCATAGTTATGTTAGTTTACCGGAGGGTAGCCTCACATTTTTTTTTCGTAAATGATTCCAATGTTGGAGTGCGGTATTAATATGTATTAATGATCCGAGAAAGAATAATGGGACTTTGGAGCCAAAAATGAAGCAATGAAGAAAATACCCTGCAGCAGGTTGGCTCATGAGTTGGGACATAGAACAAACCTATTTGCGGATGATCCGGTCCCAATACCATCATTTTATATGATATATTATTATATAATATGTAAGTTTACAACATGTAATAATATAATATTTTATATGTTATATAGTAATTTTTATTAATACGTATACTAGGTACGGATGAGATAGGAGTTGTCGGAGGGTCCAGTTTTTTTGATTTCCCATCTCATGAGTAAAGTATTGTTTTTGCCCTTTGAAAGTGCCAAACTCCCATCTCATGTGGTTCTAGTAGTCATTTGAAGGATACCTGCATCAAGTTTTTACATTCCCACGGTTTGTTTTTTAATGCTACAGGCTACAGTTTGGACACATGAGATAGGACTTAGGGCTGATTTGGGGCATGTTCACATAACCCATGTGTTGGGACTGTAGCATCTATATCCCATGAAGAATTCCCATCTCATGGGTTTCATCCTGAGCCATTTGGCAATATGGTAAAAAACTACTGAACGTATTTTTTTTTCATTTTCTCGTTGTTTCTCTACTGTTGTTAGCTTTAATAACGGGCAGCGACACGGCTCGCGGAGAACGGACGGCCACGTGTCTCCCTGTTTTTATCTCTAACGGGAAGCGACACGGCTCGCGGGCCGCGTGTCTCCCTGTTGTTGCCTGTCACCGGTCTCGCTGTGCACCTCCGCAGTTTCCCACATGGCCTCCGGTAGCTTCCGTTAAAAATAAGAATGGGGAGTGGGAGCCAGGATGCCCTTCCCCGTGTAAAAGCAGATGGGATAGGACTTGTGGGGATTTGACGATTTGACCAGAGAAATCTAATGGCACATGGGCGCGGCACGGGGAAAATAGCGACCTCTAAAAGCAGATGAGATATAGGACTTTTGGAGATTTGCCGATTTGACCTGGGAAATCTGATGCCACATGGGCGCGGCAAGGGAAAAATAGCTACCACTAAAAGCAGCTGAGATAGGACTTTTGGAGATTTGACGATTTGACCTGGGAAATCTGATGGCACATGGGCGCGGCACGGGAAAAATAGCGACCTCTAAAAGCAGATAAGATATAGGACTTTGGAGATTTGACGATTCGACCTGAGAAATCTAATGGGACGTGGGGGCGGCAAGGGAAAAATAGCGACCACTAAAAGCAAATGAAATAGGACTTGTGGGGATTTGACGATTTGACCTGGGAAATCTAATGGCACGTGGGTGCGGCAAGGGAAAAATAGCGACCACTAAAAGCAGATGAGATAGGACTTGTGGAGATTTTGCCTGGGAAATCTAATGGCACATGGGCGCGGGGAAAAAAATAGCGACCACTGCAAAGCAGATGAGATAGGACTTGTGTGGGTTTGACGATTTGACTTGGGAAATCTAATGGCACATGGGTGTGGCAAGGGAAAAATAGCGACCACTGAAAGCAGATGAGATAGGACTTGTGGAGATTTGACGATTTGACTTGGGAAATCTATGGCACCCGTTGTGTCTCACCGGGGGCTTGGAACTGCTCGCCCCCAAAGCTTCACTGCTCAGAACGGGCTGGACGGTCAGCAGTTGCAAACGCCTCCCTGGGGAGACACAACGGAGAGGCACAACGGGAGACACAACAGGAAAATGATGTAAACTGAGAAAAACATGAATAGCGCCACTGCAAAGCAGATGAGATAGGACTTGTGGGGATTTGGCCTGGGAAATCTAATGGCACATGGGCGCGGCCAGGGAAAAAATAGCGACCACTAAAAGCAGATGAGATAGGATTTGTGGAGATTTGACGATTTGACTTGGGAAATCTATGGCACCAGTTGTGTCTCACCGGGGAGGCGCTTGGAACTGCTCGCCCCCACAGCTTCACTGCTCAGAACGGGCTAGACGGTCAGCAGTTGCAAACGCCTCCCCGGGGAGACACAACGGAGAGACACAACGGAGAGGCACAACGGGAGACACAACAGGAAAATGATATAAAATGAGAAAAAGCTGAATAGCGACCACTACAAAGCAGATTAGATAGGACACGTGGGGGTTTGACGATTTGACTTGGGAAATCTATGGCACCCGTTGTGTCTCACCGGGGAGGCGCTTGGAACTGCTCGCCCCCAAAGCTTCACTGCTCAGAACGGGCTGGACGGTCAGCAGTTGCAAACGCCTCCCCGGGAGACACAACGGAGAGGCACAACGGGAGACACAACAGGAAAATGATGTAAACTAAGATAAAGCTGAATAGCGACCACTGCAAAGCAGATGAGATAGGACTTGTGTGGGTTTGACGATTTGACTTGGGAAATCTAATGGCACATGGGTGTGGCAACGGAAAAATAGCGACCACTGAAAGCAGATGAGATAGGACTTGTGGAGATTTGACGATTTGGCTTGGGAAATCTATGGCAGCCGTGTTGTCTCACCGGGGAGGCGCTTGGAACTGCTCGCCCCCACAGCTTCACTGCTCAGAACGGGCTGGACGGTCAGCAGTTGCAAACGCCTCCCTGGGGAGGCAAAACAGAGAGACACAACGGGAGACACAACAGGAAAATGATGTAAAATGAGGAAAACATGAATAGGGACCATTGCAAAGCAGATGAGGTAGGACTTGTGGGGATTTGGCCTGGGAAATCTAATGGCACATGGGCGCGGCCAGGGAAAAAATAGCGACCACTAAAAGCAGATGAGATAGGACTTGTGGAGGTTTGACGATTTGACTTAGGAAATCTATGGCACCCGTTGTGTCTCACCGGGGAGGCGCTTGGAACTGCTCGCCCCCAAAGCTTCACTGCTCAGAACGGGCTGGACGGTCAGCAGTTGCAAACGCCTCCCCGGGGAGACACAACGGAGAGGCACAACGGGAGACACAACAGGAAAATGATGTAAAATGAGAAAAACATGAATAGCGACCACTGCAAAGCAGATGAGATAGGACTTGTGGGGATTTGGCCTGGGAAATCTAATGGCACATGGGCGCGGCAAGGGAAAAATAGCGACCACTAAAAGCAGATGAGATAGGATTTGTGGAGATTTGACGATTTGACTTGGGAAATCTATGGCACCAGTTGTGTCTCACCGGGGAGGCGCTTGGAACTGCTCGCCCCCACAGCTTCACTGCTCAGAACGGGCTGGACGGTCAGCAGTTGCAAACGCCTCCCCGGGGAGACACAACGGAGAGGCACAACGGGAGACACAACAGGAAAATGATGTAAAATGAGAAAAACATGAATAGCGAGCACTGCAAAGCAGATGAGATAGGACTTGTGGGGGTTGAACGATTTGACTTGGGAAATGTAATGGAGCATGGGTGCGGCAAGGGAAAAAATAGCGACCACTAAAAGCAGATGAGATAGGATTTGTGGAGATTTGACGATTTGACTTGGGAAATCTATGGCGCCCGTTGTGTCTCACCGGGAAGGCGCTTGGAACTGCTCATCCCCACAGCTTCACTGCTCAGAACGGTCTGGACGGTCAGCAGTTGCAAACGCCTCCCCGGGGAGACACAACGGAGAGGCACAACGGGAGACACAACAGGAAAATGATGTAAAATGAGAAAAAGCTGAATACATGTGTGTGGCAAGGGAAAAATAGCGACATATAGGGACCACTAAAAGCAGATTAGATAGGACTTGTGGAGATTTGACGATTTGACTTGGGAAATCTAATGGCACATGGGAAGGGAAAAATAGCGACCATTAAAAGCAGACGAGATAGGATTTGTGGAGATTTGACGACTTGACTTGGGAAATCTATGGCACCCGTTGTGTCTCACCGGGGAGGCGCTTGGAACTGCTCGCACCCACAGCTTCACTGCTCAGAGCGGTCTGGACGGTCAGCAGTTGCAAACGCCTCCCCGGGGAGACACAACGGAGAGACATAATGGGAGACACAACAGGAAAATAATGTAAAATGAAAAAAACTGAATAGCGACCACTACAAAGCAGATGAGATAGGACTTGTGGAGATTTGACTTGGGAAATCGACCGGCGCATGGTGCGACAAGGGAGAAATAACGACGACTAAAAGCAGATGAGGTAGGACTTGTGGGGATTTGACCTCGAAAGTCTAACTGGCACATGGGTGCAGCAAGGGAAAGCTCTTGACCAATAAATGCAGATGAGATAGGACTTGTGGGAAATCTACTGGCACATGGGTGCAGCAAGAGAAAAAAATGGTCACCACTAAAAGCACGTGAGGTAGGACTTGTGGAGATTTGACCTGGGAAATCTAGTGGCGCATGGGTGTGGCATGGGAAAAATAACGACCACTAAAAGGCTAAAGCAGATGAGATAGGACTTGTGGGGGTTTGACCTCGAAAGTCTAACTGGCACATGGGTGCAGCAAGGGAAAGCTAGTGACCACTAAAAGCAGATGAGATAGGACTTGTGGGGATTTGACGATTTGACCTGGGAAATCTAATGGCACATGGGTGCAGCAAGGGAAAAATAGTTACCACTAAAAGCAGGTGAGGTAGGACTTGTGGGGATTTGACCTGGGAAATCTAGTGGCGCATGGGTGCGGCAAGGGAAAAAAATAACGACCACTAAAAGGCTAAAGCAGATGAAATAGGACTTGTGGGGATTTGACCTCGAAAGTTTAACTGGCACATGGGTGCAGCAAGGGAAAGCTATTGACCACTAAAAGCAGATGAGATAGGACTTGTGGGGATTTGACGATTTGACCTGGGAAATCTAATGGCACATGGGTGCAGCAAGGGAAAAATAGTCACAACTAAAAGCAGGTGAGATAGGACTTGTGGGGGTTGATCCGGGAAATCTAATGGCACATGGGTGTAACTAGGCAAAAAGATGGACCACTGAACGCATGTGAGATAGGACTTGTTTTTTCTAGAACCATTGTAATTTTCTATCTCATCAGCCCTTGCTGCTGTGACAAAACATGAAGTCCCGATCATTTATCAAGGTGTTTTTTTTCAGACTTGCATTCAGGTCTCAGAGCGGGTTCAGCGCACATGAGTTGGGAGTTTTGGCAAATCCCAGGTACCAAAACTCCTAACTCATGTGGCTATTCTAGCCAATTCCCCATAAGCGCTTCAAACAGTGGACACAAGAGATAGGACTAGACCCCAGCAAGTCCTGACTCATCCGGGGCCACAAGCCCTAACTCATCAGTACCCAGTATATATAATATGTATTTATAACATAACACACACACACACACACATATATATATATATATACATAGCATATAATATATTAGAATATAGAATCCTGGACAACCACTTGTATCTCTTCTTGATGGTACGTTTTTTTTCTAGGCGATCTGATACTTTCCCTGCGTTTCCCAAAAATATACGGATCCAAAACATCTTGACAAATTGACTGCATGATTGTTGGTCATTCAGGTTTGTTGGTCATACGTGGAGTAGAGTGCTCACAAACCAACAGCCCAGTCGTAGATGAACCCACTTCGCCAAATTTCGGCAATTGTTCGAGAATTCTGATGCACAAATTCAAATTGCACACCCTTCTCCGCAAGCCGACTGTGATGACTGTATATTTCCACAATTTGGCACAATTTTTTAGGTTTCAAACCAACTTCTTTGGGTCAAACTACGTGATTTTGAAAATTGCGCCGAATTGCGGAACATGACGGTCGAATTAAGGTGTCCTTTTTCCCCTGATCCAGGTTGTAAATGCCCTAAATCCAAAATGGGCAGATTTGTTTCAAACTCAATTTGGCAGTGTGTCAAAACCTTGTACCCCTGGTGAACATCAAAATAACTGGTAAATGGATGTTCATCCCACTAAAAATGGTATGTATAGGTATTGACCCATCCCCATTTGAATTCCCCCTGGTCAAGTGGTAAAAAAGATTCACGGAGCGACGTGGAAGGCAAATCCTTCGCTGTTTTGGGCGCTGCTTTACCATGTTTTACCCACATTATTGATTTATGGTTGTAAACAGACATACGTTGGGACCATGTTTTACCATGTTTTACAATGTTTTACCATGTTTTACCCCTATAACTACAACATATCTATAACTATTGTTACATATCCACTTCTAATTGGAACACTTCCAAGAATTGATCCTTGGCTCAGTTGGCACCTTCAGCTACAGAGACGACGACGATGGTTCCTACCACGTGATGGACATGGAAACCTTTGAGGTTCGCCCCGTTGTGAAATGTCTGTTGTGGTAACTTCACCTCGGTAACACCAATGAAAACTCTGAAAAAAAGGGAGGATTCACCCTTTTTCGAGGATTTTGGCAAAAATGATGAGTCGAGGACGGTTCGGTTTATGCTGATTTTTTCTGCTGACAAAAAATGTGGTTGAAAATGGGGAGATTCGGGACGAATCGTCCCGAATTACGGGGATTTGCCAACTTTTGGGCTGAATCCAATTTGGTAGGTCGCCAATGTTCGATGAAAGATGGTAAATCTATGTAAATCTCGAATCTCCATCACAGTTTAGTAAGTTTAGTCCGTGAATCCCCACTATTTGATGCCCAAAAAATCATGTTAAATCATGTCAAATCCCAATTCTTGATGCTAGAACATCCCAATCTTTGATGCTCAAACCACAACTTTTCAATGGTGACTGCATAAACTCCATCAATTGTCATGCCCAAAATATCCAATGTGTTTGGTTGGTCAAGTCACCGTTCTTTATGCAATTCTCTCATAAAAAATGGCATCAAACCATTAAATTCCTCTACAAGGTGGTGCCCTAGTTCGTTAGCTAAGTTAGTTTATAACTCCAATAACTCGGGTTTATGGTAGATATACCTATACTTTTCATTACTTTTCATGGGGGCTATAAACCAACAAACATCACTGGGGGGGCACTACCGTCTATGTTTTGCCAGTGATATCCTCGATGGCTGCCAGGACAAGTCGGTCTCTGGCGATGTCATGGGTGAGATGGCGGACTGGCTCAGTGAGGCCAGTTATAAATGCAGGATGGGCCCCCCCGGTGATGGGAAAATCCTTCCCATTGACAAATATTTTTCAAGATGGTTAAAACCACCAACCAGTAATAAATTATGGTTGGTTTTGCAACTCTCCCAAATGATCTACTTGCTTGATCTACGTAAGGGTGCCATGTAACTGAATTTGCGCCGGTGGCGAAAAAAAATTAATCGCCTAAGTCCTTGGAGTTTTGTCGTTGTGACCCACCCATAAAAATCAGGCCCAGCTGCCAACAGATGGCTTGGTGTTGGGCAATCCCAATTTAACCTTAGCGATTTCTAGCAGCGATCTAAGGCTCAATGGTCTTGTTTTTGGGTTCAGGGTTCGTCTGTGCACGTCAAAAGTGGGTCGTTTGTGCGCAGATGACGCGTTGACCTTGTGGTTGTCCGGACTCAATGGCATTAGCGGCTATCATCAGTAACCAGCCACGAGCTTCAAAATCCCTGTGTTTCACGGGTGGTCAAACCATCGATGGATTGTTCACCATGCTTGAGTTGTCAAATCACCATCTTAAATCACCATGATTGATTAAATTGCAGGGGTTTTCACATCGATGACATGTTTGGCCTCATTTTTCACTGGTGAGTTACATGGTTAAAGCACCAAAATTTGGCCTCATTTTTCCATGGTAAGTTCCACGATCAGTTAAGCCACCAAACGTTTCACACCAGCAGTTTTCGCTCCGGCGCCAGGGAGATTCCGTGGAGTGGGAGCTTTGGGAGGGACGCATTGTCAACATGCAGGACGCTGGGGTAATGAGATTCACAGAAGAATTAAGGGTTAATGATTGGAATAGTGGTTAATAATGGTTAATAATGGTTAATAATGGTTAATAATGGTTAATAATGGTTAATAATGGTTAATAATGATTAATAATGGTTAATAATGGTTAATAATGGTTAATAATGGTTAATAATGATTAATAATGGTTAATAATGGTTAATAATGGTTAATAATGGTTAATAATGGTTTCCTCTTGGTTTCTCCTGGTTCCTCCTGTTTCCTCCTGGTTCATCCTGGTTCATCCTGGTTCCTCCTGGTTTCCTCCCTGTTCCTCGTGGTTCTCCTGGTTCCTCCTGGTTCTCGTGGTTCCTCCTAGGTTTCATGGTTCCTCCTTGTTCCTCCTGGTTCCTCCTGGTTCCTCCTGTTCCTCCTGGTTCCCCTGGTTCTCATCTGGTTCCTCTTGGTTTCCTCTTGGTTTCTTCCTTCTTTCTTCATTAACCATTATTGACCATCTTTAACCATTATTAACAATTACTGTAACGGTTAATGATTGGTTAATACAGGGTTAATAGCGAATAATAAACGGAGGTTTCCTAAAATGGGGGTACCCCAAACCAAAATTATGGGTTTATAATGTTTTACATGTTACCTCCAAATGGAACCCCCCAAATGGATAATATAAGGGTTTAAAAAATGGTCGGTGTATTGTGATTATTATATCATAATACCATGATCATGAAAACCACAGGAAACCATAGGAAACCATAGGCCATAGGAAGATGATGATATAAGCAACATTAATGGTAGCAAAAAATGGGAATATACTATGGGATGCAATGGGATAAATTATAATAGGGCGAGAACGGATGTTTGTTTTCTTTTTTTGATAATGCGGTTACCCTCTGGTAATTTAACATAGCTATTGAAAATGGCCATAGAAATAGTGGATTTCTCCATTAAAAATGGTGGATCTTTCCATAGTTATGTTAGTTTACCAGAGGGTATGGTTGGTTTATTATGATCATAATCTCAAGCATGATTGGAAAAAGATCCCATATTCGATATGCATGTTTACATGAATATAAGATCATTGTTCCATGATAATGGTTGGTTTTCTTTATCAAAATATAATGGTAAAATAGAAAAATGACGGTTGGTTTATATGATTATATCATGATTTGGCTTGGTTTATAAAACGCTGATTGGATGATCAATCCACATGTTCGCACAGGATTTATACACTCTGGTAATTTGTTACGTAGCTATTGAAAATGGCCATAGAAATCGTTGATTAACCCATTAAACATGATGATTTTCCATAGCAAACTGTTAGTTTACCAGAGGGTACACATTCATTCTTGCCCATTCTGTTTGGATTCCCACTATGTGCTTCCTTTGGCGGTTTCGATTCTGCCTATGGGATCCTATGGGTACATGCCAAGACATGCTAAGACTATAACCCAGGCTTTCGAAGACGGCTCAATTCTCATGGCGGATATCCAGTGGCTTTTATCAAGTCCCCTCCTTGGTAATTCAACATAACTATGGACACATCACCATTTTTCATGGGTAAATCAACGATTTCTATGGCCATTTTCCATAGTTTTTTGTAGGTTTACCAGAGGGTAGTTGGGATGGTGATTTGCTGATGTGAACCCCTTTCAACCCCTCGGTTGAACCAATCATAAGATGAGACCAGGGGGGAATCTGATGAAACCGGTGACGTCACCGTCACTCCGAAATTCCCAATTCAGCATGATGGTTACTGTGTAATTATATACCAATATATAATAATAATAATATATGATTGGTATACTTGGTATGATTATTTTTTCTATGTACTTGGATTTCATAGCATAGAATTACTGGTGGTTTGGAACATGGCTTTTATGACTTTCCATATATTGGGAATGTCATCATCCCAACTGACTTTCATATTTTTCAGAGAGGTTGAAACCACCAACCAGATTAAACATGAGTTGACACATGGGCAAAATCATGGTTGAAACATCCGAAATTCCGAAATTGATAGGATAAACATGGTTGATACATCTGAACCCCCTAGAACAGTTGCCTAAATGCAAGGGCACTCCACAGAGTCATGATCTTGATGCAAACGGGTTGAGATGGCTGCATCAGTTGTATGGTGACCAGCTGAAAGTCTGAGTCGGTGATAGCTCATATCTCGATTGTTTAATGTGGAACCAGAGTTTTGGGAACATTTCATAATCTACTAAACCATTATATACTAACTATGTAATTATGATGTTTATTTACTGTATGTTTCTGGTATTTTTCTCGGTGTGTCTTTTTTTTCCGCCACTGGTTGTGGGTCAACATTGGTCAAACAAATTGCCAGTTCCCTGACGACATCATCATGGAAGTGACTGAGATCAAGCAGTCCAAAGACAGCGGTAGGGTTTGGACCTTAGGGCAGCTGTCGCTTCCTCCGCTGGGAACGAAACGTTAATGATGGTTAATGATGATTAATAATGGTTAATGATGATTAATGATGATTATTGATGGTTAATGATTTGAAAACAATCCGTGAACTTCCCATGGAAAAAGACTTAGAACACAATTTTGGGCAGCATTTTGTTTGCTTACTGGTGCGTTTTTTTGCAGGGAATGTTCGGGGTTATGATCCACTGGCTAACTATGAATGTCATCATCCCAGCAACCCCCATTCCCAACCCATCCAGCAACCCTGCGTAAAACGCACGCACCAGGAAGTTTGGTTTCATCATGTTTCATCCAATTGGTTCACCAAGTCAGGGGGATGTCAGGGGGATGTCAGGGGGATGTCAGGGGGATGTCAGGGGGATGTAATGGATGGAGTGGAAGTAACTAAAATATGATGGTTATAATATGTTAATCATGAATCATGGATATCATAGGCTATCATCATATGGAAATAGATTATGAAAAAATATGATCATATTATCATGGATGATAATTTTAATGGATAATATCATACAATAATATAATGATAATATACATATATATATACACATATACACCGCCGCTATTATCCCATAGTGTATACAACAGGTTGGTACAACAGCTTTTATACCAACAGCCAAAAACGCGGCATTTCTTTGTCGTCGAACGGTTGGAGAAATTATAAGCTGCTAAGGATCAGATCGTGACCTTGGAGAATGGCATTTCCAAGCAAGCACCGTCCTACATCTCGGCCCCTGGCCATGGAAAATCCATGGGGAAATCAACTGAAAAACCATGGGAAAAGCCATGAAGTGGATGGATGGATGGATGGATGGACGGATGGATGGATGTATATATATATATACACAGTATATATATATATATATACATATTACGGATGTGATTTTTTTTCCTGCTGAAAAAAAAGTTTCTGATGAGGGTCATTGAAGTTATTCGAGTGACTCTAGAATCCAGGGTTCAATCAGAAATTGGTGCAGTGATGTGCTTGATTCTGGCAAAGCTGACAAAAACAAAAACTGAGGTGGGCGACAAGGTCCGAATCGACAAGAAGAACTTTCAGATCAGTAAGCGAGTGTAAAGTACTGAGATCTCTGAGGTCGAAAGTGACGTAGCAATGGTTGGTCCATGACCATGTTGAGGGTGCAAAGATTCGGGACAGGAAACTCATGGATGATAGGTGGCAATTGTTACAAGAATACGATAATATGCGTTTCTGAGCTGGTGGAAAAGGAGTTATATAGTGTGGTAAACCCAATGCCATAGACCATCCCCAAAATTAGCACTTTTCTGGGTGGAATTCAAAAAAAATCCCAAAGGGTAGGTTTATGGCATTGGACGTGCCAATCAATTTTGCCAATTTCACTGCGGTTTGACTGTTTCACGTCAGTGCCGCAGGCCGTAGTTTAAGATTTTCAGCCCAGGTGCCCGCAGGCATCGGAACCTCGAAAAAGCACCTCTGCGCGCCCCAATGATTCTTGCTGTTAAATGAGTGAAACCTGGATTTTAAGCCAGTGCCTGTTGCTAAAGATCTCATTGTGTGCTGGTTTAAGTGGAGATACCCTCTTGTAAACTAGCATAACTATTGAAAATGGCCATGGAAATAGTGGGTTTTCCCAACTAGAAAATGGTGGATCTTTCCATAGTCTTGTGTATGTTTACCAGAGGTTAACTCCAGTTTCACTTGGGTTTACGGTAGAGATAATATACCTATACTTCATGGGGGGTTATAAACCAACAAACATCACTGGGGGTTTCTCCATTGATCCATGGTCCTTTTAAGCATTCCAAACATTGGCGCCTCGGATCTCGCGGTTTCGAAACGCACGCCATTTTCGAATGAACCGGTGCCATTTCCAGACGTCACCGAAAAGCCGAGGGGCCGGGGCCGGGAGGATGGTAACTGGGAGGATGGTTTTTGGGCTATCGGAATGGGGAATAACTGAACTTAAATGCATATATATATAATATATATATATATATATACACGTATACTAAATTTCGTAAAGGATGGGAAAACATACATTTTTAATGGGAATATACAAGTGGATGTGGAAATCGGTTCTGTTTGCAATTGAACGGTTCATTTCCATGCGGGAAAGCAATTGGGGTAAGTCGGTACTTTTTGCGTTTAGCTTGGGTTTTGCATGACAGCTTGAAAGTGGCACGTTTAAATCTTGCAGCAACTTCCATGGGTATACCAATGGAAACTATGGTATATAGATGCTGTCCTGACAGCCACTTCTGCCATGATTTTTCAAACTTATACTTATATTTGGTCATTCTTTCAAGGGGGCACATGCTGGTTGCTGCTTGTGGCTGCTTGTGGCTGCTGCTGGCTGCTGCTTGCTGCTGCTTCCTCCTGCTCCTGCTGCTGCTTCCTGCTGCTGCTGCTTCCTCCTCCGCTGCTGTTGCCAGCTCAAGTGGAGCAATCTCGCTTCAGAAGCTCATGGCGAGCTCCGGGACAAACCATATAGGCTGACCTCGTATTGACCTCGTATAGACCTCGTATCGGACCTCGTATAAATGCACCCTTGTCCACCACAGTTTTTGATATGCAACCCTTGTGTCCAAACCTGACCTGTGAATCCGGAGTTCCAGTATGAATTAAAACACACTGCGCATGAGATTCTGGCAGGAGTAGTCTTGAGAAACGGAGTTCACATGGGGATTTGCTCAGGTGGTTTGGGCAGGTCTGAAGCATCAGTAGAAAGAGAAGTGGCTGTCCGCTGAGAAACACAATCGTGCTTTGCGATATGTGAAGAAGTGAAAAGGATCCTGTAGCAGATTCTGGGAAGTGTGGTGCAGATTTAGATATCCAGTAGTAGCGATTCCATGCAGGAAAGCCTATGAAGACATAGAATTAGCAGAATTATTCCATTAGCGTTCCATGCAGGAAAAGCCTATAAAGACATAGAATTAGCAGTTATATTCCATTAGCGTTCCAGTAGGAACTAACATCTCCAGTAACATGTTGATGTAGATATTTTGCCCCAGCGTTGAAGCGTTACCAATAGGACGGTGCGTTCCATGCAGTTGTACCAACCCCGCGGTGTTTAGTCCTGACTTCCACGGGTGCCTGTATTATATATATATAGACTATGCACTAAAAAAAAAGAATCTCATCAGTCGTTTTAAAGCTGTTTTGGTGAACATTTTTGTGTTGCCCTGGACGTTTCTGTCACAGATCGAAAAATCATCATATGGGATCACTGGACCAGGAAAACAATGGGTTATTTGGGTTGTACCTCAATAATCTATACACGGCCTGGTAAACTAACAGTTTGCTATCGAAAATGGCCATTGATGGTTGATTTACCCATAAGAAATGGTGATTTTTCATCGTTTTTTGTATGTTTACCAGAGAGTAATGGTTGAACGTTCCATTTTGGAACAGTCTTATAATCATGGGTCATTTGGAATAATTTGGTACTACGGTGGATGGAAGAAATCCTGCACCAGTTGATAGGTGGTTTATCCCATTATCTATAGGGGTTCAACCATCCAAGGTGGTGCAGGATTTCTTCCATCCACCGTAGGAACATGTACTTCATTCCATTTTCTATTTCTCCATAATCTACTGATCCACCGTCTGAATCAATGACTGGTTGACATGGCCTGTCCAACTTTAAGGGCGCCCAAACTTGCAATCTCCACCCTCTGGTAATGACTAACATAGCTATTGAACATGGCCATTCATAGTGAGTTTTCCATTAAAAAAATGTGATTTTCCATAGTTACGTTAGTTTACCAGAGGGTATAACCAAGCAAATTCCTGATGTTGTGACCAACAAAGTTACTGATGTTATTTTGATATTTTCTTTTAAAATTCTTGGCTATAGACATTGCTTGTCCATAGATTTCAATCGGGAGATCTCATGATGGCTGGTCCACGTTTTTTTCGGCCACAAGATCTTCACCACTTGGTGAGTTCATGGTGTTTTAGACTTACCCTCTGGTTATGACTAAGAGTTCGCCATGGTATAGATGACCCATAGAAATAGATGGTTTACCTATTAAAAACCATTAGTTAGATGACCCATTTATAGATGGTTAATGTTAATGGATATTTATAGATGGTTTTCCGAACTTAATAGCATGGTGGATCTTTCCTAGCGGCAAACCGTTAGTCACAACCAGATGGTAATGGGATTGGTGGTTTTGCTGGGATTTCATGGCTGATTTCCCATGGGAGGCCTCTCTGGGTGCCTACGCTGACAATGATGACGTGGAGAGCTTCAAGTGAGTGATCAACATGTGTCCCAATGGCCCCTGACCGACAAAACCACGGCAGGGGGCGATGACCAACCAGATTGCTACTTTGGTTGTGCTACTATAGATAATTTTGTGGAAAAAAAACCACATCTGAAGATACTTGACCCAATAAGAAATGAATTTTCAGTCTTCAGGGTGTTGACACTCTTGTTGTGGCCCCTGCAACTTCAGCAAGATCTTGATGTTTCACACCAGCCGTAGACTGGAAAGTCCGGAAAGTCTGAAGAGACCGCAGCTTGGGCTGCTGGTGAACTGCCCCCAATCAGTAGGCTACCTGCAAATTTGAGTGGTGGAGGTTGTTTATATCTTATAGGCATATAGATGCATATTTCGCAAAAGCCAAATGCAATGCAGCATGCAGCGTAGACATTTCTTGCTGATATCATAAAACCATATAGAAGCATTGCTCAACAGTGGTGGATAGTTTTGTATCATTTAGATGGTTCAAACTTCATCCAAGTTGTCAGCCTGGACCCAGTTGAAGTGAGGCCACCTCTTCCTATCACTGGGCTCAAGGGCTGAAAACAACTCCACCTCCGAGTGCTTAGTTCGACTTCACCTCGCTCTGAAACTTTGTTTGGAAGCTTGGATTCCAAGAGAGCTGAGGTGTGAAGAGATCAGGTTTCAAAAATTGGTGATTTGGGAGAAAACTTTGTAAGTGTGACTGGATGACCTATCGTACCAAAAATAGGGGCACCAATGGTAATGTATGGTAACTACTGGATGCCTCCCAATGGGTTTTGAAGCAGCATTAGGAACTATCATTAATATCCATTAACCACTATCATTAATATCCATTACCCTATGGTAAATAAACATAGACCCTGAAAATCACCAATGTTTAATGGAAACTAGTCTTCCAACCCCTATCTGCCAGGGTCTATGTTAATTTACCAGAGGGTAACATTAACCATCATTAACCACCATAAACCACCATTAATCATCCATTTCTCAGATAGATTTCTCATCCCTCGGCTCACTGAGGACCATAGGACCATGGCTCGCGGTATCATCAAGCACTTGAAGCGCATGTATGCAGCGTGGCTTTAGATTTCCCTCCCGGGACTGAGAAGTGCGACTCGAAATGAAACCACAACTTTGAAACACTGGGGAAATGATTTGTACTTCACCACCAAGAATTAAGCAGCTTAGTATGGCTTACTGACTTTGTGATTTTATGAGGTTGCGAAAGTGAAAAATTGCGACGTCACTATAAGTTCCGGGATTGGCCATGGCATCGATGGACAGCAACCAGGGCATGGGGCGTCGTTTACGAATTTCCCTCGTGAGGCAGTCATGGGGTCGAAAATTCTTCACTGTCCAAACTCAAGTCTGACTTCAAAATGATGTATCATGATGCATCGTTTGCTGAAGATGACCGGCAGGTGGTTTTTCCCGGGGTTTTCAACAGAGCACCAAAAGAGCACTGCTTCCTTTTTTCGATCGCAGCCCCCCAGCCGAGATGCCGACAGAGAAAAGCATCACCATCTGGTTATGACGAACATAGCCATGGACAATCCCCAAAATAAATGGAGGTTTCTAGCTGGGAAAATCCATCCTATTTCGATTAGGGCCATCTATACCATGGCTATGTCTATGTTAAATAACCAGAGGGTACTATAAATTGCATACGAAATTAATATCCCATGATTCGTTTGGTTCACAAAAAGGCATCTTCCGGTGGTGAACATCCCCATGTTGTGGTGTATCACTTGGGGTCCCACATGACTCAGAACACCACAGGCATCTCAAGTTGGAACGAGTGGGACAAGGGGTTAGCCATCATATCACCATATATCATTATATTCCTATATTATGCACTGTGTTCTCGTATACTCAACTTAAGATACTTAAGGTAAATTTAGTCGAAATTGTGAAAGAACAATGTATCAATGTCTCATTTCATTCCCTCAAAGAATATTTTTGATTAAGTATGTTGTTTTAATTCATCTAAGATGTATCAAGGATATATCATTATATATCCCCACTGGATCCCAGGGTATAATTACACTCCACTTAATTTATATAATGGGATCCCCATTATAAAAAATAAGTGGATGATATGATAATTCCTTTAGATACCATTCAATTTTATCCATTCTATCCCCATGAGTGTTTCACATCCACTAAAAATCCCTAGTTCTTTCGGCGTCTTGCACCGTTTTCTTAGGCGCCGAAGCAGTGGATGCTGGACAAACTCCGCGGTCGATGGGCGACTTGCAGCAAAAAACCAGGATTTCATCGGGAGAAGATGGCGTTTTAGGATGTTTTACCCTCTGGTAATTTAACATAGCTATTGAAAATGACCATTTATAGTGGATTTTCCCATTAAACATGGTGATTCTCCATAGTTATGTTAGTTTACCAGAGGGTAGGCCTCAAGATGTGCCAATCATGGTGAGACCCTCTGGTAATTTAATATACTCGTAGCGAAAATGACCATGAAATAGCAGGTAAATCACCTCGAAATGGCCATTTCTGCTAAGTTAGTTGACTGGAGGGTAAATGGTCGCTGAACTATCACCAAAGAACAATGGATATGGATGTGTTTGAAAATGGTGGGTAGCCAAAAAAGGTCCCTTTTGATAAAGAACATGCTGGGGAAAAAACCCAAACATGGTGAAACAGATAGCTGATTTAACAATATACAATATACGATAGGAATTTAATCAGTGAAGAATGGAAATGGACATGTCGGATTTACACCTGCGGGAAACTTGTGTTTTAGAAATGGGATGCAATGGGGTACCCTAAGCATATGCTCAAACAAACCCAATCGTAAAACCATACCTATCGCTGTGCCATGTTGATTTTCGTTGCTTGAATAAACCGTCAAAGCACGTGTTCTTTCTCCGTGGTTTACCACACAGGTGAGTCATCAACTTTACTACGTCCCCATAAGGAATGCACGATTCAGTGGCCCGCAATCATGGTAGTCAACTATCGTGAAATCATGTCGTAGAATCACTTATATAGATAATCTATTTGTCATCCTTAGAATGACTTACTGTAAATCATCACTTAAAATGTATTCAAATCATTTCTTAGATCACCAAACTTAGAACCACTCCTGCTCCAATGGTGCAGCTCTGAGCAAGGCGCCCAAGCCGAACGCGGGTCCGCACAAATTGCGCGAGTGCCTTCCACTGATTGCACCCTGGTAGCAGCAAAACACTCTGGGAAGAAAACAACCATTGGTGAAGGATACGGTCTGTTGATACTTTCAGCTGTGGGAGAAAATTACATAACACACACACAAATAAATCACATATATATATATCTACATATATATTTGTATTATAGACTATTAAAACTGATCTATGTTTCATACCCAGCTAAAAATGAAGTGTTTGCTAGGGTATCAATCTTTAGCCCTGTTTTGGTACAATTTTGGGGCTTAAACTTGCTTCATCGAAGCCATATTATTGATACGTTTGAATCAAACAGCATCAAATCGGTATTCAAACAACTTTTGGGCAATCCATCACAAGTTGATAAGTTGTTTGCACCATCAAAGCAAAAGATGATGATTTGAATTACCCCAAAACCGTGCAAACAACCTGTGATGGATTGCCCAAAAGAAACGAAGTTCGATGGATTTTTGAGAGCAAACGTTCGACTCATTCAGCAATCCATTTCTCATAGACTATCCCATCAAGCTACGATAAAATACCAGTGAATTCCGTGTAAAATAACACAAAACACAGTAACATCAAATAAGATTTCCCCAGAACTTGTCTGGTTGGTGGTTTCAAACATTTTTTATTTTCCATTTCATATATGGGATGTCATCCTTCCCATTGACTTTCACTCCATCATTTTTCAAGATGGGCACATTGCACCACCAACCAGTTATGTAAACCTTTACCAGAGGGTAAATCCCATAAAAATCCCATTAAATCCCATTAAAACCCATTAATCCCATTAAATTTCATGCAATTTCAGTAATCAAAACATGATCCCTTGTCAGGTCATGTTGCGTCAGCGCCTGAAGTATGTGTGGAGCCGAGTCCAACATACCCGAATCCGAGCCCGATTGCATTGGGTTTTTGGATGTCAGGATTTTTTGAATGGAGGCTTTTTACCATTGTTTTTGCTTTTAACCATGGTTTTTTTACCTATGAAAGGCGGTGAGTCATTATGATTTAACCATCATGAATTAATCATCAAACACGGATTATGGTTAAACACTAATTAATCATCAAACAATTAGCCATTATGATTTAACCATGTTGTTTATTAGCTCGTTTCACCATGAAACAAATGGTGACTTCAAAAAATCCTGGTGGGATCCTATGGTGGATGTCGTGGCAATGACATTTTTTCATCGTCAGATTTAGGGAGCTCACATATTTCACAAGCCAACGATGGTGGGGTGGTGCCCCAGGTTATTTGCACAGTTTATACCCTCTGGTAATTTAACATAGCTATTGAAAATGGCCATTTATAGTGGATTTTCCAATTAAAAATGGTGATTTTCCATAGTTATGTAAACGTTTACCAGAGGGTATCTTAACTGTGGGGTGGTAAATATCTCGAACTGGGCCCTTTTGTGTCGTGGCACAGCGGGGTTCCGCAACTTGCGGACAAGCCCAAGTGTTGCAACTTGAAGTGGGAAAATGATCATTGAACTGTGGATTACCCAGCCTGGTACACTAACTCACTAACATAGCTATTGAAAATTGCCATGGAAATAGTGGATTTACCCATTAAAAATGGTGGAAAGAGAGGGTAGGATCCCTATTTTTGGACCCCAGATGGTGCAGGGCTATTAAGGATGGTCGTTACACCCTTTGACAAAGTCGAACGCAGCGACAAGGAAAATCACATGTTTTTTGTAGGTAAAAACATGGTAAATCATCCCAAATCATCTATAACTGGGCCATTTTCCAGTTCGCAAACTCTTAAATAATCAGAGAACAGTACCTGGAAATCGTGGTTTCAAGATCAGAAACATTGGGGAGACACCGGTGGAAGTTGGGCATTCACTGGCTTAGCTTTCGGCGCTGGCGCGAGCGCTGAGGCCCTGACTTACCGTGAGGTGAAGATGATCGTCATGCAGCGCTTGATCAAAGTGGTCCGGATGCTCCAGAGATCTCCGAGAGGGGCTGGGGACAAAGGGGTCCATGGAATGACAGATGGAGATGGAGTTGAGTATAGCAATGTCATGAACCACCCATATATATATATTTAATATATATATATATATTGATGGTTGAGAAACCACCCAGAAACATGGTAAGTTTAAGGGGTGATTGACAATTGCTTTACTAAGGTACCAATCATGGCCCTGATAGTGGGAATTATGATTGAGATGGGGATTGTAATGGGGATGGAGATGCAATGAGAGTATTCATGGATATAGATTTTGAATGTAAACCAACAATATGATGATCAACACTTTTGCTGGTGATTTGTCCTCTATAGAACCTGATTTATTAGGCTTCCACAGACTTTAACACCTGTTCCAGAACCTGCGAGGTAGAAGATCAACCACTTTGCTCCAATTTCTTAGATTTCTTTTTCTAAATCAACATTTTTCCCAACATTCAACCAATGATTCAGAGGTGCTGGTCTAAGTTGGTGCTTTGGAATCCCTTTGGTTTCGAGATCCTCCCAGGACGGCAAGGTGCGCAGCGACATGTTCTACCCAGCCGGTTTCATGGATGTGGTGCAGATCGAGAAAACTAAGGACCTACCGGGCGAGAAGGGGAGATTTGGAAGGGTAACAAGCAATAACCATACTATGACCGACAAGGTTTTTTTTTTTTTGTGTGTGTTCGCCAGATGGTTACCCCCCTGAGAACCATATCATGATATATCATATAATATCAAATAGTATCATATAATCATAATCAATTAACCATCTTAAGCGGAATATGAATTATTATAACCATATCATAACTGCATTAAAACCATGTGCTAACCCAGTTGCAATATATATATATGGCATACTACCCCAGTAAAAACTACCTTCGTTTTGCATGGCTGGTTTTAAACGTCAACCACTCAACAATCAATCCAATCAGTCTTCATTGCCTACTGTCAGTCGGAGTGCAGAAATGGATCACATCTCAGCAGTTTTCCGCCAGTTTATCCCATTGGTGTCCTCAAAGTTCCAAATCGGACGCTTCTGGTTGAATTATAGTGACCTCATAAAACATCACTGGTTGGTGGTTGAGCCACCCCTCTGAAAAATATTAATCAGTTGGGACAAGTGCAACTAGTGACCTCACTGTGACGTCACTGGAATGATCTGCAATGCTTAGGATTCGGGGAATGATCCCAATATGATCCCAATACAGCCGAACTTTTTAGGTGAGTGAATTCAGTACACGTTTTTTATAATTTTCCCAGAAGCTTGTACAGGAAGGGCCCCCCTAGTTGTAAGTTGGTTTATAACCCTATCTAACTATAGCTAATTATATCCCCTATAAACTCAAACGTTAACCTAGTCATAAGTCAACTTAGCAAACTGATTGGTGCTTTGGAACATGACCTTTATTTTCCATTTCATATATGGGATGTTATCCTTTCCATTGACGAACTTCTCATATTTTTCAAGATGTTTGACACCAGGAGAATTTCCGACTGCTGTACAACACCAAGGGCCGATTCATGCTCCACAAGGAGGGGCTTTTCCGGAGGAACTGGGGTGAGATTCACCAACGAGATGCGGACAAACCAACATCAAGATGTTGGGCCGCATCGTGGTTCTTCAAGGTTGATCATCATAGATTTTCATGGTGATTTGCATGTGAAATTTTCACATGGAAACCATGGTGATTTCACCAATGCAAAAACCATCGAACAGTCGGGGTATTCGAGTCGACACTCTTCATGCAATGTCCGGTGTATTGATAAAAATTTCGGGTAGATCATCTATAAAAAAAGGCAGTTTTCCAATGTGTTCCATACTTATGTTCAATAATCAGAGGGTATATCTGAACAAACATCTATTCAGCTGGGTATCCATGAGTATCCTACAATCGGATTCACAATTTCCACGATGGGCAGCCACAGTTTCGGGGGGGGAATGTTAACATAAAAAAAATCTGGGGGGCGAAGCATCTTTGAAACGGTCACGCTGAAGACATGTGAAGACCCAGCGTCACTTTCTTCGTGAAGCGTGACCCCAGAAGCTAAGCTGACCATGAACATCCACCAGACACGAAACGACCATTTTGCTGATCATCTTCATCAGAAACAGAAGGGGTTTTCCATACTAATATAATTAATCATATACAATATATGACATATATATATACATACAAATATATATTAATATATATGTATATATATTAATATATATATATATATTAATATATATATATATTAATATATATATATATATATACTATGTGTTTCTGGTCTGCAAGACTTGCTTTGAAGGGGTTTCAACATGTTTCAACCGCGTGCGTTTTCCCTGAAAACTCCATTGTGATTGATACCAAAAAGGTTGCAAGTCTAATATGGTTTCATTCATCTCATAGATTATATACATAAACCATATAAAATCATGTGAAGAATTACATTCCATCAATATTCCATGAATCCTCCATTAATCTACCATTCATATCCCATTGAAAATAACATCATCATCATCATCATCATCATCCTCATCCTCATCCTCATCCTCATCCCATTGTTTCTAATTAAACCATATAAAAGCATATAACTGGTTGGTGGTTTCAAACATTTTTTATTCTCCATAATATATGGGATAATCCTTCCCATTGATTAATAGGTTTCAAGATGGTTAAAACCACCAACCAGACAGGTGTATTTGCTTTCCATTGCTTTAATCCCATTCATATCCCCAAAAAATACCATATAAACCATATAAAAGCATATTAACAAGGTATTTTTAAAGTTTTTTTGGTAGATGATATATGAAGAATCCCATCCACCAACCAGATATCAACTCTCATTCCAGCTCCATTTCAATCCCCCGTCCCCCGTCCTGGGACGTCGCGTACGTCGCTTTTGCAAAAGGTGGCGAAGGAGGAGGCGAGCTACAAGCTCTGCCGCGTGAAGAAGGTCATGCGAGGCGGATGGAAAAGGTGGTGCTGAAACGATGGGATGGGAAACCATGTGAAAAACCATGGGAAAAACCCAGGGAAAAACCCATGGGAAAAACCATGAAAATCATGGGAAAAACCATGGGAAAAACCATGAACATCATGGGATTGAAGTGAGATTCCATGAAAGATGGAACAGGTGAGACGACTCAAATGGGGTTTTATTCAAATGGGATCCTTTCCGAAATTTCCCACGAAGCAACAGGGATCCTTTCAGGTTTCGCCGAGCAAGACCAGGACCGAACAACGAAGTAGACAGAAATGGATGGGTTCGTAGCAAACCTACACACCGTACGTTTTGTTGGTGTTTTGCTTCATTTATTTGGTAACCAGTAGCAACCACCATATATTGCAATGTTGATATTGATAATTTTATAATATATATTTCACACATATCAAGACACCTGTTCAAGATATAAATGAAACCTGTTTGTATTATGTTTCTATTGCTAAATACATACACATCACATTATACATTAATATGTTAGTTGAAAATTTATAACAAACTAGTTTGTACATTTCTATCTTTTTTGGGGGTATTCCCACCCCACCCCACCCCACCCCACCCTGCCCCACCCAACATCTGGTGCTCTAAGTGATCCAGTGCTCTAAGTGATCCACTTTCCGGTGCTCTAAGTGATCCCTTAACCTATAATTACGATATATTACCAAGTGATTATGATGTTATATTTTATATATGATTACTATACAATCACTGTATGGTTACTGTGTAATTATATACTAATATATTATAATAATATATGATTGGTATACTTGGTATGATTATAATAACTATGTACTTGCATACCATATAATTACTGGTTGGTGGTTTGGAACATGATTTTTATGACTTTCCATATATTGGGAATGTCATAATCCCAACTGACTTTCATATTTTTCAGAGGGGTTGAAACCACCAACCAGATTATGAATAATCAATGCTGGCATGGTATGTTTCAATGCTTGCGGAAAATACGAGGCCCTCGAGGTGTCCCCTACGCCGTGACGCACGATGGCCGCACCATCCGATATCCCGACCCGGATGTCAAGGTGACTGCGGTTGGGACATCTCATGACTTATACCCTCTGGTAAACATACGTACAAAAAACTATGGAAAATCACCATGTTTAATGGGTAAATCAACGATTTCTATGGCCATTTTCCAGTTCGCGAACTGTTTGTTTACCAGAGGGTATAGAGGATCATGGGATAATCATGGGACAGTTTAGGTAGGGATAATCGCCTGGTTGGGGATCATCAAGGCCATAGGAATGGGAAACTGTTTTCCAACTGGTAGAATATCTGGTTGGTGGTGACTGGAACCATGGAATTTTATGACTTTCCATCCAATTGGGAATGTCATAATCCCAACTGACTAACTCATATTTTTCAAGATGGTTAAAACCACCAACCAGATATAGAATGAGATGGGAAAACAAGGCAAACAAGGTATTTTTACGTTTTTTTTTGGTGGATATATGAATAATCCCATCTACACACAAAAAAAAAGCCCCCAGAAACCATGGCTTCGTAAAGGATGACTTTTTTCGTATGGTACCGGCAAGATGGGATGGGAACTGCCGAAAAGGTTTTTTTTGGACCTGTGGATAAAGTATCATCAAAATAAAGTATCTGGTTCATAATGATGGTTGATGATGGTTAATAATGGTTAATGATGGTTAATAATGGTTAATATCTGGTTGGTGGTTTCAAACATGGCTGGATTATTTTCCATTTCATAAAAAAGGGATGTCATCCGAAACCCAACTGACTTTCACTCACTCCATCATTTTTCAAGATGGGCACAAAACGCACCACCAACCCAGGACAGTCCTGGGCCCTTTTATCGCGAAACGCGTTTCCTCAGGATCGGTTTATCTGTTGGGAAGAACTACAGGACATGGCCATATCTGTTGGCAAATACCTCTATACCCGGCCTGGTAAACAAACAGTTCGCGAACTTGAAAATGGCCATAGAAATAGTGGATAGTGGATTTAATTACCCAGCTATAAATGGTGGATCTTTCCGAATCTTTCCAGAGGTTTTTGTATGTTTACCAGAGGGTAAGCCTATCAAACGACTTATATACTGGACATGGATGTCAGAACCACATTGTAGACAGTTGAAACAGGCTTTTTCTAATGGTTAACGATGAAGCCCTGTTGTTTGTTCTCTGTGTCACTTGCCGGAACCAGCCCAACATAGGCACAATGTGAGATTAGTGATTTATTATGATTTATTTTTTTATTATTGTTTTTAAACTCATATCTTCATTAATGATAATATTTATTAATTGTTATTAATCACATCAGTATGTATGAATCATTATTTAGTTTTCTTCGTGTCTTTTACTATCATCACTATCATTGACCTTTTTTTCTTGGGGGTCAGGCTGCCAGTCACATCGCAACAACCTGGAAACCGTCTTGCTACCCCCAAATCCTCTGTATTTCATCATCACTTTCCCATGTTTTTCCTATCTAGGTCAACCTTGGATGGCTAGTTGAATCCAATAAAATCTGTTGCGATGTCAATAGGAATATCTACGTTCACCAGCCAAGAATTTTTCATTCTTTGCAGGGTAACTAAGATTGGCAATAGTTATTTGATCTATAGTTCATCATCATTTTCCCATCCTTTTCTCATCATTTTCCCATCTTTTTTCCCCATGACCTATGTCCCGACCCGGCGCCGCCGCACGGCCAGGCGCATGACACCATCAGGTGGGGGAAGGGTTTACCTTTAATCGTTTGCTACTGTGCATGGTTGCGAAATCCTGCACCAGCAAAAGGATAGTTTTTCAACCCGAACAAAATCATGTGATCTTTACCAGCGTTTTCAACTGGTGATTCGGATTTCGCAGGCCCATCGTGTGTATGAATGGTAAAAAAAGCGTCCTAAGCGATGGTAAGATCCACCATGAAATGGGCAAGGGGGGTTCCTGAAGCAACTCCAGCCGTTACCGAAACGGTTAGCCGCGAAGCAACGTGGGATAAGCTGTGGTAGTTCGATGGCGTGGTGAGTTCGATGAATTGGCTCTTGAGCATGCTGATTTTCCAGCCATATCTATGTGAGTTTAGTGGTTGATCAGCCAGAACTGATATGTGACTGGGATGTTTTCCAGGTTTAATATACGTAATTTAATTGGCTAATGAGCTGGTTTGTTACAAGCTGAGACATGCAAACGACAACTTGGTGAACATCGGTTGGCTTTTTTCATTCTTTTTTATGTATCTACCAAGTTGGGTGAAGAAAACCAAGCGTTTTCAATCCCTGTCTTCCTTTAAAGGTGAGGCTTTTCCCCGTTAGTAAAAGTCGGAGTAAACCCCCAGAATCCCCCAGTTTTTGGGTGTTTTTTGGGTGTCCTGGGCAGGTTAAACTTGGACACTGGCAAGATGATGGACCATGTGAAGTTCGAGACCGGCAACATGGTCGGCTTGGCGATCAACGACGGCGGGAAGGGGGGACCAAAGCCTACAAGAATCCGTTCACCCAACATATAATATATATATATTATAATAGTATATGATTGGTATACTTGGTATGATTATAACAACTATGTACTTGGATTTCATACCATATAATTACTGGTTGGTGGTTTGGAACATGGCTTTTATGACTTTCCATTCAGTTGGGAATATATAATGATCCCAACTGACTTTCACGAACTCCAGCATTTTTGAGAGGGGTAGGTCAACCACCAACCAGTATACCACTTTTTTTGGGGGCCCTTGCTGGGTCCTATGAGGTCATTGGTCAGATCACTTCCCAAGCTGTAGAGTCCACCGTGTTTCCTGGCACCGTGCATTTCTATTGATGAACAGGGCTGCGGATGGCTAAACCCTATGTGTTCCCAGGTTTCATAAATCTGGACTTCCCCAATCCAGAGATATTGGAGTCATCTTTGGCCCGGAGCAAGCCTAGTCTGAAGATTTAGGGGAACCTAACTGAAACCCATGGTGAATCACCATTTTTCCCTCAATTTTATATAGCCTGAGGTCATGATCAGCGGTGGAAACAACATTGGTCGGTGGATCTCAGTGGGAAAAGTCTCAAGATACGTGGCCTCCGAAAATCAAACATGGCTTGCTGGAAAATTCACCAAATTCATTGAGTTCGATGATTAAAATCGATGTTTTTTCCCATGGAAAAACCTCTTAACTTGGAGGGAAATGCTCATTGCATCTAATTGCGGGTATGTTGATGGCATCTGGATGGCTTAAATTACACGCTTAAATGAAAAATCATGCAAAATCCCGTGATTGCTGGTTAGATTCCCATGAAAAAAACATAAAAAACAACTCTTGCTGGTCAAATCTCTATGAGCGCCAGGTAGTTTGAAGTTGTTCGAACCAGTTTGGACTTTTTGAGCAACGACAAGGGTCGTTGTGTGTCTGAAAATGGGGGAGTCAATCCCCCTTTTTTTATGGCATTTTGATATATTTTCATTGGGAACACTATATCACAAAGTAGTGGATCTATGAAGGTTTTTCATGGTTTTTCCATGATGTTCGGGCTATGCCAGGTGGATGGTTTGGGGCGTATCGGATGGCATCGACCTTTTTGGGATTTCCGAAGGGCGAAGTGTTGGACTAGCAGAGGGTATTACTGTACAACTGGTATACCATCTGGTTATGACTAACATAGCCATGGGAAATTACGGCCCATAGAAATAGATGATTTACCGTTCTTAAAAATGGTGGATCTTTCCATGGCGAACTGTTAAATAACCAGAGGGTACTGTGGTATAGGGTATACTATCCAGTTGGTGGTTTCCAGTTGTTTGATAGTTTCATGGTGAAAAACCATAGACAACCATAGTTTCATGGGAGGATGACCCGAAGTAACATTCCAATTTTTTGAGGGTTGAAAGCAGCAACAAGCCATCGAACATCATTGCTGGCTAAATCCTTTCTTTTCTGCTCCACATGCTCTTGACAAAATACCATCAGCACTCCATGCTGATCAGCTCCTTCTGGTTGCTCGTATCATGTCGAATCCCTATGATCGCTTGAATCCTCTTTACTGGTCCATATTCCAGTTGGTTCATGTGAAATCTCCGCTGAATCGTGCTGCTTGCTTCACGTTGAGAAGCCACTGCTATGAAACAAGAAATTCCAACCAGAAATTCCACGAGGCCGCGTGGGCACCATCACTCATGAAGAGAAGCACCCGGGCTCCTTCGAGATGGTGCACGTCAAGGATTCGGCGGAATTTTCCAGGGTGACATTTGCCCCAAGCTCTATGTTTACTGTGGGGTGTATATCCTAGGTATATATACCCTCTGGTTATTTAACATATGTAGCCATGGACGCCATGGCCCATAGAAATAGATGATTTTCCCAGCTAGAAACCTCCATTTATAAGGGATTTTCCATGGCTATGTTAAATAACCAGATGGTATATTATATATATATACACACACTGTATTTTTTTTGGATTTATGTGATGATTTGTGTACTGTATGTTGTTTGGTATATGTTCGATAGATGTTAATATAACTGATGTGTTTCTTCAATATCGGAGAATCATTTTGGGCATCCCTTATCGCTTTATCGCTATCAATATTCAATTAGTTCCCATTTTGTTGATTGGTAAAACCAGCCTTTCTTTTTCCCCACCCATTTTTTAAAATCCAAATTCAGGTATTTTCTTCAACAATTATATCCTGCTATATAGGGATGAACACCAACTTACTAGATTCCTAGATTCTGAGATTCTGACCTCCAGGATCATTTATATTGCTGTCTCAATTGTAATATGTTGTAGGGATCATAGATCAGGCTTATATCGCCTCAACCACAATCCATCGAGTTTATATATATATATACACACCACTCACAAGGGCATTAATCTACTTACAGTCCTATGTATTAACACCGGTTGATGGGTGAATATTGGGGTAATAAAAGGATAACCATCGAACATTTGAGACATGTCGGACTTCATATACCAATGATAGGCTGGGACCTGACTTACTAATTTTGAATCCAAGCTTGGCTTTGATAGCTCCAGAGATGCTGTTTTTTTACTGAGAAACCCAGTTCAGGGGCCACCATTTCAAACTTTATGCGATACCTTTGCCTCAGAAGTATGTGGGCGTGCCTCAACATAGGGTATTGTCCCATTTATGGCTACTTTAATGGGTACATTTGTTTTTTTTAAATGGTATTTCCTATTTCAAGACAGTCCGCCGAGACTATGCTCAGGAATACCCAGTTCATCCTCTGTGGTGTCGAAAGCCGATTGGCCAAACACATTCGATGTGCACAACCAAAGAGATACGCACTTTTCCCCACAGAAGTTGTTTCACTGTTTCACTTTGTGTGGTAATTCTATAGTCATACTGACAAGAGTTATTTTATGTTGTTTCCCAACTTATTCACAATCATTAGATAGATGTTGTTTCACCAATATAAATATCAATACATTACCTAAGGATATCTATTGATTGGATACACTATTATTGCATATATGATTAATAATAGATACAATGATATAAATATGATTTTATTCATGATTGTTTCTTCCTAGACTGGCCACATGTTCTGTACGTTTAACCCTGTGAAATCAACATCTCAAGCCATGGAAAAACAGCTTTTCTGATTTTAGTGAAACGCTTCATCCATAGTAATCCCATAGAAAAACCCGATTTTTATAGTAGATATACGAACCCATAGTAGATACAATATGATACACTCCCATTTCAATAGATACTCTTGTATAATCCCGAATATATATATATATCCACCTCAATTGTCTAAGTATCATTAAGTCAAATTCAAAAAAAAACATCTCCATGATATATCTCCATATCAATGTTTTCAAGGCAAATCCATTAAAAAAACAGAAAAAACACCCGAACTTTTCCATCCGAAATGCCCCCTGCAAAGGATGCCTTGGGACACACCTTCAACACGCGACTTGAGAACGTCTTTGTCATTGGTCAGGGTAGTAAGCCTTGGATCTCCCTGCCAAAGGCGAGTTTGTTGTGGGGGAAATGGGGGGTGAAGGCTGCCGAAAAGGTTTTTCATGGTTGTCTGGCTATTTGTTTTTCTATTTTATATGGGGTAATGATGGGATAATCGGGAATTAACCCATAAATGGCAATTTGGGACTTGGTGGCTCATCCCACTTAGTAAGTAGGTTCTAACCCAAGCTTTTTGAGTGGATTAACCCCCCTTATGCCACTACAAAACCAGGGATATATATATATACAATATTATATATATAAGCTACTTAGTAAGCGGGATGAGTCACCAAGTATGGTTGTTTAATATGGGTCTGTCTCAAATTGGGTATACCATGGTATACCCACCATGGCATTGGGATGATATTGGACAAAGCCACTGTGCTATTTACCCTCTGGTAAACCTACAAAAAACGATGGAAACATACCATGTTTAATAGGTAAATCAACTATTTCGACTGGGCCATTTTCAATAGCCATGTTATGCTATGTTTGTCTACCAGAGGGTATATGGTTTGATTGGGATAACTATGGGATAAGACTTTTGAGAATTGGAATAGAATGGGCAAATACCATCCGGGAATCAAACATGGCTGGGAAGTCCCTTATACAACTGCGGAAATTGGAAGCCATGTTTCATTACCGGAGGGTAAGAGGGTTGTAATATGAGTAATGAGCTAAATCCATGCCATAGACCATCACCAATTGGATTTTATTGTTTGATATAACCCTATTTCGGGTGATGTAATGACTCCCAATGATTTGCTACTGGGATGGCTTATTGCTGAGATGGTATATTATGATTATTATGGTATATTCTTGGTTTACCATATTGTTGCCCACTTGCTAACAATATTATCGGGCAATAAATGGTAGATTAACCCAAACTTGGCAGTTCTGCAGGGCAAATGTATTATAAAGATTTATAAAGCATAGATGTGTGGGAGGTGCCCTAGTTTCACACAAACCTATATCCAGGAATCACACGGGTGGAATGTTGGAAAAAACCCCAGAAATTCCATAGCTGACCCACCCTATAGTGGTGATTTTACACGACCTGACACCCGAAAATGGTGAAAAGGAGATAAAAGGAGTCCCCATTTTCGGAAAGCACCATTTTGATCCATTTTCTGTTGCCCAGTGTTGGTCTCCGGGCCGAAACTTGAAGCCGGAAGCCCCCAAAACTGATCCTACGGCAAAACATCATGGGTTTGACAGATTTTCTGTTGGTTACTCCTCCCTATCTCCAACTACCCGGCCTGGTAAACAAACAGTTTGCGAACTTGAAAATGGCCCAGTCGAAATAGTGGATCTACCCATTAAACAATGTGATTTTCCATCGTTTTTTGTATGTTTATCAATTTGGGTAACCCTCTTTTTTTTCAGGTATAGGACTTAGGATCCCACTTGGTACGTGGTTTTCAGAACCAGGTTGTCGCCTCAGAATCCCTTGGTAGATGGCAGGGGTACCTTGAAACCTTTCGGATCGGACGATCCTCAAGGGTTTCATCAAACATGGCGATTTTGCTGGGAAATCACCACAATCTCATGATCATCTACCCCTTTGGTCAAGTTGAAAGTGGTCATTTATGGTTGATTTACCAGAAACGGTGATTTTTTCCAGTTCGCAAACTGTTAGTTTACCAGGTAACCATCCATTTTGAGCTCTCAAAATGGATGATTACCCCAAAAATGGTGATTTTTCAAACTGTTAACCAGACCCTATGGATCCAAACACTGTCTGAGAAGGTACTTAACCCTCCAAATTATAGTAAATTATACCCCAAACACTTCCTGAGAAGGTACTTGGATCCATAGGGAGAGGGTAACCATCAATTTTGAGCTCTTTTTACATGGAATTTGGGGGTAGCCCCATGACTATGGACACCGACACCTCGAAACGGATCCAGGGCAATGGCGTGAAGATGTCCATCATTGAGGACCGTGTGGCGAGGATGAAGTGAGGTCACGCGTCAAGCGGTTGCGCGGGAGGAGGGAACAGCTACCGGCGGCCGGTGGAAAATGACGACTTAACGGACGCAACGGCAAGAAATGGGGGTTGAACTTTGGATATAACTTTGCTCTGATTTAATCAGAATCAAAGAGTTAAACTAAGAAAAAGTGGGCTTTCAGTCCTCGAAGCATGGGTGAAATTGGTGATGGGTAGCTGTTGATGAGTTGAGTTTGAGCAACTTCCGCGCCGAATCTGTGGCAGGTGCCGAGAATTGGAACCGTTGTGAGTCTTGGAAGCCCTTGAGGAAGGAAAAAGTTCGGGCGTTGCTGTGGATTTGTCGTGGTTTGGACCTGAAAGATCTGAAAGTTCGGTACTTGATCATCATTTTCCCATGCATGTGGTTAGTATGCTCTATGATTTCTTCATGTTTAGGCACTCCCAATATCCCACGCTTGTGATTTGTGATGTTCAAAAGAAGATCATTTTGACAGTCCGGTAAAGTATGATCATTTATGATCCAATTTACCAATTTGAAAACAAACGTGACAACAACTTCTCTTTGCAGTTGAGCTTGGCCTTTCAGCACCATGGACTCAAAAAAAAAAATCAGTGCATGGAAGTTCTCTATCATCCGCGTGTCATTGGCTAGGACAAGTTCACACACCACGGATGATTCCCAACGCTTCACCGAAATTGATGCTTAGCCTCTGGGAAACTAAGAGTTTGCGAGGAAAACCACTATCTTAATAGGTAAATCAATGTAAATCATCTATAAATAGTCCATTTTCCATAGCCATCTTAGTTTACTGGAGGGTAAAGGATTTTAAATCATGTTCAGACAAACGACATAGGGGATTCAAGTACTGTTGCAAAGTCATGGCGATCCAACATTCCGATGGCGATCTCACTCTTGGATCTGCTGACAGGCTGGGGTCCAAGGGTGGTGACCGAAGTCTGACACCATGTCAATGGGAATTTCAGGATCCTAAAATGGATATATGGTAGACTAGATACCTCCAATTTAGGTTCCTGAAATGGCCATTGACCATGGAAAAGGATTTGAACCAGTAAAGATGTGGGTACTGGGTCAACCTTGGTTAGAGACGAACTAGTCGTTTAATCTTGTTTAATCTTTTGCTATCAATGGTAAAATATACCAACCAAAAAAAATGAATATTGCGGCAGGTATCTAAGATTCACCATGGGTATAATAATACTTGATACATTATTGTTGATGGTTGATTAACCAATGTGTAAGCGGTGAGTTTCACCTACCTGGTTTAATGGGGAGCATTGTTTAAGAAAGAAACATGCTAGACTTTTTCAATCCATGTTTTGTCGATGCTTGTTGGGATATATATGTAATTACATATATAATATACATATATATATATATATATTATATATTATATATATACATTATATGTATATATATATATATTTGGGTTCTGTCGATCCATGCATGCCTGCCGGCACCATGGTTCGCATGCTCTTTTTTCAGTTCTCTTTGCAATTGTGGTTGAAAACGCCTGTTGTTTTGGACTCGGTATTTCTCTTATCCACATGACATTAAAAATGGGATAAACAAAGTATTTTCACAACCAGAAGATGATGTTTAATTAATTCGTCTAAGCCTTGAGGGGACAGACCTGGGAACTCTGCTTGGAGTTTTTGGGTCCCGCTGACAGATGGGTTTATCATGGTTTATCTGAAGCGATTGGCGGCCTTTTTTTTTTCCTGAAGTTTATCCTCATTAAAAAATCCCAAATATTTCAACCAGTCTTATAAAATTCGGAAGCTCACCATGTTGGGGTGTACCCCATTTTTCCAAACCCATGAGTGGATCATATACCATGGTATAGATTGGTATAGCCACTATGAAAATGGCCATTTAGATCATTTAATAGGAAGAATGATGATCAAGTAGTGAGGTATAATATTAAGGAACATTTAATGTGGGTAAAACAATCATAAGCCATTCCCAGTCATCACCATGTTTATGGGTGGTATGGTTACCATTCCCAGTCATGGGTGGTAAACATGGCATTGTTTTAACCACATTCAATAGGAATAATGGGTCTATAAATGGATAGGCAATGACTGTGAACTACGGGAGTACCATTCACTGTATACCCACTGTAAGATGGTGGTATACCTGTAGGAATATTAGATCCTATGGAATAATAACGAGGTATACCCACAAGGTGGTGCCCCCCAGTGATGTTAGTTGGTTTATAAACCCCATGAATACTATAGATATATATCTACCATAAACCAGAGTGAAATTGGAGTTATGTTCACCAACTTAGCTAACGAACTGGGGCACCACCTTGCATTATTCAATGGATCTTTTTGGGGGTAGCCTATTTTTCGACGAAGTCATGGTGGGAACCATGGAATCCCGTGCCCACAAGTTCTGCTGATTTATGGACAAACGATCCATGAACTGCAGACATATCCACCATAAAAATCCATAAAACCCTAGGCAAACTAGTTATAAACCCACTAACATGCAACTAAATCCCAGTAAATCCCAGTAAACTCACTATTGTTTCATCATGTTCTCGAGTTTTGCAGGGTGTTCTTTTGAATCACAGCATTGGCAGGCGCAGCACCATTCCAGAAGAGCCAGGTGCAGTGTGTTTACGACGAGGTGCCGGTGAAGATGAAAGATGGACGAAGATATGACGAGATGGTTTCCCATCTTTTTTTTTTTTTAAAATAGTGTATATATGTATATAGTGAATACTGAATAGTGAATACTGTATTCATATATCATCATATCATATGTAATCATGTATATAGTGAATAGTGTATATATATATCCTTTATGACGGATATAGTGATATAGTGTATATACATATACACGATAATATATGACTATGTTGTATACACATGGATGTATTTCACAATATATAATAACATATGTTTAAATATGTATATGGCATATAGTATATGGCATATGTGGTATATGGTATATGTATGTGTACATATATATATACACACATACATACACATACACATGTGGATACTTATATCTATGATGTACATTATTTTTTTGCTCTAACAGCATCCACGTTCAGGCGCTGTCGCTGCGCTTTGCGGCAGCTCCCAAAGACTTTGGTGGGGTGCCCTTGGGGTTCTGGGGATGGTAAACCAGGGATCGTAACTGGTGAATACAAAGCAATGTGGTGCTAGACTAGAGGATCATCTATAACTGATCTGTTAACCGATAACTGATCTATAGAGGATCATCTATAACATTCTGGTGAATACTAAGAAACATGATTTCTTTCATTCATCTTTGTTCCTGGAGGAACATCCCATGGATCGTAACTGGTTGATAAGCCTGGTCAGATCTGGTCTCCGACCTAAGCCCTGTTGCCAGTTACAAGCCGAAAAGGGTGATCCTACAGCGATTGCGACCAAGCAATATGGGGATGTATAAGGATAGAAGCAACAAGTCCAGGTAGACCTTGGATGGTTGTTTGATACAACTCAATATAGAGGGGATCACCCCCAGACCCAACAAGAGGCAGATGATGGCATACAACATCATACAACATCATACAACATCATACAAAATCATACAACATCATACAACATCATACAACATCATACAACAGTCAGCAACGCACGTTTTCATCCCATATTCCTTGGCCCAAACATGGATTTTTTTTCAATTTTCACCATAGAATCAACTGATCCGCTTATGGGATCGCTGGATTCATCATTCGTTTTTCGAGGTCGTAAGTGGTCGCTTCTGGAAAGCGAAAGTGTCAATGCTTCGGAGGTGCCACCTTTGTTTTGGGTGTTCCGACGTGCAGAAAAACAAGGTTGGGTGGTTGCAAGATGTTTCAACTCCATAAAGGGGATCTCGTTGGTGGTTTCAAACATTTCTTATTTTCCATAATATTTGAGATAATCCTTCCCAATGACTAATATGTTTCAAGATGGTTAAAACCAACAACCAGGGATAATGATATTGCAATTTTTAGGACCACAAAAAGAAACTCAAGAGATTTCAACACCAGGTTTTCGGGCCTAAGCAACCCAAGAAAATGGACAAACAAAAACAATTGGGACTCCGCCCAAGAGTGCAAGTTGACCAGGAAACAGCAACAATAAATTGGAATATAATACGGGGTCCACCAGCTCAAGTCAAAGGGGGTTTCAACAGAATAAAACTTAACAAACTGAAAACACTTTGCCAAAAAACAATGGTGATTTAGGCTAGAAACATGATAGAACCTATTCGGAAAAAATGGGTGGTTTTACCATCAACGATGGGGATTTTTGACCAATAACGCACTTTGACCTGGATATGTCTGAAAATGGGGTGTACCCCCAAAAATCTAGAGAGAAACATGATGAAGCACTTCCAACTTTTGAGAAAGCCTATTTTCAGAGATGCGGTTGGAGATTCACCCAGGAGTTGAGATCCAGGGCACTTTATTGTGGATGATTTTTCATGTGGATTCTTTAGAGATCAAACACGATGGCTATTGGATGCTATTGGTATCTTGATGATTTTTAGCATCACCAAGATGGCAATGGTTCCCATTTTCTGGTGAGGCTCTTCAAATTGCCATCGCCAAATGTTTTCTGGTTCCTATCTTGGCCGCCATGCGGCCAAGCACAGGTCCATAGACAAAAAATCAAAAATATATGGTTCTCCACTTTTTCATATGTTTTGCTATGTGTTTTTGTTTCCCGACCCCTTCCGTTCTGGGATTTTGGTCATAGGAGTTTGGTATGTTTCATGGATTTCTCATGATTTTTCCTGAACATGCCCAGGAAAATCACCAGTTCACAGTGTTTCGCATTATTGTACATGTAGTTCACAGAACATGAGGAAAACTCCATATCTGAATCCATGAAATTCGCTTAAAACAACTGAAAATTATGCACCAGTCTTCAGAGTTAGAGCGCATCGTTTCCCCCCCTAGACCAATCCAAAAGTTTCCCATGAGGGTATGGATCAATACCTATTGTGATCACAACAACATGGCACATGCAACGGACTAAGACCCTTTTCACCACGCACAAACCCCTGAGTAGATCCGAAATCAGCAGCAAGTGATAATCTCTACATGATCTGAAGATGTGGACAAACAAGCGAAGGCATCATGCAGTCTTCACATCCATCATACTTTCTTTTTCGCTTGTTTGTATCTTGAGATCTCTTCGAGCTTGCTTCTCCAGCTTTGCGTCTCGCCGAAGTTGCAGTGCATCATATTCGTCCGTCAATTGATACCTTCCTAGTTTGAGAACAGCACGAAGAAAATCAGATGGCATCATTTTTGTCAGGCTATCAGCAAGTTGATATCTTCCATCTATCCATCGTATGCATCCATGATCTCTTCTTAGGAAGTCTCGAATTATTGACAGGTCAATACAAGTGCGTTTATCTGCTGCGCTGATTGGACTTGGTCTGGACAAGGCATCAAATACGGATTTAGCATCCGTCACGAGGCCGAATTCAAGCACTTTCAACGAATCCTCCCAGTTTGAATCCATCTTAGGCAAGACTTGAGGAAACATCATTTCAACCAAGAGGTATCTAAACCAACTGGCAACAGAAGAACTCTCTACAATGGCCTGGGTCTCGGCTCCTAGTGTTGACACCGTACGTCTCTTCAACGTGTGACTTTTCCATCCCAATATGCCAAAATGGCTTTCTTGCCCATGCAACATCATTCGATCGCATGCCATGACTATGTATCCTGCTTGTGACTTTTCCATGTCGCCTTTTTCATCCAAGGCATTTCCCCAAGCCGCATCACTAGTTACTAAAATACTTAGTCTAGTGGGATCTATGGGTTGCAACTTGATGTGGACATCTTTATGTTTAAAGGCATCTTTGAGGATCTTGTTGCAAGTTTTAAGATCACGAATGCATGGTTTGGGAAAACACTGCATTAAAATGGCTGTGGATCCAGCCAGATCAACACGAGTCTCCTTTGACAGCCAGCTGAGTGCTCCGACATATGAGCGAAGCTCTTTTACCTGTTCTGCAGTGCAAGGCTGATCATCGGAAACACCTTTGGGAACTTTGATTCGAGATTGGCACTTGAGATCTGCATAATATTCTTGTGAGATCTTGATAACTCCATCTTTTTGTCTAGAGATATCTTTTCCACAGAATCGTCCCTTATCAAAATCCCATTTGCCAAAGCGATACTTTTCTTTGAGTTGATTCATACGACTCCAGTGTTCTTGAGTACCACCGCTTATGAGATCATCAGTTGCCAACATGATGACACCCTGCAAACTATCATCCTTGTGAAGCATGTACAGGCAGGCATCCAAAATGCTGGGTTTATATCCTAGAGATCGCAAGGCATGGTCAAGATGTTGGTTCCATTGATATGGAGCGTCTGTCAAACCATACACTGTTTTTAGAACGACAACAAGAGAACCAGGTTCTATTCCATCAATTTGATCACAAGGAATCTCACAATACAGAGGTTCTTTTCGAGAAATCTCTCCACCCTGCATGAATGCCTGAGAGAAATCAGCAAAGTGCAGTGGCCACTGGTGACTAGAAATCACCTGCAGACCTAGGAACAAGCTGTCTCGGGCAACGACAGGACTGGTGCTTTCCACACTAAAAAGATCAGGATCTCTGTCTCCTCGCACAATCCATCTTGACTTGGCCTTACAGGGTTGTTCTTCTGATCCGTGATGTAAAATTTGACTGCTATCAAATTGTGTGATGTCATCAATGGGTTTTGCTACGTGCAGGAGACGGGATTTCATGATCCTATGTGGCATGGTCTGTCTAATTCGCAGGGCTTCAGACGGAGGAACAACGCGAATGGCTCCAGCCTTGACATTTGTGTCCCATTCTTTCTTGATGGCGGCTCTGAAAAGTTGCTTGTCATGATCATCCAAATCTTTAAGCTGAAGTTCCTTACTTTGTGTCTTTGCACTCCAAGCTTCGATTTGTTCTCCCAGATGTTCTAGATTCCATAGTGAGTGATCACTGGAAGGAGCTATGGACGCGGAATATCCATCACTAGCTGATGCAATTTCCACATCACTACCTATATTGGAATCCAAATCCATGACATTGCGTTCATATTGCTCTTCATCACTGGGATCCAAATCTATGGCTGGACGATGCATTGTGTCTCGGTTGGATTCATCATCTACTGCTGCTGCTGCTACACGAAGTCTCTTCTCTGCTGGTGGCTGCTTGCCATAGGCTCTTTTCTTATGGGTTGGATGATCTTCGACATGTTCTGGACGGTCTTGTGCTGTAATATCTTCGATTCCTATCACTCGATCTTCTTGGAAATTTTGGCGGATTCTGCACAACTTCTCAAGGAGTGCACTTGTGGATGCTTCTTCATCGGCACTATTGTGTCGGCACTGTTCTGGTGCTGCTTTCACAAGTCTACCCTGATGATTCAAGTAGAGTGAGTTTGGATGTTGATATGCTACAACTGTCGCTGGTCCATTCCAACACTGCTGTGGTGGTCTACGGGATGCTGAGTTCTGATGACCTACTTTCATATGCTGGTTGATAGCCCAAAAGTACACAACATCTCCTACTTCAAAGTGATCGATTCGTCTACTTCCTGAGTACTTTGCTCGGCGAATGGCATCAGTGCAGCTTTGAGAAAAGAATGCACGTCCGGCTGCTAATCGCATGTGCTCTTGCTTTTGAAGAGCGATGTCACCGGCCTGGAGAGCCGCAGTGTGGGCGTGGTTGCCCTCATCCCCTCGCAAGGTTTCACCTGGTAAGCAGGGAGTGATGCCAAACACTCTATGAATTGGAGAATATCCACCCCGGTGAGAGAGGCGATTTTTCATGAGTCCTGTCACATGGATCAATTCATGCATCTCATCTTGACTCTCTATATTCCCATATTCATGAGCAGTCTTATAGAAGATCATTTTGAAGCTTTTACCTTCCCTTTCTGTGATTGAGTTTTGTGTCGGAGCCTCTAAACTGATTGGATCAAGAATAGTGCCATCAGTGGCACATCGAGCTGAGAAATCTTTCTTGAACTCCCTACCCAGATCGCATTTCACTACCCGTGGAGCCCCAAAACAAGTTGTCCAGTGACGGTATGCATTACGAACATCCTGTGATTTTGTTCCAGTCAGTGGGATGACCATTTGATATCTCGTACCCCAACATATGATGTTCAAGCAATGTACACTGATATCTCTCAACTTGAGTGTTATGAGATCTACACCGACTACCTCATTGAAAGGCAATTCTCGAGGTGGTGCTGCGAGTCTCCAGGGCTTTGGTCGGGAACTTTCCAGACATGTGGCACAGGTGAAATCGCGGGCGATCTGGCAAACAGCTTTGGAAGCATTTCCAGCCTTCAGTATCTTGAGCATGTGCTGCAAGCAGGGATGTCCTAATCCTCGGTGAATGGCTTCTAGTTCCTTCATGATTTTGGTTCTTCTCTCTTCACTGATCTGTTCAACATCCTCGTCTTCTGGTGCTAGGTGCTCTATTTCATCGGATGCTGATGGCTCTAGAGCAGCTTCCACTGGCAGCAAGTCGAATTGGTTCGTGGTGCAACGTTCCAAGAGATGCACCTGAGGGATCGCACTGTCATTTCCGCTGGAGGTGATCACGAACTGGCTGATTGTGGGGGCTTTGGACCATGAGCTGTGATTGCTATGGAATATCATCTCAAACTCTTCTAGACTTCGGTCATGGTTTATTGCTTCTCCCCTGAGTTCCTTGATTACCCCCCTTAGGATGGCATCTACCATTTTATTGGTGTATCTAGCGGCTGCTGCTGCTCTGGGCTTACCGTGACTTGCACCAATACAATGTTGATGAACATGATCTTCCTTGCAAGTTCTAGCTACTGCTCTGGCTACATGTCGGCTATTGGACATGATCCCGGTGCGCTTGCGAATTGGATTGTGGTCTAAGTCAGTTAGACCAAAGCAACACTGGTCTGTGCGAGCGACATAAGTGCTTGGCAGCCTGAGGACTCGCTGAATCACATTCTGTCTCCATGACATTGCACTCCACGGATGTTCAAACATGTACAGCTTACCACGTATTTGTTGGTCAAGACAAACTGTGATGCCAAAAGTCAACAAGGTCATTGCTTCTTGAAATTTCTTTTGGTAGTGATCATCATGCTGCAACTGTTCTTTGCTACGACCCTTGGCAAGAAACTGCAACATGGAAAACATCTCACATGGCGGTGAAACTGCGACAAAATCGTAGTTCTCGGTTCTCAAGTGCTGGAGACAGGCTTTGCGATTGCTGGGAACAAGCAAGTCATCCCCTAGCTGCAGATCAAAAGCACGACCACCGAACAAACCATGTTTGGGAGCCCTTTGAGTGAATCTGGGATTTGAGAACACTTCACCGATACGGATCAATTGAAAAATTTCATGAAGTTCATCATCTGTGGGTGTGCAAGGCATTTCATGTTCTGGTCTTGCACCATTTTCACTAACTTCATGATGATTTTCCAATAAGTGAATTTGCTTCTTAATCTCCCCAATGATTCTTTTCCTAACTCCCCGAGGCATGGTCTGGATTGCTGGCAATGATCCTATGTCGCTCACTTGTATTTTGCAGGATCGACCCAAGTGCGCGTCACTTCTCCGGTCTTGTAGATCAGAACTTGACGTTCTCCACAGTGCTTGCATGTCTTCATCTCCTGGTGAGAGTTGGTGCCGCGACGGCTCCATTGATGATGACAAGAAGGTCCATGATCCAGGCTTGATGCGGCGTGATCTCGCCGTGCTGGAACGGAGGAGCTGCTGCTTGAGCTGCTGGTGGATGGCTTCCTTGGCTTCTTCTTCTTCTTCTTCTTGTCTTTGCTGCTGCTCTTGGAGTGATGGCTTGATGACATCCCATGTTCCTTTCCATGCTTGCTTGAGGCTGCACCCGATTGAGACCTTGGGTTTGACAGAGTCTCGTACTGTAGGCCCTTCGTTGGTTCCAGCCACATGAAAAAGTGGCACTGTGCAGGAGTGTTTGGAGTCTGTGGGCAACGGAGGAAGGTTCTCCCATAGTTTGCTCCCTGTTGTCGACATGTATATGTCTTGCATGGGAGCCCACAAAAGCACAGTTGGTGCAAATCCAACTCCTGATTCTTCATGTTGGCCGGAACACTTTGAGACATCATGTTCTCCATGCGAAGGGTGACAGCTTTGGGGCTGTCTGGAATCAGTGTGAAACTCTGACTGGTTTCTGAGTGTGCATATCCCTGGCCTCGCAGTTGTTTCTGGAGTTTGTTCCTTCTCTCTGCTTTGTCTTGCTTCTTGAGATTTGCTTGCGTCTTCATCTGCTCTTTCTTCTCCATGACTGCTACCTGAACTAGATCTGACATCTCCTCCAAGGATTCCAGTTCTTCGGCATGTGACGTTTGCATCAGCAGATGGCTCCACAACTGAATTGCTGGCATCATGAGGCTGGACATGACACTCCATACCATGAGCCAATGCTCCCTGATTCGCAGCTTGCTGACCATGCGACGCCAGATTGGGACATGCTTGCTGGCATCGGATGTGTCCTGGCTCACACAGCTGCGCTTGCGGGGCCCTTCGATCTCCATGTTGATCCACGGCAAGGTCGACGGTGGAGTTACTGTTCTTTACGGGAACACTCGAGCAATGAGAGGTCTCATCGCACTCAACATGTGGAATCATGGCCTGGTCTGGCATATGCTTGCTATCAGGGAATGTGAAACATGACTTCATCTTTTCTACACTTCCAAGCGCATGTGTGACTGGAACGACATCCACTTCTGATGCAGAGTTGACTTCGGACCTGCAAACCTGTGGACAAAACTCACTCTGATAGAATACTGTGCACTCATCACCGATCATTTTCTTTGGTTTCCATGGCATGTCGGTCATGTTCTGTTGAACACTGGAAAAATCAAACAGCCGGATGCACAACTGCCCGCGAGAGTTGAAGCTGATGGGAATCTTCTCAGCAATTGAACGGAGATGCAGGTGGTGATCAGCAAGATCTATGACAGCTCCTAATGCTTTGAGGATAGGCAAGGAAAACAGCAATGGTGCGTCAGCAGGCTCATCTAAGACTGCAGCTCGGATGATTGCAGGACGTCTACCAAGACTTATGGGAATGACTGCAACTTGATTTGTCTTTGTGACTCCGCCTGCACCCTTAAATTGAAACTGACGTTTTTCATACCTCACCTGCATCCCGGTCGGCAGTGTAGCTACGATTCTAGCTAACACGTTTGATCCTACGGCAGTGCGCTGACATCCGGTGTCCACTACACAGTGTTCGGACACATCGCTCTGGGCAAAATCGAAAGGCTGTGGTGCCTTTCCTTTGGCAATTGGGCTGACTACGGCACGTCCTGAGTCCTGAGATCCTGGCTCAAGGGGTTGCGTAGTGTGATACAACATCTTTGTCATCCTTTTTGGATGTTTTCCCAACACCTGCTGTTTGGCAATTAACATGTCAAGTGAAGGTTCATTATGTAAATACCCCCTATCCCAACCATTACAAGTGATTTCACTAACAATGGCAGTCCATAAGGACAGAGGGCGTGCTTCCTATTCGCGGAGTTCGGATGTGGTGAGACATTCCTGTTCCATGCTTTCGGACAATGACCACCATGCCTTGTTGGAGACGTCACCATCACGTTGTGGTGGTGCACTGCTACCTGCGGCGCTGGCATTGCTCTGGGAACTTCTCTGATTCTTCTGGGGACATTCTCGATGCCAATGACCCGTCATTCCACAAGTTCTACATTTAGTGATGGACTTGAGATGCTGGATGTCTCGCTTAGCTCCAGAGTACTGATTCCCTGGGGAAGTGCGAAACCCTCTTCCAGTCTTCAGCTCATTCTTCATGTTCTGAACTTGTTTATAAGACAGTTGTTGAACTGGTCGATTGACTTTCTGTCGAATCAATGTCATGAGAATATCTTTGGCATCACCCGCAGAAATCTGATCTTCATCTCCATGGTCTTCCAAGTCCCTGAGTGCGCTCTCCAAAGCCTCCATCTCCTCGTCTTCCACGCTGTTGAGTAAGGCTGAGTGTTCACTGACGGTTTCTAGGCCTGGACCTACATCTTCATGTTCACTAGCTTGTTGAAACCATACATGCGATTTCTTTTTGTCATCATCATTTTGTATCAAGCGCATCTTCAGTTTCCTCATGGCGTCAATGACTGCTTCTAAAGTCAGATCCCCTTTTGTCAAAGTGACGATTCTCTCTAGTGTCAAATCATCCACCTGAGCTTGACGAAGGTATATGAAACCAAGTGCCTCAGCGGGTAGATTCACACCATGCTTCTTCACCTTTCTGTTCGCCTCTTCAAATCGATTTCGAAAAGATAGGATATCATCATCTGCCAGTTTCAGTTTGGAGTACAGAAGTCTATGAAGCGAGTTCCACAAACTCTCAATCTCCTCCTTACCAAACCGATCAGGACGTCCCATCTCTTCCAAAAGAAGCTGACCATTTCTAGAGTCATTAAACCAGTCATCGTCTTCAGCTAGATACTTCATGGTGTCAAAGGCCTTTCCACTCAATTGTTGTAACATGCGTGGACCCCGAGATGTCTCAGCTATGGTAGTGGTGCGCAACCAAAGTCGTGCACGGAGTCGGTAGTCTTCCCAAGCGCCTGGCTTTCTGTCTCCATCATAGGAGGGAGGTGGTCCAACCGAAGATCGGTCAGAACGTTGCTGCGAGAACCCTGAGCTTTCACCTGAGGTTCTTTCACTCGTCTCTCTCTGCGAGGACTGAACCTCGCTCTCATCTTCACCTTCTTCTTCATCATCTCTATAGCTCGCACGCCATTGGCGTGGATTGCTCATGCCAGTCTGCTGTGGCACACACTGTTATACTTCTTCACAAACGACAGCCAAAGATCAAGGACACACTGTACCATACACTGTGAATTCAGACCTGGACCGTTATGTAGCTCCGAAATACCAATGTGATCACAACAACATGGCACATGCAACGGACTAAGACCCTTTTCACCACGCACAAACCCCTGAGTAGATCCGAAATCAGCAGCAAGTGATAATCTCTACATGATCTGAAGATGTGGACAAACAAGCGAAGGCATCATGCAGTCTTCACACCTATTAATACCATTTTTAGTGGGATGAACATCCATAAATACCAGCTATTTTGATGTTCACCAGGGGTACAAGGTTTTGACACACTGCCATGAGAATCTTCCAGGTGCCCCGTGCCCTTCCCAAACGGACGCGGCCGCGATCCCTACATGGGCGGCAGCGCTGCGATCGACTAAGGGGAAACCTGGGGAAGGTACTCAAAGGGTGGCAATGTCAGGATGTTACCATCTGGTTATGACTAACATAGCCATGGAAATATCCACCCATTTTTAATAGGTAAACCCAGGTAAACCATCTATAAATGGGTCATCTATACCATGGCTATGTTAAATAAGACCAGATGTTACATGATTTCACTGTGAAAATGGAGGTTTGAAATATCAAACATCGGGAATTCTTACCACAAAAATGGATATTTTAAATATAAAACTCTGGGTTTTTCACGATTCAAAATGGGTGCTTAGACCAGCAGGCATCGTTTTGACGATCAAACAATACGGGATTTTCCAACCGTCGAACATCAGCTCTGAGAATCCGTAAAATTTTAGAGGGATGTAGTTTTCCCAACCCTTAAACTTATCAGTTGGAAACGATATGAACCTGGAAAATAGATGGGTTGTATTTTTAAAGCTGACTGGGTCCAGTTTTCACAGGGAGATGAACGGTCAAAATGATGGAAAACATCTGGGAGAACGGTGGGATCATGTTTTTTCACCAGGATTGGGGTATGTTAGACCCACAAAAAAGTGATAGAATCTACAGTTCTACACGCGGACACTCATTCGAAACAGCAGGATGTCCAACAACGACAATATGAGTTATGTGCACTCAGAACATCTTAGCCGGCAACTCAACCAGCTTTCAATGGATTTCGACCAATCCCAAGTTGCGGGGCATGTCCCAAGATAGTTCAACATTGGCGCCATCGTTGGAGTAGTTCTTTACATTATGTACAGCATTTCACCAAGCAGACCCCGTCATGAAAGAATCCAAATCCATACATTGCATGTATTTCACCTTACAGTATAAGTGTGGGTAAAATTTGGGATGTGACAATGCCAAAAAAACATCTCCAAATGACATCAAAATGTGGTAAACCCAATAATAAACTATTCAGTGGGTTGCATAAACCATCCTGGGTGCACACCACATGAACTGACCTGAAACGGTATGAGCTGTATGACCAAGCACTCCATTCTCTCCGGCCGTGGAAGCAGGTCCTGCAGCGTCGTCTCTTTCCGTTCGAAGTCGGTCGACTTTCTCATGCCACGCGGACGGAAGATGATGATATGGGCCGTGGATCCAAATTGAAGTCTATTTCAGTATTGACATGTATGAAAATCATCCAATTGTATTTTTTTGATGTTCATATTAATATGATGATATGGTTAGTTTGAGTATTGAAAGAAGTAAACAACATGACCATGACAACAAGAAGGAAGCAACCGGAAACAACAAATGGTTACAATCGGGAAAACAAATTAACATAAGGTACAACGGTCGTGCCCTTTAAATATAACGGGGTTTGACACGTATTTACAATGAGCCATAGTGTTTTGAGAGCCATTTTGATAGGGCAATGTGTTCAATGTCGGAGGGTGACATTTGTGGGACAAAATTGGATACCCAAAGATTCTGATTTTAAATAGAGCTCCCTATGAAAGACAAGAATTTGCCGGTTGGAAGCGCTTCAAACTTTGACCATTTTGACCCATCGTCATACATCGGCAAAAACGTATACCTCTTTCAAGTCTCAATTGATCCATGGTCTTTTACTCTACCCTCTGGTAAACTAACATAACCATGGAAAATTACCATTTTTAATGGGTAAATTCACTATAAATGACAATTTTCAATAGCTATGTTATTTTACCGGTGGGTACTCTTCAAGTCCAGCTGCTAAGTTCAACTCAGCTGCGAAATGAATATCAACTGAAACTTTTCCTTCGATGCCTAGGGTACATGCACATACATATAATATCATACAATACGTACATAATACGCAATATATAATTATATACTATATGTATATATACACATACATATTATCTATATAGTAAAATATAACATATAATTATAACATAATATATATATAGGTACAGATTACACATGCATCACCCTTTTCCTCTCATCAATCCAGGTCCCTGTCAGGTCTTACTGTCAGGTCTTACTGGACCACCTGGAACGCATCTTTGACCTGGCCCTGGTCTACCACGACTTCTACGCCGGCGCATTGTCGGAGCACGGTGGACCCTTGCGGCACCGTGCCTCGTTGGTGAAGAAACTGAGCGAATTCGTCGGGGAAACTCAGTGCGTTTCGGGGTCCGTGCCCGGCAATTGGCTTTAACCAACCAATAATGGGGGTAAAATTGATGTTCATGGTATTTTCATTGGATTTTATTGGATTTTAATGGGATTTTATGGGATTTTATGGGATTTCTTGGAGATGTTGTGGGATTTTGTGGGATTTGATGGGATTTTATGGTTGATACCCTAGGATAAACAATGGAACACGAGGTGGAACATCCATGGGAAAACCCCTTCGGACAATGATCTACACATGGCGGTTTTTCCCGACTCATGGCAGGGTCAAACTGTAAATTCACTGGTGAATTCACCAGTAAGGGTAAGAATTCCATGGTAATTCATGTATATAAGTGCCATTCAAGAGTCAGATGATATACCCTCTGGTAATTTAACATAGCTATTGAAAATGGTCATTTATAGTGGATTTTCCCATTAAAAATTGTGATTTTCCATAGTTATGTTAGTTTACCAGAGGGTATCATGATATATCCATCTTGGGGGATGGTCTTCAACCCATAGGACCTTTTATGGGATTTATGCATAGCCGGCATTGCGGTGGGATTCCCGATGCGGGATGATCATAGCATGGTGCATGACCAGTCTGCACGACCATATATGGTGCATACGGTAAGTTATGGATGGTTTATGACATTAGTGTAAGTTATGTATGGATATGGATCTTATTCTGTATGGCTCAGTGATATATGATTGTTTATGGACTTCTGAATCATTAGGTTTTATTGCTTTGTTGCTATTCTCTATTGTGCTACTGTGTTACCGGCATGGTTAGTGATTATGATGGTTACATAGGGTTACCTTGCGTCTCACAACTGGCTCCCCTCATGGCTGCGGAGTGTGCTGTGATTACCAAGTGAGATGATTTGAGGCGTTGAGCCCACATCAACTCGCCTGAAACTAATGGGGGTTTCCCATCATCAGCCATCATCATTTTCCCTTTACCCCCTGGTAATTGGAGATAGCTATAGAAAATCACCATGTTTAAAAACTGTAAACCATCTATTTCTATGGTCCATTTTTCATGGTTTCCATAGCAAACTGTTATTTTACCATATTTTACCAGAGGCTAAGATTGCAATAACTTCGAGGCCCCGTTTCAAGCCACGAATCGATCCCAGGTCATTGGTGATGAAGGTGATGCAGAGGCTGAGCGAATGCTGAGTTTGGAGGATTGGAGGATGGAGACCAAATGGTGATTTAACCAAGAAAAATAATGATTTAAAGAATTTATATAGGATTCAACCAACAACAATAGGTCGGGGAATGTTAATAGGGAAAATTATCACATCCATTGCAATGTTAATGGGGAAAATGATGATAATCCATTGGAATGTTTGAATCACTACGGAAAATGGTGAGAATCTACGATAATCCATTGGACCTGTTTTTTTCTCCTAACTTTTCAGATAAAACCAAGTAGTGAAGCAATAAATAGTGGAAGATGATGAGGGCTCTGGGGACCATTTTCCATCCTGCAAGATGATGTTACCCATGAATTCACTCCTTTTTCGTGTAATTCTGATTTTGAACATCCCCAAGATACTTACTTACAGAAGTCGAGAATGGGCCAATGAGTGGCTTTCCAACATGAATTAGATTTAGCTGAATCGTTGGGGACTCTACAAAAACTGAAGGGTCATCTCTGCTGCCCGGTAACCTGGAGTTTGAGTCACAGGGATGAAGCAACCCCAGGTTGAAGTCCGAACGGTAACCAACAGCTAGGGACTTGTTCATACTACTGGTATGTTATACTATCCTATATGGAGGTTTCTTAAAATGGGGGTACCCCCAAATCATCCATTGTATTTGCGGATTTTCCATTATAAACAGTATAAACTAACCATTTTGGGGATCCCCCATTGATGGAACCCCCATATTGGTGATGATCACAATCCATGAAATTGGAATCCTCACGAAACCAACCATTAGCTGCAGATCTTCCAATGGAACCATTTTTCACACCGTTTTTCAATGGATCCATTGCCATTTCTTGGCAGATTTTCGAGCGCAAAAGCGCAAAAGCGCGCAACTTGGCGCGTGCCAGGGCTATGCATATCCCCAAGATCCCACAGAGCCTCCGTTGGCTGCTGCTGCCATCTCTCCCACCTCTGCTTTGGAGTTGGTCGGTGCGGCGGCGAAGATGGGGGATGGAAGTTGAGGCTTGTTAGCCTGTTTTGTTTTGCACAAATTCTCCATGTTTTTTGACTATCCAGTGGTTATGGAGATTTAATCTGATTTCATAGGGATTCAATGTACTAAATGAGAAGTTAGGGGGAATTATGTGGGTTACCCTTTGGTAATTTCACATAGGGAACTGTAAAACATTACCATTTTGAAGAGGTGAACAAAAATCGAACTTTTTTTGGGGCTATGGCTTCCTATGTGATATGATCAGAGGGGAGTTGACCATAAAGACCAGTGGTTGGTGGTTTGGAACCATGGAATTTTATGGAATTTTATGACTTTCCATTCACTTGGGAATAAAATCATCCCAACTGACTTTCACTCCATCATTTTTCAGTTTGGGGTAGGTTGAAACCACCAACCAGAAGATGTGCCCTGGTCGAGGTCAGTTGTTTTTTTTCCCGTCGGGACTCATCAATCCAATAGGGATAGACCCATATTTTTTTCAGACAATGGGATGACAATATCCAACATACATTACCCTCCGGTAAATTAACATAGACCCTGAAACTGACCAATTTATAGTGGAAACTAGTCTTTCAACCCCCATCTGGCAGGGTCTATGTTCATTTACTGGAGGGTATAATATCAAAATAATGGCAATATAATGGCAATATCATGGCGAAATAATGGATTATAATATCTTATAATATCATATAATATCTGTTTGGTGGTTTGGAACATGGCTGGATTATTTTCCATTTCATATATGGGATGTCATCCGAAACCCATTGACGAGCTCATATTTTTCAAGATGGTTATTACACCACCAACCAGCCATCTTTGGATCATGGCACATATGGTCTTTGAAGTATGTAACGCTTCTTTTAAAGCCTCAAATGGTTATATAATGACACCACATAATATTCGGGACCGTTTTGGAGGTTGTGAAAAATATTGCATAGGGGGATGGGATGATAGTTTATAAGATTATAATCCATTATAACCAATCAGTTAACAAAAAATCCATTGTAGTTGATCCATTCTATTCCATTGTATTTTCCACAATTAAATCATAACAATTGTTCGTTGGTTATATTCCAAGCAAAATATCCCCATGAAAAATATCTCACCAGGAATCCACTTCAGTTCCAGGGCGGCCGCATAGAATTCATCCGTTGTTTTCGGGCGAAAGCCATCTGTGTTTGCTCAAGCAAGTCATTGATTCTCTGCATTTTTCTGGGTCGTTATAGGACCACATACTATTTACCCTCTGGTAATTTAAGATAGCTATAGAAAATCACCATTTTTAATAGGTAAACCATCTATAAATGGGCCATTTTCCATGGCTATGTTAGTTTACCAGAGGGTATTCTTGATATGTGTTGGTCATTTCTAGCAGTAAACCCTGCCAGGCCCCGCAGTGCCGGATTTAAGTCCCAAGGCTTCTGTAACGACACTAAAATGTGCGAACCGTCCAAGCCTTGTCCTCGCTTAACCCCCTGCTACCCTGGTGACACACATATTGAAGCCCTAATAAATGACATATATATGACATTCATGATATGGTCAATGATGGCTTTTTGGTTGATGCTGTCTTAAATATGTTTGTTTTACTTGTTTCTGCTACCATATTGTGTTTAGGGAAATTTCGGGAGGACCCAAGATATTTCAGATACACCCCCTGATTACTCTACCAGAAATGTAACATGTTGGAACCAGAAAGCCTTGGAGGCAACTTCTTCTACCACGCACATGGACGAGAGCAGTGCGCTCCGCACGACTGTGGGAACCAGGTGCCAGTGCTTCGATTCCAGCGAGTGGCACCGTTGCATATGCGAAAGGCCTTTTGCAACTCGAATGAATCCCTAGAATTGGATGAAGGGAATTTGCAGGTTTGTTTTTTAAATGTGTATATATGTATATACGTATATATATATATATCTATACGTATATATATATACGTGTATATATACATATACATATACGTGTATATATACATATGTATATACACATATATATATATATATACATAAAGATAATATATATATATATATATATATTTGTTGGTAATCCCATCCTCCTATTATACATAGACCCTGCCATGAGTCCGGGGTTGGAAGATGAGTTTCCACTTAAAAGATGGCTAACATTCTGAGGGTCCAACTGTTAATTTACCAGAGGCTAATTATGTGAGTTGATGCCTTGCTCTTTGCTACATCTTTTCGATGGGTTTCGCCGACGGTGGTTTTTGGCGTTTCAGTGGGTCGTCTTCGATCGAATTCATCTGCAGTTCACCCGGAATTTGAACACTTGCTTCATCAAGAGTTGGACGTATTCCAGAAACTTAGCATGGGTAAAATCCATTCAAATCCCATGAAGTTTAACAGTTTCACCACAAAAGATGTTTCACCATTTTTCATGTTCAACAAACCGGCATGAACCCTGACCTGGGGCACCACCGACTGCAGTTATGATCACCAAACTCAAAGATGACCTATGATCAACTATACCTCACCCTTGTTGTTGGTTTACAAACCCCCTAGAGGTGTTTGGTTTAAAGATGATGCTGCCCAAGCTCATGTAGATGAGTTTTCCTTGGTCATTGTTGGCAGCTTGGGGACTTGCGCGAATCACTAACAGTGGTTGGTTTGATAAATTTAAATCCTTGGATCGGTTGACTGGACAATTTGCAGGACAACCACCATATTTCATGGTAAAGTCCATGGTAAAAAACCATATTTAATGGGAAGATTTACAAGAAAAGCCTACATTTATATAATGGTAAAAAAAGTGGTTTTCTGTAGATTTTCCCTTAAACCAATCCAATGATTGAAGATCCTTTGTCTCAGTTTCACCTCTGCAGGTAACTACTACCATTTCACGACAGTGGCACTGGCCCGTTTGGTCACCTTGCTGCCTCGGCTGGTAGAGGATGAGTCGCTGCTGGTGCTCATTCCGCACCCCAACAAGCGACACGGCGGTGCAACGTGGGGGAGTTGTGCGGGGCTGGGGCCCTGGGGTTCAAGGAGTTCTTGAAGGGACATGAGACATGCAACAGATACGAACAGTTTAAGTAAGAACGTGGGAAGCGAAAAAGGAACACATGCGGGGACGAAGGGATATTCCACGATATTGTCATGATGTAACATGAGTTTCGCCAAATAGGGAAGTAAGCAGTAGAAGGCGAGGACTGAGTCTCGAAGCGATGAGTTGATTTAGATCATTTTAGATGGTTAATAGTGGTTAAGAACCATTATTTATATACCACTACCACTATATTAAGAATAATTAACCAATGGTTATCTTCAATTACCAATTATTAACAATGATTAACCACTATTCACCAATATTGGGATAACCACTATTAACCATGGTTAATAACCATGATGAACCACTATTAACAAATGATTAACCATGCTTTTTTCATGATTTCCCCTCTTCAAAATGGCATTTTCCATTGGTTATCCCAGGATCCACCGATCGAAAAGATGGGCTGAGGAAGGGCCAAGGGTCGCCCTATATACGCGAGAGCCTGCGTTTGCTAGGCGTCTTTGGGATGTTGGTGTTAACTGATGTTTGAATTGATGAACCATCAATCACAGGGATTTCAAATGTGTGTTTTTCTTAACTATAGAATGAAGAATTGCATTTTTCCATGTGGCTGAGTATATCTCCCTCCAGCGCCAAACGTCCATGCTTTTCTCAGTGTAAACACGTGTGATGATCACCCGGTCAGGCACAGGTCATGTGGGAAACCGTAACCCTGGCTGCCACAAACCTACCATGGGGATGGTAAACATAGCACCCATGAAAACGGTGATGACTTGGGGATGGTTGTTTTTTAGGGTTTACCACATTATTTACAGCTACATATTATGACACTGGCTCTAGTACATAATCATTCTCATTCATTTTCCATCACTTTCCTAGTCAGTTCAGGTTATGAAGAACACCTTTTATGCCTTTTGTTCCCATTGTTAATGGGTGATTCTGATTTAAGCCGTTTTCCATGTGTTTTCCATGTGTTCCCAACCAGCTCGTAACTTATATCAATCTCTACTTCTGGTCACTGAACCGCAAGTTTCCTGCTTCATTTAGTGACCAAAAAGTAGGGATTTAAGACTTGAGACCACTTGGCTTTCATGGCACTTTCTTGATGTCAAATCAACAACACGTTGGATTTCTCCGCATCGAAACCCCATCCCCCATCCCCCGCCAGGCCTGAACGACGAGCGCGTGCTGAGTTTCCCTCCCTGCCGCCTGGTTTTCGCTGAAGAGGTGCTGCTGGGAGGTGCGGGGCCGCGCAGCAGCTTCGGACGCGATCAGCAGGGAAGGGCGCGGGCGGCTCGGTACTGCCTGGGAGTGGTGGTGGAGTTTTTTGGGGGATTTTTTGGAGAGGTAAGAAGGGGGTACTGGTATTGGCATTTTTTTTTTTGGGAGAAGTCAGAATTACAATTATACACTGCATCTTGTTTGTTATTTTGTGAAAAATGGGATAGCGCGAAACTTGCAGACATTGGGAAATGCCTGGTAAATGGTTGGCAGCCACACGGTGGCCACCATAGTCCAATATAAGGTATAAAAGGAGATAGTCCAATTACCAAAGGGTTCCAAAGTGGGTGGGTTACACTCGCCCAGTCCTGTGCCGTTTTGAAGTTGAGACAAGTCTTGTTGCTTGCCCTCATGTTCATGTTCTTCAACCCTAAGTACCATAATTCCCCACCTGCCAGGTGAGGGTTGTTAGATTTTATGTCAGTTGCCTCCTCCTCCTGCTCCCCCTCCTCCTCCTCCGCCTCCTCCTGCCTCGTCCTCCTCCTCCTCGTCCTCCTTGTCATCCTTGGCGTCCTTGTCGTCCTCGTCGTCCTCGTCGTCCTCGTCGTCCTTGCTCAACTGCGACCCGCGATCCACAGTGTTCTCTGCCGGACCTCAACCACGACCACCCACGCCCAGTGTTCCCTGCCGGACCTCAACCACGACCATCCACGCCCAGTTTTCCCTGCCGGACCTCAACCACGACCATCCGCGCCCAGTGTTCCCTGCCGGACCTCAACCACGACCATCCGCGCCCAGTGTTCCCTGCCGGACCTCAACCACGGCCATCCACGCCCAGTATCCATGCCAAGTGTTCCCTGCCGGACCTCATGTAGGAAGATTTGCCAGATAGAATGCCAGAAAATCTGCCAGAAGATATGCCAGATAGATATGCCAGATAGAGATAGAATGCCAAATAGAATGCCAGATAGAATGCCAGATAGAATGCCAGAAGATATGTCAGAAGATATGCCAGATAGAATGCCAGGTAATATGCCAGAAGATATGCCAGATAGAATGCCAGAAGATTTGCCAGATAGAATGCCAGAAAATATGCCAGAAGATATGCCAGATAGATATGCCAGATAGAATGCCAAATAGAATGCCAGATAGGATGCCAGATAGAATGCCAGAAAATATGTCAGAATATATGCCAGAAGATATGCCAGATAGAATGCCAGATAGAATGCTAGAAGATATGTCAGATAGAATGCCAGAAGATATGCCAGAAGATATGCCAGATAGAATGCCAAATAGAATGCCAGATAGAATGCCAGAAGATTTGCCAGAAGATATGCCAGAACATATGCCAGAAGATATGCCAGATAGAATGCCAAATAGATTGTCAGAAGATATGTCAGATAGAATGCCAGGAGATTTGCCAGTAAGAAAATGTAGAAATGTCATGGTGGGGATCACACGAAGTAAAGTAATTTTCGTATCTTTTTGTTGGTGCTGCTGGTGAATTTGACTTTTCTGCGATGTTTTCTTCCACATTTGCTTCACTCAGGAAGTGGTTTGATGTTCAGGCCTCATCAGTACGTCACCACACATGATGATTTCTATATGTTTGTCGTCACATGGGGCATCACCATAAACGATGACAAAAGGGTGGTGTCCCATGTTTATGTAACCTCACCTCAGGGGGGTGCCCATCAGTACGTCACCAGATTCTTATGGTTTCAATATGTTTTAAAGACGTTTTAAGATGTGTTAACCCTGAATTTCGCCATGCTTCTTGGCCAAACAACAATTCCTCTCATTAGGCGATTATGGCAGATGTGGCCGATGAGCAACCCAGTCGCCGTGTGCGACACGCTTTTCTGGCCTTAAATCTCAGGCTCCTTTGGGAAATACTGGGAAAATCTAAGGAACCTTTGGGCAATTATCCCATCCCCCAAAAGGTTGGGATCATTTACCCACTGGTAAACTAACATAACTATGGAAAATCAACATTTTTAATAGGAAAACTCACTATAAATGGCCATTTTCAATAGCTATGTTAGTTTACCAGAGGGTAGTTCAATATTAGGTGGATACTGGGGGAAGGAACTATGAAAGTGAAGAGATAAGAGGAAGTATCAAGATTTGAATCTGATCGCTTTGGGCTTGAACCTGACCGATCTGACCGCAGTTTCACAAAGATGTCCAAGAAAAAATGGAAGATGTACCCTTAAACCAAGCACGTAACGAATCTATCTGACTCAGAAGTAGTAGTTCTATGTAGTTCTTCCATCTTTGGAAACTGCCTTTAGCTGCCTTTCCTTTTAGAAGGGTTGCTTCAGAACGACCTCAGGCGGCTTCCGGCGGACCTCCTTCTCATCGACCGTCACGAACGCCGACGAATCGAGAATCTTCCAGAGGCGCCACTTGAGGGTCACGGGGGACTGGCAGATGTAGACCCTCTGGTAATTTAACGTAGCTTTTGAAAATGACCATTAATAGTGGATTTTCCCATTAAAAATGGTGATTTTCAATAGCTATGTTAAATTACCAAAGGGTAGACCCTCTTGGTGATGTAGAACTTACAAGCTCCAAAAAAAAAGAGCACTGCACGTCTTGGCCTTGCAAAAAAAAATCCATTTGAACATGTTGATTTCGAGGGGTTGGGAGTGATCTTGCACAAGCCAAGATGACAAGAGAAGCCTCATTTGACCATGGCAATGGCCAAGGTTGGGTCGTTTGAGGCATTCCCATTCCTTGCGGGAAGAGATGTGAAGAGTGGTTCCTTAAACTCCCTGTAAAACGTTTTACTAGAGAGACATACATAGACCCTCCAAATACCGCTAAAAAAGGCAACTTTGGTACTTTTGCCGTTTTTTTTTGAGGTACTTGGAGGGTCTAGGTATTATATAATATTATATACTACCACTAGGCTTAAGTCGTATCAATCGACCTGAAGTCGTATCACACCTGCGTGCGCGCAGTGTTTCGTATAGATTTTGATAGTTCTTTCTTTGATGGGTTATTGATTCGAACACTTTTTCATCGCTGTGCGCAATGTTTTGTTGACATGATTCTATTTGACCCTACTAGCCCTAGCGTTAAGTCGTATCAGCTCGTAGAAGTTGTATCGGGAGGCCGTGCGCCTGGAAAAAGTTCAAGTTTGGCATCACCACATCTTTTAGTAATTGGACGATTTCATTGTTTTGGGGCCGTGCGCCTAGAAAAAGTTCAATTTTTGTATTGCGTTGATTTATAAAACTTATTTATATTTCATTATTCTTTCAACGGGGCAAACGCTGGTTGCTGCTTTCTGCTTGCTTTCTGCTTGCTTGCTGCTTGCTTGCTGCTCCTTGCTGCTGCCTCCTGCTGCTGCTGCTGCTGTTGCTGCTGCTGTTGCTGCTGCTGTTGCTGCTGCCTCCTGCTGCTGTTGCTGCTGCCTCCTGCTGCTGCTGCTGCTGCGGCTGCGGCTTCCTTCTGCTGCTGCTGCTGCCTCCTGCTGCTGCCTCCTGCTGCTGCCTCCTGCTGCTGCCTCCTGCTGCTGATGCTGTTGCTGCTGCCTCCTGCTGCATGTTGCTGCTGCCCTGCTGCTGCTGCTGCTGCTGTTGCTGTTGCTGCTGCTGTTGCTGCTGCTGTTGCTGCTGCCTCCTGCTGCTGCTGCGGCTGCGGCTTCCTTCTGCTGCTGCTGCTGCTGCCTCCTGCTGCTGCCTCCTGCTGCTGCCTCCTGCTGCTGCTGCTGCTGCTTCCGCCTGCTGCTGCTGCTGCTTCCGCCTGCTGATGCTGCTGCTGCCTCCTGCTGCTGCTGCTGCCTCCTGCTGCTGCTGCCTCCTGCTGCTGCTGCTGCTTCCTCCTCCTCCTGCTGCTGCTTCCTCCTCCTCCTCCTGCTGCTGCTGCTGCTTCCTCCTGCTGCTGCTGCCGCTGGTGCAAACATTTTGCCGAAAAAGAAAATTACAGTCTCGGTCGCCTTGTTTGGAGATACGGGCGGGAGACGCCAGCAGAGAGAGGGAATGTTTACAGAAGGCAGAACTTATGAAACATTCAAGCGGAAGCGGATGTTGACAGCGGTGTGCCACTGGGTTTTCAGATTTTAACGTTGTTGATGTGATGATGTTGCCCATAGCTATTACATGGAAATCTATGTTTGTTAGGAAACAAAGTTAAAGATCTGGGAGGCCGTGTGCCATGGTGATTCCTAAATATATCCTTTGAAAACATAGTTTAAACATATGTGAATACCTCAGTGTGCGCAATGTTTTCTTCATTTTTGGAGATATAACAACATTCCTTGAAAGCCGGTGTGCCATTGGGATTTTGATATTTTGATGTGACTTTTGCCCAGTTGATGTGACTTTCTTCCAACTCGCTGTTACATGGGGTTGATGTGACTTCTGCCCAACTGATGTGACTTAAACCCTTCGCTCGTAGGTATTTATGGCTTCGCCCGGAAATGATACCCCAAACTTGCCAAATTTTCATGAGAAGTTGATCAACCAATTCATCAACGATGGCAGTTGGCAGGGTCGGCCGAGCCTCTTGGTTTTTGTTGGAAGTACTGGGCCACTGGGCCACCAAAAATATTCTGGAGAAACTACAAGTTTTCCACAACAACTAAAGATCACTAAAGAATATAACTGGAATGATGGTACTGTGAGGAAACCACCAAAAGGAACTGAGTTTGGGAAGACCGGCCTCACATAGGACCGTAGGACCCACCGAAAAGCTTCACAGAGGTTGTTGATGCTCTGGGAACGCTGCCGGGACGGAACCACACCCTGATCTATTGCGAGAATCTGACCTTCACCGAGAAGCTTGGCTTGACTGACTCAGGCCCCGGAAATCTACGGTGGGTGTATCTCCAGGTTCTTTTCCGCTCATGGGATTTGGAAACATCTCCAGGGTGTACCCTCTGGCAAACTAACGTAGCTATTTAAAATGGCCATTTATAGTTATTATAGTTGATTTTCCCATCGAAAATGGTGATTTTCTGATTTTCAAGGGTGTAAGTCCATAGGTGTTTCCATATCCCCTGAAGATTCTTGGTCTGCCCATGAGCCCGCGACCCTTCGACCATCCAATGACACTTGTTGAAAGAAGGACTTGACTCAGCAGCAGAGTGAACCAAGGATATATTATGTCAATGGCCATTCCAGGATTCTAAATTGGAGGTTGTGTCTTAGAATGGGATAGACCCCCTATTTATGGCTCTTGAAATAGGGACAATGATGATGAAGCAATGGTTGGAATGGGGTTTTCCCATCATTTTCAGACAAGCCCAATTGAACATTTCTCAACTCGGAACAGTTCTTTCGTTCTGTACGCCCGAGACCACCTTATAGTTATAATATCTCGACCTCCCATAACCCAACTATGGAAGTGATAGTTGATATTGGGGAAAGGAGCAACCAGAGAGTCCTAGAAAAATTCCCGAGCTTCGGATGGCGGACAACCGATTTTTTTTTCGAATTCCCAGTGATCGTGGCTGTTGCCCCAAAGTTTGAGGCCCAGCCCATCTCTTAGGCAAGTGTCCATGTTTGCCTCTGCCAATGCAGTGCTGGCGATCAGTGGAGCGTGTTTAGCCAACAGTCTCTACATGCGGGAGAATGCGCTGGTGCCTGGTGGAGAGTTTTGGAGGTCTTTTTTCAAAGTTCCCCCACCAAAAAGAATGATGGCCAGGCATGGTTTCAATCTTGTATATATATATATACATATATGCCAGTCCAGTTGCAACCAGGTCTTGTCTATTTTCCACCTTCTTGGCTGAAGCAAAGCCAAACTTCAAATCAACATGAACATTCCCGGAAAAATAAATACCTCCTGGGCGCAGCAACCATGGTCTAGGGTCAGGGAAGGAACGCGAGAAACACAAGAAGCAATGTTGCATACTCAAAACATCTCAAATCACACATATCAGTGGATTGCCCAGATGCCAATGGAAGGAGGATTCGATATCAGAATGGAACCAGCAGTTTTAATTGTGGGTCATGATGCATTTTTTTGGGTTACGGTGAGTGTTGGGTTTGTTGGCTGCAACTGATACCGCGGAAACCAAAACCATAGAGCCAGTCTTTTGACACTAGGCCCTCCCCCTTCAACTCAGGTCGAGCAAAAATTCATACTGCCTTTTAAATTCAAACGCCAACTTATGAACCAAGTGAATGCACATGATTTAGTGCTCAATCTCATTTATCTGGAACAATAAAAAAGACATACATATACATTTTTATTTACTTGCCATTACATTTTTTTAAATGTATATATATATATATGTAGAACTTTATATGGGATAACTATATAATTATATAACTATATATTTATATATAGTTGTACCCGAAAAAAGAACTGGTTTCAAACACATGGTATGGTTCCTGGAGCGATGAATACGGTGAAAATGATGATCCCAGATACACCATTAAAGATAGCTCTGCTGATGGGTTAATAAGGGGGGTTACCCTCTGGTAAACTAACAGTTTGCTATTGAAAATGGCCATAGAAATAGTGGATTTACCCATGAAAAATGGTGATTTTCCATAGCTATGTTAAATTACCAGAGGGTATACTAACTGGTTTATTTTGGATTGGGATTAAGAACTGTAAGCCACATAGCTGGAATATTTACTCAGCACCCACTATTAGATGGGATGGGGGAACGCCAATATTTACCAACCAAGTTTTGTCAACTAGGGAGAACACAAGGGACACCAATGAGATGATATTGATATATCAAATACTATTATCGAAGGAAGTTTAGAAGTCAAACTTCCGACAATATGGACAGATGAAAAGCAGAGCAGGACAGAGGCAGAGAGAAGAGAAAGATCAGAAGAGAGAAGAGTAGAAGAGAAAGAGTAAGAAGAAAGAAGATGGAGATGCGCGAAAAGGTAGGAAAGTCGCGATTCTCTGTGTTTTTCTAATGATTTGTGGCTCCGGAGGGTCGAAAAGTAGGCTCGCTAAAGCGGCGGGTGCGGAGCCAGCTGGCCAGAGGAGAGATGAAAAATTGCACGCCGTTGTGGCACGAAGCACATTTCCAAGTCAAAATGTTAAAAACACTAGGGGTGCGGACCACTTTTGGCACTTGAGACGTCGAAAAAGTGCACGCTGTTGTGGCGCGAAGCACATTTCCAAGTCAAAAGGTTAAAAGCACTGGGAGTGCGGACCACTTTTGGCACTTGAGATGTCGAAATAGCGCACGCCGTTGTGGAGCGAAGCACATTTCCAAGTCAAAATGTTAAAAACACTAGGGGTGCGGACCACTTTTGGCACTTGAGATGTCGAAAAAGTGCACGCCGTCGTGGCGCGAAGCACATTTCCAAGTTAAAAACACTAGGGGCGCGGACCACTTTTGGCACTTGAGATGTCGAAAAAGTGCACGCCGTTGTGGCACGAAGCACATTTCCAAGTCAAAATGTTAAAAACACTAGGGGTGCGGACCACTTTTGGCACTTGAGATGTCGAAAAAGTGCACGCCGTTGTGGCGCGAAGCACATTTCGAAGTCAAAATGTACAACACACACCATGTACGGACCAATTTTGGAGGTTCAGATGTCGTTTCGCGTGGCAGGCGCAAGGGATTGTGGACCTTGTCAAAAGTGAGCAAAACGTGAGGGTTTTGTAGCATTTTCAATTACAACCACCACTACACTACACTACACTCCAATACATTACACTACAACTACAACTACACCTTCACTACATTCTACTACATTACACTCCACTCCACTACACTGCACTCAATTACACTCAATTACACTACACTACACTACATTACACTACACTACACTCCACTACACTACACTACATTACACTACACTACATTACACTACACTACACTACATTACACTACACTACACTACCTTCCACTACACTACATTACACTACACTCCACTACACTACAGCTACACCTACAACTACACTCCACTACACTTCATTACACTACACTACACTACATTCCACGACACTCCGCTACACTACACTACACTACATCACACTACACTACATTACACTGAATGACACTGCACCACAGATAGACAGGCAGACAGATAGACAGATAGATAGATAGACAGATAGACAGATAGACAGGTAGACAGATAGACAGGTAGACAGATAGACAGATAGATAGATAGATAGATAGCTAGATAGATAGATAGCTAGATAGATAGATAGATAAATAGCTAGATAGATAGGTAGTCAGAGAAAGAGAGAGAAAGAGTGAGAGAGATCAACCACCTTTCGATCCATCAGTGCCTTCGCTCTGCCATCCCTGATTCGCAACAACCAAGCTCTCCTATAGGTTTCCTATTTCTGAAACTTTCGCCACCGCCTTGTGCGGTACTACTGGTATAAATGATTTTACATCATATCAATAGTGTTAATATTGGTGTTATCAACTATTCAACTATAAGAAACCAAGATTAAAGGGATGATCCTGGCGTCAGGTGGTGGACTTGGTACCTGTGCAGAACTACATGGGTGCAGATGTGGTGATGCCTTTGCATCTTGGCGACATGATGGAAGTGGTGTGCAATCCGTTCTGAATGCATTTTTTAAAATTTCAAACACGAGGCTTTGGAACTCCATTTTTGGGAAATTTCAAACACGAGTTTTTTTTTTAACTCGGACTTTCCCAGATTTTCTGAAAAAAATCTTTCCAGATTTCAACATTGTATGCACAGGAAATTCATGATGGGACCCATCATGACTCACGTGGGGATTCTGCTCTTTTGGTGATGGCGGTTGATTGCCACGGTCGACCCAATGGGTTTGAGAGATGAGTTACGCCATGGATTTCTCAACTGATCGTCATTTCATCTCATGGATCTCATGGTGCATGAGGCTATGTTATCGAGGAAACAATCATGAAATTAGATGAAACAATCATGATAGTAGACAAATCCTGAGGGCATATCTAATATATTCTAACTGGTTGGTGGTTTGGAACATGGCTTTTATTTTTCCATTCAGTTGGGAACTTCATCATCCCATTTGACTTTCATATTTTTCAGAGGGGTAGGTCAACCACCAACCAGCTAATCATCATGATAGTAATGACATTAGATGATATCATCATGATTGTTTCCTCAATGACCTTGCTGAATAAAACACCAATGACGATGTCTTACTCTTCCCTTTTTTCAACATATGAAAACATGATTTCTGAAGGTTACCTACTCGGGTTAAGAGTCCAGAGAGCCCAATGTGTGACACCTACTCATAGACAGCCACTAATGAAAAAGCCTCCTGGAAACTGCATGCAGATTACACAGAAAAATCTCCCGCCATCCAATTCCAATCATTTCTGGTGAATATATGTGAACATGGGGATTGTTTTTATATGTTTTATTGGGTTTACCACATTCGTTCTGAAACCATATGTTTTTTCAAATATTCCTATAATATCACCTTTTTTGGTGAAGTTCAGATTCCAGAATTCTTTCCATTGCGCCAGGAGGGTGGTCCCGCAACTCTGTTCAAGCGATTCGGCTATTAAAATAAGCTATTAAGCCATTAAGCTATTAGAATAAGCGATTAAGCTATTAAGCTATTAAGCTATTAAAACAAGCGATTAAGCGATTAAGCTACTAGAACTCGCGATTAAGCTATTAAAATAAGCTTTCAAGCTATTAAGCTATTAAAACAAGCGATTAAGCGATTAAGCTACTAGAAAAAGCATGAAAAAGCGATTAAGCTACTAAGCTACTAGAACAAGCGATTAAGCGATTAAGGATAGCAGAAAGAAAGCCGAAAGAAAGCAGACAGAAACCACAGGGAGAACAGAAAGACAGCGGAAGGCCGGCAGAGCGGCAAAGAGCTGATTGAAGCCTCCGTCGTACCGGACGATGGATCAGTCGTGACTTGGGGCAATTCCAATTTTGGTGGTGACAGCTCTGCAGTACAAGATAAATTGAGGAATGTTGTAGCTGTTCAAAGTGGATATAACTCATTTGCAGCAATTTTGGTTGACGGCTCAGTTGTGACTTGGGGCCAACCAAACTGTGGTGGTGACAGCTCCTCTGTGCCTCTGTGCAGGATCAGCTGAAGCATGTTCAGGAAATTCAGTCAACAGAGTCTGCATTTGCTGCCATCTTGAACGATGGATCAATCATCACTTGGGGCGATCCTGCTGCTGGTGGTGACAGCAGCAGCATGCAAGCTCAGCTTTGCAATGTGCACGCAGTGCAAACGACTGCACGTGCATTTGCTGCCATTCTGAAAAATGGATTGGTTGTCAGCTGGGGCGACCCAGATGAAGGTGGTAACAGCAGTGCTGTGCAAGCACAGCTGCGCAATGTGTATGCCATTCAAGCCAACTCTGGGGCATTTGCCGCCATTTTGGCAGATGGCTCAGTCTTGACGTGGGGCAACCAGACATGTGGTGGCAATAGCTCTGCAGCCACAGAGCAGCTGAGGAATGCAAGGCAGATCCAGTCCACATACACTGCATTTGCAGCAATTTTGGTTGACGGATCAGTTGTGACCTGGGGCGCTCCAGGCAATGGTGGCAACAGTGAAGCTGTGCAGGATCAGCTGCAGAATGTACAGCAAATTCAGAAGTAGTAGTAGTAGCAGCAGCAGTCGTGGTGGTGGTGGTCGTGGTGGTGGAAGCTATTAAGCCATTAAGCTTCTAGAATAAGCTATAATGCCTTTAAGCTATGAGAATAAGCGATTAAGCGATTAAGCTATTGGAATAGGCTATTAAGCCATTAAGCTATTAGAATTAGAACAATCGATTAAGCGATCAAGCTATTGTGCTATTTGAATAATCGACTCCTCGATTAAGCTATTAGAACAAGCGATTAAGCTACTACAATAAGCGATTAAGCTATTCATTAAGCTACTAGAAGCGACGAAGCGATTTAGCTATTAGAATAAGCAATTAAGTTATTAAGCTATTAGAATAAGCAATTAAGTTATTAAGCTATTAAAATAAGCAATTAAGTTATTAAGCTATTAGAATAAGCTATTACGCCATTAAGCTTTTAGAACAAGCGACTAAGCTATTCAGCTCCTCGAAAAGGCCATTAAGCTTCATTGGAAAAAGCGATGAAGCTTTTAAGCTGTTAGAATAAGCTATTAAGCCATCAAGCTACTAGAATAAGCGCAGTTGTAATAGTAGTAGTAATGGTAATAGTAGTAGTAGTGGTGGTAGTAGTAGTAGTAGTAGGTAGTAGTAGTAGTAGTAGTAGTAGTAGTAGTAGTAGTAGTAGTAGTAGGTAGTAGTAGTGGTAGTAGTAGTAGTAGTAGTAGGTAGTGGTGGTGGTAGTAGTAGTAGTAGGTAGTAGTAGTAGTAGTAGTAGTAGTAGTAGTAGTAGTAGTAGTAGTAGGTAGTGGTAGTGGTAGTAGTAGTAGTAGTAGCAGTAGCAGTAGCAGCAGCAGCAGCAGCAGTAGTAGTAGTAGTAGTAGTATTAGTAGTAGTAGTAGTAGTAGGTAGTAGGAGTAGTAGTAGTAGGTAGTAGGAGTAGTAGTAGTAGGTAGTAGGTAGTAGGTAGTAGGTAGTAGGTAGTAGGTAGTAGGTAGTAGGTAGTAGGTAGTAGGTAGTAGGTAGTAGGTAGTAGGTAGTAGGTAGTAGGTAGTAGGAGTAGTAGTAGTAGTAGTAGTAGTGGTAGTGGTGGTGGTGGTGGTGGTGGTGGTCGTGGTCGTGGTCGTGGTCGTGGTCGTGGTCGTGGTCGTGGTCGTGGTCGTGGTAGTGGTAGTGGTAGTGGTAGTGGTAGTGGTAGTGGTAGTGGTAGTGGTGGTAGTAGTAGTAGTAGTAGCAGTAGTAGTATTAGTAGTAGTAGTAGTTGTTGTTGTTGTTGTTGTGGTTGTGGTGGTTGTCGTCGTCGTCGTCGTCGTTGTTGTTGTTGTTGTCGTTGTCGTTGTCGTTCGTTGTTGTTGTTGTTGTCGTTGTTGATTGTTGTCGTTGTTGATTGTTGTCGTTGTTGTTGCTGTTGTTGTCGTTGTCGTTGTCGTTGTCGTTGTTGTTGTTGTTGCTGTTGGTAATGTTGCTGTTGCTGTTGCTGTTGCTGTTGCTGTTGCTGCTGCTGCTGCTGCTGCTGGTGCTGGTGCTGGTGCTGTTGCTGTTGCTGTTGGTGTTGGTGTTGTTGTTGTTGTTGTTGTTGTTGTTGTTGTTGTTGTCGTCGTCGTCCATGTTGCTGTCATGTAGCGTACGTACGCAAATGCTCCGACAGTGCTGTGTTTTTTGGGTTTGACTTCCAAATATGCTTCCCGCCGCAACGGCATGCACATGTTCAACACCTCAACTTCCAAAAATGCTCCGACAGTGATGTGTTTTGCCCCTGTTGCCTTCGACAAGCGCTTCGCACAGGCGTAAACTTTTTCCACCGCTCAACTTCCGATAGTGTTCCGGAGATGACTTGATTTGCGTATTTTGCCTTCCGCATTCCGCACAGCCTTCGCGCCGCAACGCCATGCAGTTTTCCAACCAATGAACTCCCAAAACTGCTCCGGACATGATGTGCTTTTAGCTTCTTGACTCTTGACTTCCAACTTTACTTCATCGCAAAAGCGTCCACGTTTTCCCCCTCTCATCTCGCCAAAAGGCTCTGCGCCCACCGCTTCTGCGAGCATACTTTTCGACCTTCCGGAGCCCCAGAAGATTGGAAAAACAAAGACCTTTGCGACTTTCCAACCTTTTCGCGCACATGCAGTTCGTGCCCCAATGCCTTGCAAGTTTTCAACCAATGAACTCCCAAAACCCCTCCGGACGTGACGTGCTTGTGCCTTCTTGATCCTTCTTGAATACCTCTGCTTCGCACCACAACAGCCCGCACGTTTTCCCCTCTCATCTCGGCACAAGGCTCGACGCCCGCCGCTTTTGCGAGCCTACTTTTCGACTCTCTGGAGCAACCACTGATTGGACAAACACAGTCCTTCGCGACTTTCCCACCTTTCCGCGCACGTGCGCCACTTGTTTCTGCTTCTCTTCTCTTCTCCAACACTTTCCACCTGCGCTTTTTCATATCGCCACATAGTCGGAAGTTTGACATCTACAACTCCTTCGACGACGCATGCGCGGAATGAAGCCTGGAGATGATTTTTATGCGACACATGAGCCAAGTACATTCCAGAGTATAGTATATGTAAGCATGTCTTCTCCTACGCAACGATTCCCCACATGCAGTCCCCTGAGATAAGGAAACGATGCTCTATGAATAAAAACGCTGCCTGATGACATCGGCGGAAGCAGCAAATACTGTTGACAGTCCGGGGTTCAGTGAGTTCAGTGACAACAGAAGTGGAACGCACTTTATCAGTAAGAAACGGCTACTCACTTGGACCCAAGCAGAGTCACAGGGCAGCGCAACCGGTGCTGGCTGGGCAAAGGCCGCTAGCAGCCAATGCTTACCTATTTTCACGCAGGCTGCTTGGGTGCCATTGCGGTTTCGCAAATTTGTGGTTTCAAAATGGAAAATGGCACAAAGAACAACCGCAAGAACGACAGAAAGGAGAATAGAGAGGGGCAGCGAAAGGAAAGAAAGGACAGCATAAAGGACAGCATGAAGGATAGCAGAAAGAAAGCCGAAAGAAAGCAGACAGAAACCACAAGGAGAACAGAAAGACAGCGGAAGGCCGGCAGAGCGGCAAAGAGCTGATTGAAGCCTCCGTCGTACCAGACGATGGATCAGTCGTGACTTGGGGCAATTCCAATTTTGGTGGTGACAGCTCTGCAGTACAAGATAAATTGAGGAATGTTGTAGCTGTTCAAAGTGGATATAACTCATTTGCAGCAATTTTGGTTGACGGCTCAGTTGTGACTTGGGGCCAACCAAACTGTGGTGGTGACAGCTCCTCTGTGCAGGATCAGCTGAAGCATGTTCAGGAAATTCAGTCAACAGAGTCTGCATTTGCTGCCATCTTGAACGATGGATCAATCATCACTTGGGGCGATCCTGCTGCTGGTGGTGACAGCAGCAGCATGCAAGCTCAGCTTTGCAATGTGCACGCAGTGCAAACGACTGCACGTGCATTTGCTGCCATTCTGAAAAATGGATTGGTTGTCAGCTGGGGCGACCCAGATGAAGGTGGTAACAGCAGTGCTGTGCAAGCACAGCTGCGCAATGTGTATGCCATTCAAGCCAACTCTGGGGCATTTGCCGCCATTTTGGCAGATGGCTCAGTCTTGACGTGGGGCAACCAGACATGTGGTGGCAATAGCTCTGCAGTCACAGAGCAGCTGAGGAATGCAAGGCAGATCCAGTCCACATACACTGCATTTGCAGCAATTTTGGTTGACGGATCACTTGTGACCTGGGGCGCTCCAGGCAATGGTGGCAACAGTGAAGCTGTGCAGGATCAGCTGCAGAATGTACAGCAAATTCAGAAGTAGTAGTAGTAGCAGCAGCAGTCGTGGTGGTGGTGGTGGTGGTCGTGGTGGTGGAAGCTATTAAGCCATTAAGCTTCTAGAATAAGCTATAATGCCTTTAAGCTATGAGAATAAGCGATTAAGCGATTAAGCTATTGGAATAGGCTATTAAGCCATTAAGCTATTAGAATTAGAACAATCGATTAAGCGATCAAGCTATTGTGCTATTTGAATAACCGACTCCTCGATTAAGCTATTAGAACAAGCGATTAAGCTACTACAATAAGCGATTAAGCTATTCATTAAGCTACTAGAAGCGACGAAGCGATTTAGCTATTAGAATAAGCTATTAAGCTATTAAGCTACTAGAAAAAGCGATTAAGCGATTAAGCTAGTAGAATAAACTATTAAGCTAGTAAGCTATTACACAAACAGCTTAACAGCGTAACGGCTTCTCCAAGCAGCTTAGCAGCTTAATAGCTTGATAGCTTAACGGCTTCTTCAAAAAGCTTAATAGCTTAACAGCTTGTCCTAACAGCTTAATGGCTGATTCGATTCGCGGACGATCCTGCCGGGACTGTGTTTGTTTCTGTTAAATTCCCCTTTGTTTGATGACTTAAGCATTTTTGGATCAACATAACGCAGACATATCCCATAGCCACAGAGTTCATGATCCAATGAATTTCGTGATTTTTTTTGGGTGCCCATAAATCACTATTGCTGTTGATTAAATATGATTAATTAACCATGATTAACCATGATTAGCCATGATTAACCACGATTAACCATGATTGACAATGATTAACCATGATTAACCATGATTAGCCATGATTAACCATGATTAACTATGATTAACAATGATTAACCATGATTAACCATGATTAACGATGATTAGCCATTATTAACCATGATTAGCCATGATTAACCATGATTAGCCATGATTAAAAATGATTAGCCATGATTAACAATGATTAGCCATGATTAACCATGATTAACCACGATTAACCATGATTGACAATGATTAACCATGATTAACCATGATTAGCCATGATTAACCATGATTAACTATGATTAACAATGATTAACCATGATTAACCATGATTAACGATGATTAGCCATGATTAACTATGATTAGCAATGATTAGCAACGATTAACCATGATTAACAATGATTAGCCATGATTAACCATGATTAGCCATGATTAACCATGATTAACTATGATTAGCCATGATTAACCATGATTAACAATGATTAGCCATGATTAACCATGATTAGCCATGATTAACCATGATTAACTATGATTAGCCATGATTAACCATAATCAGCAAATTAACCATGATTAACCATGATTAACAATGATTAGCCATGATTAACCATGATTAGCCATGATTAACCATGATTAACCATCTATTTTTGGTGAAATCAAAGCGTTGGAGGCACTGCGGCATCACCTGGTTCTGGACCTTGAGCTCCAATGTGCCGCTGCGCTACCGCACAATGATGCTGCCGGAAGGGGACCTGGAGGCTGATAGCATCCAGGTGCCAGTGTTTTGGCGATGGTTTATAATGCCAACCCTGGATTAATAAACCCCTAGGCTGTTTAATTGGGAGGGTACCATTTAAGTATTAGATTATGACTATTGGAGGAGTACCCCCCTAATTAATAAACCATGGTTTATTTATAAATCCGGGGTTGACATTGCCACGCGGGCCCCCCCTTAATTTACGAAATCGCTACGTTGGTGAACATAATTCGTTTCACTATGGTTTATGAATGTTTATGATACACAAATAACTATCGTTTTCATGGGGGCTATAAACCACCTTATAACTTGGGGGCACCACCTTGTAACTTTATAACTCGCATGATATAACTGTAATGTGGGTAAAACAATGCCATGTTTACCACCCATGACTGGGAATGGTGTATATTATACCACCTATATTTTTGGTGATTTTCCTTGGGGATGGTAAACATGACGATGGTTTTACTCTAACATTAGTAGCTGCCGGTGGTGCCCAAAAGACGATCTTAGTTGGTGCCCATAACAAGGCCAACTAAGTGGATTATGATGGTTATATACCCTTTGGTTATTTAACATAGCAAACTGGAAAATCATCACTTTTAATAGGTACATCATCTATAAATGGGTCATTTTCCATAGCTATGTTAAATAACCAGAGGGTAACTTGGGTCATATGCCAATAACTATTATATAACTACAGTGTAGTGTCTTATCATAAAGCCAACAGTTATTGCCATATAACTCTAGTTTATATAAACATATTCAATCCCTATTATCAAAAACTTATGATACAATGATACATATATTGACCATTTGCCATCATATATTGGTTATAAATTGATATCATAAACCCAATAGTTGCTGGAATTATTTTTACCAACTGAGCTAACGAACTGGGGCATCAGCTTGTGAGAAGCATTTTCGTATGGTTTACATTTTTTTCAACCGAGTCTATCTTGTTGTTTTTTGGAGAATGGAATCCTCCAGTTTATCATCATTTGCCCGAGCAAATTGTCATTTTGGCAATAATGCAAGAATCATATAGCAGAATGATCATACGCAGAAACAATAATATAACAACACATGTTATGAAAAATCATTACTATGAATTGTACTGAGAATCATTACTGAGAATAAATATTCATAATATTCCTGAAATTTACTATGAAGAATGACAGCACATGACAACAATAAACAGTCATAGAACTAATGGTGACAATAAGAAGATCAATATTTGGACCAATATTTATGGTGAAGACACATACAAAGTGGGGCCCCCTAGATAGCTAAGTTGGTTTATAACTCCAATAACTATGGTTTATGGTATCTATAACTATAGTGAATGGGGTTTATAAACCAACTAACATCACTGGGGGGCACCACCTTGTAGTTCCCAATCAGACCAAAAAAGATCATGGCACCTTCTGGCGCCAAGGTGGCGAAGCTCCGGCGGCTCTTGCTGCGGGAGTTGGGCCCCCAAACTCGACATGGGAAGATGTGGATTTAGATGGAAGTTTGATAGGATTCTTATATGGGCGTTCATGGAAGTTAATGGGAATTAATGGGAGTTAATGGGATTTAATGAGACTTTCTGGGATTTTGAGCGTTTTTTTAAGGATAAAATGTTTTTTTGTTGGGAGGAGATTGATTTATATAAAGAAAGTTGACCAGCAAGAAATGGGACACATGACAAAACAATGAGCAACGTTTGGGTATGGTATGAACTGAGAGAGCATGAAGATATGACTAGAAGACCCCATGTACTTTTGCCTTTTCAGATGGGATCAACTAAGACCAAGCCACCAACGAAGAAATTTGCAATGGATGTACTCCAGGATTTTTAAGGGCAGGCCAGAGTTGTTTGCTTTCAATTCCCCATCCATTTTTCCATGTTTGTCAAATCAAATCTATCAAATATTGTTGAAAAGGAAATTCGAACTAATTGTTAGTGAAATCACTTGAAATTCAATTCTTGTCATTTTTTGGCATGTTGGGTGACCATGTTTGCTGCTTCTCTCCTTCTTGACCAATAAAATCTATCCATTTTTGGATGAAAATCATAGGGCCAAACGGCCAGATGTTGATCATTATTTCCCCACTGTTTTTTGCAGGCCAGAAATCGCGGTATCCCGGTATCCCCATTCTTGGACAAATCTTTTTCCACGGTTCATTGGTTTAATCATGTTAAATCCTGATTTTGTTTTTCGCCAATATTAGGGTTAAATCATCCATTTTCACTAGTTATCTTTTTTTTCATGGTTCAATCCCCATAAAATTGGCATTTCCTGGTGCATTCCTCCCATTTTCGCTACACGATCTCAGGACCTCCACAGCGCCCCGCCGGGGGCGCCGGCCTTTCGTTGTGCGCGGGTGGCTACTGAACGAGACTAGAAAGGCAAGGAGATCCAACATGCCACCCCTTTTTTTGTCACTGGTGATACTCCTATCAAAAGCACCATGTTTTTATGGCCATATATATATATATATATATATGGTTGGTGGTTTGGAACATGAATTTTTTATTTTCCATAATATTTGGGATGTCATCCTTCCCATTGACGCACTCCATCATTTTTCAAGATGGTTATTGCACCACCAACCAGTTATTAAGCATGTTTGAAAGATGTCTTATTTTCAACCATGCTTGGGATATGTTGGGATCCTTCTCCCCATTGACCAATATCCTAAAGGGGGACCCCAGAAAGGATCTTGAACAAAGCAGCGAAATGGGGTGAGATTTGCGGAATGGGGTGATCCAGCCTTCATGCGGACATCAACACAGATGGTTTTCATTTTGATTTTCCCAGCGGAATGAGACCTCCATATTCGAATCCCAGCAAATAAGTCCCGTGAATAATTTTCAGAAATGAAGCTCCATTTGCTGACCCGGACAATACCAGCTCGGAAAATACACTTAAATAGTTGCAGGAGTTTCAGTTGAAGGATACATTCCATTGATGACACATTTGAGATTGATTACTCCATTTAGTTGGAGGATACATCTCAGCTTTGAGGACAGCAGAAGTTTCCCCCTCGCCCAGACGGTCTAAGGCTGCAGTGCAGAGTGTCAAAGGCTGGTCCTCAACCAGCTGTCAGGAGCCTGGAGATGGTTACTGGAAGTGTCTTCAAGACACTTGGAACTCGATTTTCTTGGCTTTTGTGATAGAAAATGGTAGATTCTGGTATATCATGATTCCTGATATATCATACTATAGATAACGGTAGATTCTGGTATAGATATATAAAATATCTATAAGTACCGGATAAAATGGGGTTGTAAAATGTTGTAAACCAAGCTATGACGAAAAAAATCTGTAACTTAGGAAATCACTTTTTGGACGGTTTTTCTGGCTGCCAAGATGCTGGAACATGGTTTTCATCATGATTTCTCCAACTTCAAGAGATAGTCGCCTCTAGCAGTTTTTCACATAGCTATGGAAAGCCATCATTTTGTATGGGTAAATCATCGAACTACCATCTGGTTATTTAACATAGCCATGGAAAATCACCATAATTAATAGGTAAACCATCTATAAATGGGCCATTTATACCATGGCTATGTTAAATAACCAGAGGGTAAATGGGCCATTTGCCTTG